TAATTACTTTGCTAAATGTAAACATCTTTCAAAACTGATAAAATACATTTGTAAATTTCCATAAGATATTGAAGAATTTAAAAGTAAATTAGAAACAGTTTACATCTATTACAGGACTAGATTAGTCATTTTTTAAGTCTTTCCTGGAAAGAGAAACTTAATTAATAATAAACTTTACACAAATTATAAATAACAATGCTTAAAAGAAATTTGTTATTGATCCAGCAAATGATTGATACCAATATTAAAATCCGTACAAATTTAATTAATTTCCTAAATCAATATCAACATTTTTTTATTATAAAGCTACAACTTTTTCTATTGGTAAGCAACTCCTAACATAAGTAACTCCTCTAACAATTTATTAAAAAAAAGAAAAAACAGGACTTTTAGAAACAGCTTCAATTCTTGTAATTTCTCTCAAACATCTATAGTAAATTACTGTTAAATATATCAGAATAATGAAAAAAAGAATTAACAAAGGTAATGCTGCAATGTTTAAATAAAGGAAGCATGCAAATAATGGTAATAACAAGGATGTTAATTGATATGTTAAGTTTTAAATTTCATTAGGAAATAATAAATCAATATTATAAATATCCTTACTTAACCTATTCATCAATCTCCCAATGAGAATTGTATTATAAAACTTTGTATATGAAGCATTTAATAAGCTATTCATAACGTTATCATGAATAAGCTTTGAAGTATTTAAACCTTTAATTAAATAATAGCTTTTCATTAAAACCATTGCAACTATTATAGGAGCTTATATCATTGGATAATATAAGAAAATTATCAAAATATATGAATTAAGTTAAAATTTTCTTATTTATATTATGAATACTAAAATCAACACTATCATGTCAAAATTTAATTTTCAATTATAATCTCATTTTGATTTGACAGTGGAATTATTTTTTGTTAACTCTAATTCAAATCAATTCTAATTATGATGATTATAAAAATATACATAGTATTTTTATTTTCTAATCCTGATAAATCATTATTTACTTTTAAGATGGATTTTGATGCTGAATAAAAATACTAAGGTCCAATTTGAAATTGAGGCAAAACTTTTTTGAATTAGTGTTAAATTATAAAATCATAAGTTGTTTAACCAATTATAATAAGATATATATGGAAAATCAGTAATTGTAAAAGTAAAATTACAATAAAAGATGAATCTGTTAACATTATAATGGATAATAGATATTTAACATTAAGATCATTGTCATTTGTAAAATGCTTTGAAATAATAAAAATATTTCTTACAAAGGATTATAACTCATTGTTTATAACAAGTGTATCATAATTTGTTTGATACAATACGATAATGTATATATAGATAAACATAGTGTATATAAATAAAAGCAATGTCGAGCTAATCATTAAGATAAAAAGTTTATAATTTAGATTTCCTATACAATTATTAATCCATTTACAGTGATGATCGAAACCTTAACAGCATCTAACAGTCATTATAAATATTATTTACATATCACAATTTTTACAATGTTTAGTTTATTCTTATACATAAAGTTAGCATATTTCACAAAATGAATCTAATTTATGATTTCCAAAATCGAATGATTATCTTAGAAAATATAAATTAATCTTACCCTTAAAGACGAGTTTAAATTTGTTTAATTATAACTTAATCAATTGGACAACTTAAAGTAGTTTTGAAACTTGAAAATAAAGATATCATAGTTAAGATACTTAAAATAGAGTAATGTATTGCCTAAATTTGATAAATGAATTGTACAATTTAATCAAGTACAGAAATAAGTAAAAAACAATTTAAGAGGTTAGGAAAATAAAGTATGTATGTTAGTAATTGATGTAAAGTGGGTAATTGAGTACAACCACTTTTATTGATTTTAATTTTCTTCATATATAAAATAAAATTAGGAGTAAAAGAATACAAAATTAAAACAATTGATATAACCTTTTTAGGTATTAATAAATATTTTATTATTAAAAATGGCAGACAATGAAAATAATGATGATTAAGTAAATTTAGAAGAAGATCCAATGGCATTCTTACCAGCAGACCATGTAATTGTTAATGTGATTAAATTTAGCATTTATTGGCACGTTTGCAAATTGCATTACAAAAATAATTGAATGATGAACATTCAAGAGTAGAATTAGAACTTGTAGAAGTAGAAGATCAATTAAAAAAACTTGATAGAGAAAAAGAAGATATTGGTATTAAAAATATTTACATATTAAGGTGTTAGATTATATGGAGTATAATAATAGTTAGCAGAAAATTAATAAAATTTTGAAAAAGCTCATGAAAATTTTAATTTTGTATAAAAATTAAGAATTGAAAGTGAATAAAAACTAAAAACCATAAATGAATTACATTTATAGAAAAAAAAAGAAGTGGATGAACTCTAAAAAAAATATTTAAAAGCTTAAGATGAATTGTCGAAACTTACAAAAACTTTACATACGATAGAGAATTATAATAATTAAATGCAAGCAGAAATCTAATAGACTAGAAGAATAGTGTATAGAGGAGAAGAAAATGTGTAAGCATTAGAGAAAGATAAGAAAAAATAAGATTATTTGATTGATTAAATGAATGAAGAAATTAAGAGATTAACAGAATAAAAGACTATATTAATGGATTAATTGATATCATAAAGTAAAGAGACAGAAAATGCTAGATAAACAATGAAGGATGCTTAAGCAGAAATGGAAAAGATAATTGCATCTAAAAAGAATCTAATGGAAAGATGGTAAAAGAGTTTAGTAAGAATGTAAAGAATGGATAATGCTTTATAAGAAATTAGAGAAGCATATAAGTATATTTAATTTAAGATTATTATTTTAGAAAAGAATCAGAAGTTAATATTTAATTAGGAACTGAACTTTAAGGCATTAATAATGAAATTAGAAAAGAAAATGCTAGATCGGAAGATTTGATTGCTATGAAAAGAAAATTAGAAAATTAAAAACTCAATTTAGAAAATAAAAGATAAGAATTACTTGAAGAATAAGCTAAATTAAATGCTTAAGTACTTTTATTAAATGAATCACTTAAATAAACAGAGAATGAAACTAAAAAAACTGATAATGAATAGAGAAATGTAGATGAATAAATGAAATTAATTGAAACTAATATTATGAAATTGCATACTGAAACTAAAAGTTTATTAGAAGATTTATTAGATTCTAAAAGTGAAAATACAACTATTGAAAAAACTGCCTTAAATTTACTTAAATAAGCTTAAATTATTTAATCGGAAATTGAAGAAAAAGAAATTGAATTAGAAAATCTTAATAATGAAATTGCAAGAGTTAAAATTGATTAATTAAATACAGAATAATAAATTGAATAATTAAAATTGAAAAAAGCAGCTGTTATAAAGGAAAGAGATGATAAGAAAATTACAGTTGCTACTTATGAAGTTTAAATTAAATAAGGTCATGAATTAAATGAAAAAAAATAACATGAAGTTGGTAGATTAAATAAAGTTCATGATGAATTAACAAATAACTCATCAGAAGTGAGTAGAGGACCTTTAGAAGCTACTAAATCTAATCTTAAAAGATAATTTGATGAAATGATTTAATAATGTGAAGCCATGCATAGAGATTGGATTAAAAAATAAACTCAATTAGTTGAAAAAACTAAAGAGTATGAAACATGTTCAACTGAGGTTGATGAATTATCAAATAAATAAGTTATCTTAGAAAATAAAAAAATGAGATTGAATTCTTAATATAAATCTCATGAAAGAGAAATTAGAGAAATTAAAAACAGTCTCAAAAACTTATAAAATGATATGAATAAATTAAATGATGATTTAGCAAGATATTAATTTAAATAAGAAAAATTAACAAATGAAAATAATCATATTTAGAGTGAATTTTTGGAAAAGTTAAAAGAATTAGAAAAGGAAGCTGTAAGATATGAAGTCTAAATAGATAAATTAAAGGATAGCAAAGCAGATTTATTAAATGATATAATGGAAGCAGAAAAATAAATTTTGTTATGGGAAAGAAAGATTTAATTAGAAAAAGAAATGTAAGAAGCCTTAGATCCAAATGTTGGGTAAAGCGAATTAAAACTATTGTAAAAAGAAATTCATAAAATGGAACTTAGATAAAAAGAATAAAAGAAGAGTTAAGAATAAATTATAAAGGAAATGGAAAGAACAGTTTTTAAGAGAGAAACAATATAATTAAAATATTTAAACAAGGATAAATCTTCTTCAGGAACAAAAGATCTTAAGCTTCCGCCAGTAGTTACTAGCAATAACACAACATAAGTGAATAAATAAATTTAAACACTTAAAAATACTTTGAATCAAACATTGATGAATGGATAAAAAATAGAATAGGGAATTAGAGCATAAGAAGATTAGCTAGAGAATGTAAAATATATTAAATATTTATCTAGCTCTAATAATAAATTTAAGAAGCTACATAAAAATAACAATAAATGGAATAAGAAACATATGAGAATAAATAGAAATTATACTATGCTAAAAATGAAAGACTTTTAAATCTATTCAAAATAAGTTAATTATAATCTTAAGCTAAAAAATATGAGGAATTATTAAATAATCCAAAACTTCCATTTCCTGAACAATAAATTAGATAGTATAACTTAATTTAATTATTAGAAAACTTGATGAACAAAAAAATTTCACAAATAACATTAAGAGTGCATTAAATAAACTTGTTGATGAATAACCATAATTACAAGAGATTTTATCCCCATTATTAGAATTATGATAGATATGAATTTTATTAAAATATTAATCAGAAAGAAAAATATTTAATGATTTTTTTTTTAAGTAGATCTTTACAAAGAATATAAAGAATTTTTTAGATTATAAACATTGAATTTAAAAACTAAAAATTATAATCATAAATTAGAGTAAGCACAAAACATCTAGCTTTGAGTGATAAAGGGGTTTTAGCAGCAGGAAGTTTTATTTAGAATATGTAGAAAAATTATTTATTTGGTGAATTAAAAACGCATTATTTAAGTTTTAAGGCTTCTTCAATGATTTGTGATGTTGATCTTATCAAAGATGAAGATTATTGCACATTCAATAGTTAACAACAACCTGAAAGGTTAGAAACTTTTTATGATGTTATTTAATTTATTAAAATTTTTAGTTTAATTAGAGATGTTTACAATCATCCAAATATAAAAGACCCAGCTAATCTATTCCTGCTGAAAAAACTAAAAGAAAAAAATCATAATAGGATTGGGAATGACTTAATTTATAAAAATATTTTTACTAACTTTTTTATGTTCATTTAAATAAATAATTTGATTCTATTAATTATTTATATTAAGAGGATTTTGATAAAGAAATTGTAAGACATCTAAATTAATTTTAATTTTTAAAGGTATTAAAAAAAAATACAAATATAAGAATTAATTGTTATCATTAATTGAAAGTAAAAAGTTTAAAAAATATATTAATTATTAAAAATATAAAATGTAATAAATACAGGAAGAATTTGCTAATTTAAGTTTAAATACAAATATAACTGGATTTATTCATTGCGAAGATTTTGATCAACATTTTTCAAACAAATAACATTATGAAAACCCAAAAAGAACTTAATCAATAGATTAAACCATTTAAAAATATTTATCTTAAGAAAAAGGTAAATTATAAGTGGAACAAATGTCATAGTTTGAATAATGGTATTTTAAATCAATATAATTTAGTAATGTAGAACATTTGAGACTAGTTTATGATTCATAATACATAGAATTCGTTGAGGGATTATTTGATGGGTTAGATTTAGGAGATGTAAATAAATAGAAGGAAGTTGTTCATATGAATGATACTTATTTATGTAAAACATCTGCTTTCACTGCTAGAAAATGTGTATAGGCAGTTTTAGAAGGAGTTGATAAGATATTATCAAATTAATGGAGGAATGCGTTTTGTAGCGTTAGACCTCCTGGTCATCATAGTGGACATAAACCTAGACCAACTGGATTCTGTATTTATAATAATGTAGCTATTGCTGCAAAATATGCAAGATAACAATATAAAGTAAAGAAAATAGTAATATTTGATTGGGATGTTCATCATTGTGATGGAACAGAATAAGTATTTTATGAAGACCCTAATACATTGGTGATATCAATTCATAGATTTGATCATGGTGAATTTTATCCTAGAAGTGGAGATCCTGAGAAAACAGGTGGAGAAAAAGGGTAATATAAAAATATTAATGTTGGTTGGAATGTACCTGATGATGGAAATGTTCCAGGTTATGATGATTATGTTTATGCATTTGATAGATTATTAGGACCTATCATAAAGGAATTTAGACCAGATTTTATTATAATAAGTGCTGGTTATGATTCAGCTAAAGGTGATCCACTTGGTCGTATCAATAATACTCCAGAGGGTTATTAATATATGACTGAATAATTACAATAAATATGCCCTAAAGTTTTGGCTGTTTTAGAAGGAGGATATAATTTAGATGTTACAGCTACTTGTGCTTTAGCAACTCTTAAATAATTAATGGGAGTACCTTAATAGTTTCCAGTTAATATTGAACCTTGTAAATATGGTATTAAAGCAGTAACAACTACTGTCGATAAACATAAATAATTTTGGACTTGTCTTATGTCTGAAAAATTGGTGGAATTTTAGAAAAAGTATTTAGGATAATCAGCTGATTTAATATCAGGAGGACATCTTTAATTATTCTAAATTTAAAATGATATCATTATCAAGACAACTAAATAAGGGGAATTCTCATTTTATTAAGCTGTTAATGATAAAACTCATCAATTTTATTAAGAAAATTAAAAGTTCATCAAATTTATGCCAAAATTAATATCTCTGGATGAAAAAACATATTCTATTACTATGGTATTTAATATTAATTAATTCTAGGAAAATTTAACTTATGGATTAGAGAATGGATCGATTATAGATTTAAAAATAGGTTATAAAACATATAGTCCGAATTGTACAAAATAAAAAAGAGAAAAAGAAATTAAAAAAGCCAATTTTTGTAATTAGAAATAAATGGGTTTTAGAGTGGCTGGAATTAAGATAAGAGATGAGAATGGAGAATCAATTGTTAATAAGAATGGATCTGAAGCCTATAAATGGATTATAAATTAAAATAAGATGAAAGATATTATTGAATAAGTTTTTAAATCAAATTAAATTTAATAACCTAATAAGGAAGCACTTAGAGGTTGTATTTAATTTATTTAAGAATTAATAGAAGTACTTTCAACCTGCAAAAAGTATAAATTATTAAAATTTATCTTAGATTGTTTCGAAATACTTCCATTCTTATAATAGTAGATAACTTGTCAAAAAAGTATCGTATTAAATGGATTGATTTCAGTTATGTTATGAATTTATCAGAAGATTCTGAAGATCCAAAAGCTGAGATGGATAATAATGTAATAGGAGGACTTAAATATTTGAATTCTATGTTAAAATAGATAGAATCAAAATGATCAAATTAAAAAGAATGGGAACTTTTCTTTAATTAAGAAAAAGCTCTTTATTTATTAAAATTAATTTCTGTTTTTAAATTTTTATAGATTTTGTTGCTTATTTATGAATATAAATAGTGATATATGTTTTCATGAATATTTGTTTGATATAATTTGAAATATATTTTTTAATAATAAGAAAAATATCATAATAAATGAAATATAATTATTAGTTAAAGAAACATCAATATTAATGATTTCTTTAATTAATTTCAATCCTGCTGATAGGTATTGTTATATAGATAGTCCTCGTTCAATTTAAGTAATGAGATAAAGAGGGATTGCATAAAATGAGTTATTGTGCATAAATAAAGATTAATTATAAGCAATGATGAAAAAGGAGAAAACATTAACAAATGAGAATTTAGATGATTTTCATAAACATTTTGAATATCGTAGATAATAAAAAGTTTATACATTAATAAGAGATAGAGAAGCTTTGATAGAGAAAGAAAAAAGAAGTAAGATTGAATAAAGTACATGCAGTATGAAACTGTTAAGACCAGCAAGTAGTACAACTGCATCAAAATTTATGGATCAAGTATAAAAGCGTAAATAAATGGAGGAACTAAGATAGAGACATTTATAAGAGATGATGTTAAAAAGAGAAGAATAGACATAAATAAGAGAAGAGAAGTTGGCGTTATATGAAGAAAAAAGGAAAAGAATTTAAGAAGAAAGGTAAAGAGATTTTGAAGAAAAATAAGAAAATATTGCTAAATAGAAAAGATTTAAGGAATTAGAAGAATAAAGAAAAAATAAATAGTTATAGCAAGTTTATTTTGAAAGAGAATAAGAGAGAAAGATATAATTAGAGTTTGAAGAATAATAAAGAAAAGAAGAAGCAGCTAAAAGAGAATAATATTAAAGAGATTATAAAGTATAGTTAGAAAGAGAAAAGAGAAAAAAAGATAAATAGAAGGAATTAGAGTATTTAATGAGAAAATAAGAAGAAGAAGATTAAGAACTAAAAAGATAGATGTTTTTTAGATAATAGTAAGAATCAAAGAAAGAAGTTGCTTAAAGAAGAGCTTAATCAGCTAAAGAAAGATAAAAAGAAGCTTAAAGAACTTAAATTTAAGGATTGAAGAAATTAAGAGAAGATTTTTAAAAGAAGGAAGAGAAAATAGCTGAAAAATAATATAAATTTTAAGAATAATAAAAAGAAAGATAATTATCAATTGAAGAGAAAAATAGAATTAAAAATTAAAAAATTAAGAATACTGCTAAATAAAAGGAGTATGATTAAGAAGAAATAAGAAGAGAATTTATTGAAAAGGAAATGGATATATAAATAAGATTATAATAGAGAAGTTAATCAAAGTCTAAAGATTAATTAATGTAAGAAGAAGCAGAAAGGAGAGCTAAACATAGAGAAAAAGTTAAGAAAATGAATATGTTGTAATTAGAAGAAAAAAGAAATATATATTTAAAAAAAATAGATGAATAAGATGAAAAAGTAATTTTTAATTTTATTTATATAGATTGAAAGAGTAAAAAATGAATAGGAAACTATGTTACAATAATAAGCATATATGAAATTGAAAAAAAGACTCGATTAATAAGAAGCTATTAAACATTAAAAATAGTTGGAAGAATATAAAAGAGAACAAATTAGAGAAAAATTAAGATAGGTAGATATGAGGATGGAATAAAAGAAGGAAGAATAAAGAGAATTAGATAGATTGAGAGAATAAGCAAATAGAGTGGAGATGATGGGAAAAAAATAATGATATTATATTTGACTTTCATTATTAATATAAATATGATGCTTTTAATAAAATAAGATTAAGAAAATATATCAAATTAGAAATAAAATAATAAATAGTGAATACTTGTTTAAAATCAAATATTAAGAAGGATTGTATATATGAAAACAAATTAATTAATGTGCGTTGTTTATTTATGTAATTAATAATAAAATGCAAAAACATCATTATTTTCTTGATCTTACATACCTGATAAATGCTCTTTAAGAAATTGCCTTGCTTCTATCAAATAGATCCATGCATAGTTAAAAGTGAGCTTATTCTTTTGTTTCTTTAAAACACAACATAAATTATTCTTCTTTTATTGCTTCAGATAAAGCAGCTTACATTTAAATTTAAGTTAAATTATTTATAATTTATATTATGACAAAAATGCTCAAATTGGTTTGTTATCTTTATTACTTTAAGGATATGAAGCTACAGGAGCTTAATAAACAGATGGAATATAGGGTTAAGCTGGTCTAATAGTTGAATATGTTAATGGTTGTTAAACAACAGATTAAATAACAGGTTTTTAGATAACTGTTTAAACAACAGGTTATTAAATGTATTATGCTGGTTGAGCTATGTATTATTAAACAACTGGTTGCTAAACTACCACTTATTGTTACTAAAAGATTATAAAATTATATATACTCTTTAAACTTCTCTTTCAACTGCTTCATATTCAACTCTAGGTACTGTTTTAGTAATAGGAACATATTCTGTTTATTATTCATAAACTGTTCTTGGTATATATTCAGTTTAATATTCAACTGGATAATAATCTGTAACATATTTTGTTTTTGGCACTTAAACTTGAATAGTTTCTGTTTCCATTTCAACGACTTGTTTTTAATATTCTTTGTATTCTACTCTTGATTCTCCTCGAATAGTTTATTAAACAGGTTAAGCAACTACTTATTAGACAGCCACAGGTTATGTAATGTAGGATTATTACACAATAGGTTAGACTGCTACAGATTGTACAACTGATTATGTTATTGGTTGGGCAGCAGCATATTGAATTGGAGTAGCATATTAAACTGGAGCATAGGAAACTGGTTAACCATATGTATTAGGATAAGTTAATGATTAGCCTAATGGAGCATTGTATTGATTGTATCCAGGATAATAAGACATTTCTATTTTGTTATTTTTATTTATCAAAATCAAACAAAAGAGACTCAAATTTAAATGTCGAAAAAGATATTATTAAACATTAGAAAATAAAATAAATTTTATTTACTAAACATAACATAAACTTTTAATATTAATTCGATTTTTTTAATTAAATTCAATTAATAAATATATGAATGTTCCTTATAAATTGTATTATTGATATTATTATACAAAATACATTATTTTATAAAATAATTAGAATAATGCATATTATTTATATCATCCTTCAACTTTTGCCATCATTTCAAGAACTTGTTCAATTAGAACTTAAAATTCATCTATTGATAATTTTCCATCTCCATTTTCATCTAATTCTTTTAAAACTTCATCAATTTCTTCACTTGTGGGTGGCTTCAAATATCTTATTTTGATATACCTCCACTCCTAAGTCAGCTGCAACATTATTCATAACTTCTTCCAGTTCTGGTCTTTCAAGGTATCCACTTCCTATTATTATATATATGCATTAGTTACCATCTTTATCTACTTACTTAAATGCACTTTCAGCCACAAATCTCACTTTTTTCTTGTCTTTCAATATGTCCTTTACTGATCCATTGCTCATTTTTTTTTTAGTTTATTTAAATTATTTATACAAAGCGCTAATACTTTTTTAGGATTTGTAGTACTTATTTAATAGAATCTCTTGACGAAAGGTTTATTGCAATACTTATAATTGAAAAAAGAATGATCATTCAACATTACTCTAGAACTATTTTGTTTATTAATAATTAATATTATAATATATAAAAAATATATTCAAACTGTTCACAAATCATTACAAAACTTTTCAATTTATTCTAACAATACTAAAATTATTTTTATCATTTAAAAGTTAAAGATTTTGGATAAGTTAAGGTTTTCCTTCTTTCGATTATTTAAATATACATCTTTAAATCTATAATTATTATTACTCTTTTTATCATTAGTATCTTTGATTATTTATTTCGATAACTTGACGAAAAGAACTTTTTAGAAAGGAAAACAATAACACAATTTTATTTTGATATTATCGAAATGCTAAGTTAACTATTTTCTCCCTTGAATGCTTACATTGCAATTTAATGATTTAATAATATTACCTATGCTTTAAAATCTATCAAATTTTCTAATTTTTTTATACAAATTCAAAACTACCTAAACATAAATCAACTTTTAATTTTCAATTGTTTTATACGAAATGATCTTTAATTTAAAGGTTATTACAAAATTTCTAATAACGTTTTAATTGAATTATTTTTTATTGTATCCAGTAAATGGTTTTATTTCTGGAGTCGAAATACTTTTGAATTCTTTTGACACTTGAATATCTGAATTTAATGATTTTAATAAAGCTATTTTTACTAATTCTTAAAAAAACTGTTCGATTTCACTTTCAAACTTTTACTAAACAATTTGCAATTAACATCTAAGTGCTCTTTATTAATTGATATCTGAAATTTTAAAAATTTATTTGATCTTATAACCTTAATTCTCATTTAATTATCAACCAGTAAATATATTTTATTTACTTTTTTTTCTATAAATAACTGATTTATTTGCATTATGAATGTTTTGTGATTGTACATAGATAGCAAAAAGTAATTGGTGATATACTTTTTCTCTAGATTTTTTTTAATTCGCATTATTATTTCCTCATTCAAATTTTTTTAATGAAATACATAATATAGAAATATCAAGGTTATATTGATTATTAATATACCCTTGAGATCTGAATTGACGAAATATTTTAAAATATGATATTTTTGTCTGCATTTTGAAAAATTATTTTTATTTAACTACATTAATAAATAATTATTATTCATAATATTAAACTAATAATAAAAAAAGAAAATTAGCAAAAGAAATACCAATATTATAATTTTATTTTTGGAGTATATTATAATTGTGTTAGATTTCTTTCTTAGTTTATATATTATACTATTTACAATTAAATTTAGGATAATTTAGTTTTAGAATTTATTTATTTAATAGTTTATTATGCAAGATCATTTTCTTTTAAGAGTAATGAATTTAGAATAGGCACTAAAATAAGAATGGGATTCATCTTATTGGATATGGGGTTTATTGATTTTTTTATGTTTGATGGGTCAAGTAATTTGTATTTTTATGCTTGCCAAACCTGATACATAGAAAGAGGATTCTGATAATCATATTTAGGCTGAAAATCAATAATTAGATCCTGAAAATTAAGTTGAACAAGAGAAACTTTTAGAGACTAATGATTGATAATAATGAAAAACGATAATTATAAATAATTGATTCACTTGATAATATGATTATGATCTTAGTTGAATTATATAATAAAAAGATTACAATGTTAGTAATTGAATAAACTAAGAAGCGTTGTATTTATAGGAGGAATGTATAAAATCTATTTTGAATTTATTTTATAAAAAAAAATGGATTAAAAGAAAGGGAGATAAGGTAAAAAAAAAGTTAGTCCTGAAAAGAATTAATAAGTTGAAGAAGAAATTGTTGTTCAGTCTAAAGGGAAATAATAATAAAAGGAGACTAAGAAAGCAAAAGATAATGATTAGAAAAAAGGAGCAAAGAAAATAGAGAAATAATAGAATATAAAAGGGGAGGAATAAAAAGTAAAATAAGTAAATCAAGGAGAATAAAAATTTGATTTAGGAGATGGGAAATTTAATACTCCAAGAATAAAAATAGCTAGTTGGAATATAAATGGAATTAGAGCAGTAACAAAACATGAATCTGCTGTTGGATATTTAAATGATAGCAAGGTATATGAATTATATAAAATTTAGTTTGATGTAATTTGTTTAAATGAATTGAAAGCGGACCAGGCAGTATTTGATAAAGAAAATTTAGGCGCTAAATTTGGAAAACACTATTTTCTATATTTAAATTTTTGTAAGTGCAAAAGTGGATACAGTGGAGTAGCAATAGCATCAAAGTAATATTAATAAATTAAATAGATAGGGTGAAACCTATTTCAGTTAAATGTGATATAGGTGTTGATAAACATGATAAAGAAGGAAGAACATTAACAGCTGAATTTGAAAAGTTTTATTTAGTATCATGTTATGTTCCTAATTCTGGATAGAAATTAGAAAGACTTGGTTATAGAACTAAAGAATGGGATGTTGATTTCTAAGCATATCTTGAAGGATTGAGAAAGAAAAAACCTACTATTTTATGTGGAGATCTTAATGTATCACATCATGAAATAGATCTTGCTAATCCCTCTGGTAATAAGAAAAGTGCTGGGTATTTTTATTATTTTGAATATTAGATTTACTTAATAGGAAAGAGATTAATTTTCTAATTATTTATAAAAAGGATGGGTTGATTCATTTAGACATTTACATCCCAAAGAAGTTAAATATAGTTTCTTTAGTGCAAGGAATAATTGTAGGTAAATAATAGAGTTAGTATTGTTTTAGATAAGAAAATAAAGGATGGAGATTAGATTATTTTATAATCAATAAGGAAGCTACTGATGCTATTATTGTATCAGATATCAATTTATAAGTTGAAGGAAGCGATCACGTTCCAATTGAATGTGAGGTTGATCTTACAAAATTATGATAGATATAAATAGATATATCTAAACAATTTAATAATTTAATTTAACTCTATAATTTATATTTATAATAGATTCAATATCATATTATTTTTATCAATTTCTTTTTATTTTCTAACATAGAATTTTATCTCACTAAATATTCGATTCAATAATTTTGTGTTTCTATTAAATTAAAATCCAAATTTCATATTATCTATTATTATTAATAAAAATACTTTATGTATTAAGAAAAGTCGTGTAATTATTTTATGTATTCTTAGCAAAGACTTACACCAAATACATCAATAGACAATTTTGGAAAGATGCACTTGAACATTAATATCCAGCTGAAAAATTAGAATAATTTTTTAATTAATATCATAAGAACCCAGATGAATTAAAAATAGCTATAGATAATTTAAATCTTTGTAAATTTCCAGATCTATTGTAATTTTGTCTTGAAACATTAGTATTTATGTCAAAACAAAACATTCAAAATCATAAATACTATATCGAGTAAATTTTATAAACTTCAAATTTTCATAGTTTATTTAAAAAAGAACTTGATATCATGAAAAATAAAGTCAATCAAGCTAGAGGTATAGATTTCTAATAATTCTAATAATTTATTAATTATTTTTTAAAGTTTGTCGAATACTCATAAAAATTATAATTGAAATATTTACCTTAATACCTTGATTAATTAGAATCAACAGTTGTAATTTTAATGAGAAATAACTCAAGTTTTAATTAATAGTTTTAACAAATTTAAAATTTTAAAAAACCAATAAACTTTTCAAGTAATAATCCATCAACTCAAATTTAACCAAATTTAAATAATTCTGTTATTGTCAATCCAGGAAATTATTAATAATAAAACTCTCAAAATAAATATTAACCTAGAAATTATTAAGTTGAATATAAACCAATTCAACCTCAAAATTATTAATCATCAAGTTAAAATAATACTCCTTCAAATTAATAATAATAAAATTTCCTACCAGAACCTATTTATAATCCTTAATAGAATCAGTAATATAAACCAAGAAATTATTTCAACTAATAAACCCAACAAACAAACTAATAATAATCTAATTATTAAATTTAAAATATCCAACATTCTAATAATGATTTTGATGATTTCTAGATGTTACAAAAAGATTAATACTCATAACCTTAACAGTTCAACTATTCAAATAAAACCTATCAACAGTAAAGTTATAATTAGTATCAATAAAATGATTTGATGAACTCCTAAAAAATTTAAGATAATTTTAGAAAACTATCAATATAATCATATGATTCCTAAACCTCTTATAAACCATATGGTTATAAAGAGAGTCCTTATGTAGAAAAAAAGTCTTCTTAAATAAGTTAAAGTACATCAATTCAATCTAATAATACATAATTTTCATAAACTTAGGGAGATAAAAATTGTTAATTGTTAAATTCTTTTAATTAAAATGAATTATAAGAAAAAAATAATTAAGTTTAGGAACAGCATTTTCAATTTTTAAATTAAAAATACGACATAAAATATTATGAAGAGATGAAGAATTTTTATACATAGAAATAAAAGAAAGAATAAAAATCAAGACTTATTTAAATGGATAATGTTTGTGTAAGTTATAAAAATTGCCCAATAGGACCAATAATTTCAGAATTTGAAAATGTTTCAGATAAAGCTTATGTATATGGAGGAAATATTTTTGAAATTCCTTTTGGCTCAGCTTTTTAAAGTACAGAATTATTTTTGAACAATCACTTTTTTATACTTAGAGAAGATTATTTAAAGAGTTTTAGAATAGTAGTTAACAATTTAAAAGTATCTGGTTTTGAAAATATTGATTATCAAGTACTATAAAATGCCTTTTTATATTATAATGTACTTATAGAAAATATAACAGTGACAAATAGAGGATTTTAATTTATAGTTACAATGAATGTATATGAGCCAAAAAATGTTCGTACAAATTGGTAAAAAACTACTAGACTTATGCCAGGTTCATTGCTTTTATTAGTAAATTTTATTTAAAATTAAGTCAACAACATCACTTGAATTCATGTTATTTGGTACTGTCGTCGAAAAACCAAAATCAGAGTAAAATGGTAGAGTCTATATTTCAATAACAATCATAGGCCTATCAATGAAAGAGTAATTAAGATTTGTTAATAGTCTTTTAAGTTAAGGTATCATATATTTGAATAATAAAAGAGACTTAATTAATAGCAATAGAAAATAAGATATATTTTGAGATATATACTCATTTTTTAAGTTGTTTATAAAATATTGAGCCATCTCATCTTCCATTTGCTGATTAAATTGTTTTTGGTTCAAAGATAATGCCAATTCCAGGATATTTAAATAGACCATAAATAATTAAGGAAGGTATTTAGTATGATATTGATTTAAAATTTGATTTACATAAATAGAAATAAATAGGATAATAGCAAAGAGTAAATATATTTAGGGAATGGCCTAAAGTTAATTAGGAGAGTTTAGATGAATCATAATTAAAGGCAATTTAAATTATTTTGAAAAATGGAATATCATTAATTTAAGGTCCTCCTGGGACAGGAAAGACCTTTTGTGGAGCATTAGGTGTTAGAATATTATTATAGAATTAATTTAAATGGAATGATTAATTTCAATAACGATAAAATAAACCAATATTGATAGTCTGTTAAACAAATCATGCATTAGATTAATTTTTAAGACATATTCTTACGTTTTGTAGAATGGATGACATAGTAAGAATAGGTGGTAGATGTAAAGAAAAGGATTTTGAACCTATGCTTTTACAATTTAATTAATAAGATAGAAAAATACATTTTAGATGGGATTTATTTTTAGATCTAAGAGATGATCTTGATAGAAAATTGAGAAATTTATTAAATCTTATTGACAATGTAAATTATAAGGATGTTGAATAATATATGCCAGATTTATTTGAGATGGTTGTATCTTAGTATTTAGAAATAGAGGATCTAAATTTTAAAAATCCAATTGATGTAGAATCTAAAAAAATTATTATGCATATGTGGTTAGATAATTTTAAACCTAGAGAAGAATAAGCTTAAAAAATTATAGAGAAGGAATAGTCTTATAAAAATTATTTAAAAAAAGAATAATTGAATAAAAAACAATTTAAACCAATTTTAGTTTATAAATATAGTGATTTAGATATCTAATTTTAATTAAATGAAGATGCAAGAAAGTAGTTAGAAAAAGATGAAGAAGAAGAAAATGTTTTAGATGAAAATTAAAATCTTGATTCTGATGAAGAAGAAAATAGAAAGGTTTTAATTACTTCAGAAAATACTGGAAAGGAAGAATTCATAAAAAAGCTTATTAATGATTCAAGGACAATTAAGAGATTATTAAATCGTTTAAGTAAAGATAATGAAGCAAGTTTTATAAAAATAATGAATGATATTAATGGGAACAGAAATTATAAAATATGGGAAATGCCTTAAACAAAAAGGAATATTATTTCAAGGTATATTTTTAGTTAAAAATTTTAATATTTGTTTAAATTATTGGAAGAAGAAGTAAATATATTTGAAGATTATATAAATAAGTTGAAATAAGCATATATAGATAGAGATCTTAAATATATTTAAAGTAAGTAAATTGTAGGAGTTACATTATCAGGATGTGCTAAATATGCAGAAAAACTATCAAATTTAAATTTTAATATACTTATAGTAGAAGAAGCAGGTGAAGTATTGGAATCTAATTTGGTAGCAGTTTTGTCAAAGTAAATTAGTCATTTAATTTTAATTGGTGATCACCAATAATTAAAACCACATATGGAATGCTACGAATTAGAATTAAAATTTAGAGCAAATATATCATTATTTGAAAGACTAATAAAGAATGGATTAGAATATGTCACATTAAAATATTAGAGAAGAATGAAATCCTCGTTTGCAGATTTTATACGATTAATTTACTCAAATTATCATGATCATGCTTCTATATAGGAATAAAATAAAATTCATTTAGAAGGATTTAAAAGTGATTTATTACTATTTAATCATCATCATAATGAAGATTAGAGAATACATTCTAGTTCAAAATAAAATAGATTCGAAGCATAAATGATAATACGAATGGTAGATTATATGTTAAAGAATAGAATATAAGAGAAATAAATAACAATTTTAACAACTTACATAAGATAGGCATTATATATATAATAAGAATTACGTAATAGAGCAATAAAAGTATAATCAATAGACAATTATTAAGGAGAAGAAAATGATATAATATTATTATCATTAGTAAGATCAAATTATAACAATAAATTGGGATTTGTTGCAATAGATAATCGAATATGTGTGGCATTTTCAAGAGCAAGATTAGGACTATATGTATTTGGCAATTTTGATTTTATTTAAGATTGTATAAAAGATGAATTAATGAAAAATCCTTAAAAAAGAAATCCAGATATTTCAGATTTATGGTTAAAGATAATAAATTTAGCAAATTAAAAAGGAGTAATTAAAGATTTTATTGAATTAGAATGTTCATCTCATAAATAAGTTACAAAAATATATGATATTGGAGATTGGGATTAAGTTAAAAATGGTGGTTGTTAAAGTATATGTAATATTAAATTTCCATGTGGACATACTTGTAAAAAGAAATGTCATAAATCTGATCATAAATAATAAGATTGTTAAGAATAATGTAATAAATAATTAAAATGTGGTCATTATTGTCATGGATAATGTAATTAAATTCATTGTCCTCCTTGTAAAACATTAATAGAAAAGAAAATTCAATCTTGTGGTCATATTACTAAAGTATTATGTTCTGATTATAATTTAAATACCAAATGTAGAGAAAGTTGTAATAAAATATTAAATTGTGGGCATTAATGTTCACTTAAATGTATGGATGATTGTAAAAATAATAAATGTTTACATTCTTTATAATATATATTACCAAGATGCAAACACTAAATATCTATTAGATGTGATGATTTAAATTATGTTGATAAATTGATTTGTTCATTTAATTGTTAAAATGTATAAATTTGTGGACATTATTGTAGTGGAACTTGTGGTGTTTGTTTCGATAAATTCCATAAACCTTGTATTCAAAAATGTGATAAACTCTAACGATGTGGTCATAAATGTTAATTATTATGTTCTCAAGAATGTTATATGTGTTAAGAATAGTGCTTAATCAAATGTAATTGTAATATAAGATGTAAATACAAATGCAATCAGGAATGCTATCAATGCACAAGGCCTTGTTCTTTGAAATGTTAGCATTCTTAATGTAATAACAAATGTTATCAAATTTGTGATAGATAACCATGCAATCACAGATGCACCTAAACTTTGTAATGTGGTTGTTAATGTATGGGATTTTGTGGAGAAGTGTGTCCATCAGTTTGTTAGGTTAAATAACATAATAATTAATTTGCTGATAAGAATACTATTTATTATTAATTGGAATGTGAATGTAATTTAACTGTTGAAGCAGAATTTTTAGATTAATATTTTGATAAAGAATAAGAAAATTTTATTCATTGTCCTAAGTGCAAATAAATAATTTGGAAGAGTAGTAGATATTAAAAATAAGTTAAAGAATCATTAAAGTGGTTTAATAAGTTAAAATAAGATAATATTAAAAAATATGATATTACAAATGATAAAATCTAGAATGCAATTAATCTAGTTAATTAAAAGCTCTAATTTATTTAATAAAATAAGTTAAAAGACAAAGATAGCTTTTTAGATAATATATTAAAGGAATTAAAAAATGAAAGTAAATTAACTAGTTCAGGGAGAGATTCTAAGATGCCCTATCACTATTTTAAATGTATTAAAAATTAAATGAAATGCTATGAAAAGTCTGTTAAGTTGATTCAATCTCTAAATGACAGTTTAATATTTCAGTTTCATAAACATAATTTGATTACAGAATATTTAATGAATGAAAATTTTAGAATCAATCACTCTAAAGCCTTCTGGTGGAAAGTATTATTCAAACTAGACAATCTTTTGTTATTTTAATAAAGTCTTAATTTGTTCCAAAATACAAAAAATAAATAATTTTAAGATATTTCCTTTGAAATTGAAGATTCAAACTTTTTTTTGGATGATCAAAAAAAATAAGAATTTGAGAAGATCCTTAATAAACCTCTATAATGAAAAATAAAGTGTTTTATTGAACAAGTATTAAAACTCATCTAAAAAAATAACTATAAACATCATTTCCTAAAGCTAATGGTTTATCAATTAATTATTTCATAAATCCCTTTTTTGTTTTTTATTTTTGTTATTTTTCTTTCCTTTTTATCAATCCAATATCTAAAAGTACCTATACTAGTCTTTGTTATTTTCTACATTTTTACATTTCTCTGTAGAAATTATTTATTAAACCTCTTTTGATAAATTCAATTATTTGTTAAAATTCGTTTAATTATAATAAATAATGTTCAAAATACTTAAGCATAGACAATATCATTTTAGTTAAAATATCATCCCCTTCAATAAAAAACATAGCTAATAAAACAAGAGAGAATTAAATTGGAGCATGCTACATACATAGAGTTAAGTAAAATGCACTTACACACATACTTAAATCTTCAATTCCAAGTTTTACAAAATGTTAATATAATGCAGGCATTCTTTTCTTAAATTTAAAATTGAATTTGGCTATCAACATAAATAATCCAGGAGTTCCATTTATATAAAGTTATCTCCATTCTTTATCCATAATTATAGTTCTTAAAATTTCAAAGATGGCTTCATCATTATTGAAATCTAAATACATAAGAGCTGCAACAATAAAATTCATTCCTTAACCATAAGAAACTTATGAATCTAAATTACTATAAGCTACCAATATATCTTATAATCTTTGAAGAACTTCTTCTTTTTAAAAAAAATCTGAACTTTTAAAAGTTCTATGTACATCCTTTATAATACATTCATAATTTTTTTCTTTCAATTAAATTTTAAGATGCCTAAATTGGCATGTCATTTAACATTACATTGTTATGAAATCAAAAACTTGCCTCACTGTCAAAGATCTTGTAGTAAATATTGATAATAGTAAATTTTTGTTTGAATCATACAATCCTGTTTTTAAAAGCTCTTACCATTCTGAATGAGATAGTACTTGAATATCTACTTTATAATATTTTAACTCTAATTTCAATTATTCATAGTAATCATCTTCCCATACATATTTTGGAATAGGTTTCAATATAGCTAATTCATCTTCCACTGTTATCTCATGAGAACTTTTTTCATCAAATAATGAGTATGCTTGACGATTACTTTTTCTGAATGGATTAAAATGGTGTTAGATCATATTATTTTCTTATTATAAATTATTAAATTAATATAATAAAGTAAATTATGAGCAATTAACCAATTTTAAAGCCTTGCAAATACTGCTAACAGTCATTTCTCTAACATGAAATTTACAATCATCAGAGATGTTGTAATCTTAAAAAAACATAAAGTTAAAAAATTTAATAAAATATTTAAGAAGTAATTAATGATTAATCAAAAATTCCATCAAAAGTTCAATTATTTTTATATTTTAATAGGAATTGGAATAAAAAGAAAAATAAGTAGATTTTTAAAACTAATAACTTTTGGTATTAGAAGGTGATGTCGAATTTTAAGTTCCTGAGAAACTAAAAGACAAAATTACTATTGTTAGTGCTCTAAAACCTAATAGCAATAAATAACAAAATCCAGAGTAATAATAATAATAATACTAATAATAATACTAATAATAATACTAATAATAGTAATAATAATACTAATAATAGTAATAGTAATACTAATAATAGTAATACCAATAATAATAGTATTAGTAATAATAATAGTAATAATAATAATTATAGTAATAATGCAAATAATAAATATCTAATCAATCCTTAGAAAGTTATAGTGAAAATAAATTAACAAAATGTGACCATTGTAATTGCTTTGTAAATTTAATTGATTTGGATTCACATCAAATGCAATGCTCTTCAGTAATTAGATTCAATGATTTGCTTAAAACAATTAATGAAGAATAATGTAAATCAAATTACTTAGGAGGTTCAATTTAATAATCAAACTAAAATTAAAATAAAGAAAATAGTAAGAATTAGATTATAAGCCAATAGAGAAATCATAATCAATTTATAGATTAATTTTAACCAAAAGATTTCTCAAATTAATAAAAAGCTTGTTAAGTTGAGTTAGACTCTTCCTAATAGAATAAGCCACAAAATTAAATAATTTCTGAATATCTTCAAATATTGTAATAATACAAACCATTAATCTAAAAAGGGAAAAGATTATTAGATCAAGGTTCCTTTAAAAGTATAAATTTTAAAAGTACTTTTTCCCAAAAAGCCTGTTTACTTTGTTAGTATCAATTTAAAGAAGCAGAATGTATATATACTCTATCGTGCTGCTTTGCAAAATATCATTAAAATTGTTTACATAAATACATAACTTAAAGTATTAAATGTTCTAATTGTAAGATTTCGCTATTTCCATTAAGTTAATAATTAAATCTTTGATTTATATGAAAGATTAAAATAAATTTATTATATTTATCAATAATTCTATTAAAATTTTGAAGCTTCTGGTTATTCTACATCTATTTTGCATATGGGACAAGTTGATTAGGTTATAAACCATTTAAATATACAATCATGATGAAATCTATGAATACAAGGCAGTAAAACTAATTCTTCATCTTTTTTATAATTCATATAGCAAATGCTACATAATTTAAATTCTTAATTAAGCTAATCTGAATTTGAGAATTTGATTCTTCCTAAATTTTAAACTTTTCTTTTTTAAATTAGCCTTTTTAGTATTTAATTAATACCTTTGTTCATCACTTTCTTATAACTATGATAAAACTATTTCGTTATTATTATTATTAAAACTCGCAAAGCCCTATTAATTCTTTTTTAAATTATTATTTTAATTTAATATTTATTAGGAAACCTACTCTAATTATGCTCCAGTTTCAGAATCAATAATAAATACTGTTTCATATATTTCATTATTAGCTGGATTTCTAGTGATAATTTTTTGAAGTATTTTGCCATCACTTTAAATATCTTCTTGAATTTGAGTATTAAAATTTACTTCCTTTTGTTATCCAAATCTTTCAATATTGTCTTCTTAGAAATTATAATCATTTTTAGTTTCCTCTATTTGTAGTTATTCAATCATTAGATAGGCTTAACAATTTGGATAATGTTCCTCAATTTCTATTTTTGGAAAAATCTCATTGCAATATTCACACTTCTATGTAATTTATGCTAAAATGGATTAATCAAATAAATCTTTTAAATTATTCTAATTTTTCGATGTTTATGAAGGAAATTCCTTCTATTAATTCTATGATAGATTTTATGAATAAATATAATGAGATTCTAAATCTTAAACTTCTTAGTTTTATTTAATTTAGAAATCATATGTTTTTAGTAAATTCTCAGGATTTAAATTGATATGTTAAATTTATTGTAATTATGGTTCTTAGCTTTATAAAATAAATTTATACCTAAATTGATTATCTAAATTGCATTCTATTCTATGGGCATACATTAAAGGAAGAGGAAAACTTTATAAACAAAATTTACAGGTCACTAATTCATTTTGTTTATTCTACATATATTTAATTATATTAATAAAAAATTAGTATAAATAATATTATAAATTGATGATATAAGTTAATTTAAAGAATTAAAAAATTTAATATGAATAAAAGACTTTCTTTCTCTCTTGAAATGAGTGTAAATAATTAAAGATTAATAATAACATTTAAATTTAATAGAAAATAGTATATATATATATAAAAAATAAAAGACTAAAATTGTAATCAATAAATTTGTTAAAACTAGTTATATAGAAAGGAACTAACATGTAGAGAACAAAGTAAATTTAACTTAAATTAAAAAAATAGAATAAATTTTTATAACTAAAGTTATAAAATAAGTGAAAATGGAATATGTAATGAAAATGATTAGAATGGCAAATTTTAAAAAGGAATGTTGTAAAATGTCATATATAATTTGATTAAATGTAAAAATAATAAATTCTTAATAGACCAATCAAATTGAAGTTTGGTAATTTAAATGCGCAAAATATTAAGTAACATTTTTAATAATAAAAATGGCAAGAACAAAATAGACTGCAAGAAAGAGTACTGCTGGTAATAAGAAACCAACAAAACATTTGGCTACAAAGGCTGCTAGAAAGACTGCACCAGCTGTTGGATCAGCAGGTGGTTTAAAGAAACCACATAAATTTAGACCAGGAACTGTAGCTTTGAGAGAAATCCGTAAATATTAAAAATCAACTGAATTGTTGATAAGAAAATTACCATTTTAAAGATTAGTTAGAGAGATAGCTCATGATTTCTAAAAAGAATTAAGATTTTAGAGTTCAGCTGTATTAGCTCTTTAAGAAGCTGCAGAAGCTTATTTAGTTGGATTATTTGAAGATACTAATTTATGTGCTATTCATGCTAGAAGAGTTACAATAATGTCTAGAGATATCTAATTAGCCAGAAGAATAAGAGGTGAAAGATTTTGAGATTTCTTATAAATTTTAATAAGAAATATATTATATATATATAATATAATTTTTAATGTGGTTAACTAGATCATATTCATTCATAAAAACAAGATTAGATTATCATATCAGAAAACATCCTTAAATTTAAGAGGAATAACCTATTGTTACTTATTAACCAAGTTTAAATATCAAAAACAAGTAGAGATCAGTTAGTGCTAATACTAAAATGAAAATCAATATCATAAAAGTATATAAGTAATTGAATGTTAGGATTTCTATTAAATTTCTAAGGATGATTAATATGTTTATAATTCTTTAGAGATTAATGATATCATATTTATTGAATAAAGAAGAACTGATGATAAAATTCTAGAAAAGAAAGATTGGTTAATTATTCTAAAAAATAAATCATTCTCAGGATATAAGGTTCAATAAATACATTAATCAATTATGCTATAGACTATGGAATATGATATGTAAAATATAAAATAAGTTATAGACGTAGATAATGGTGGATTTTTGTCAGTAATTAAGAACAAAACATAAAGGAATTAAAAAATCAAAGTTTTCAATAATTAAAAAAATCAGATACTCTACATAAAATATAAATTGAAAAAGATGTAGTAAGAACAATCATTCATGATATGTTTAAATAAGTATTATTTTTATATTTAGAATAGCATGAAAATTAATAATCATTAAAAAATATTCTAATAGCTTATGCAAATTATGATAAAGAATTGGGGTATGTTTAAGGACTTAATATCATAGTAGCAAATCTATTAGTTTGCTATGATTTAAGTGTTAATGATTCATAATTAAATGACTTTGAAATTATTGATAAAGATAGAGATGAGACTGTGTTCTTTATTTTATTATATATTATGAAGGATCAAAATTGGAGAACTGTTTTTTTGGAAGGTTTTGAAGGATTGAAAATCAAAATTGATGTACTTGAATAAATGATGAAAAAAAAGATACCTGAATTACACAAACACTTCTATGATGAAGGGATTGTAAAGATGAATTTGTATTTAGACTGATTTTTTCCCTTTCTTTTCTCGTTTCTATATGACATTATTGATGTACAATATCCCTTGGAGATTTTCAAGCATGATACTTGATCTTTTTCTAATTGAAGGTGAAGAAATTATACACAAATTGATACTGGCTATGTTACTATATCATAAAAATAAGTTGATAACTAGAAACTATAGTGACATTAGAATATTCTGTTAAGAATCACTAATTATTAGTTTTCTAGAAATTTTTGATGCCCCTTAACCAAATTTAAAAGCGATTTTGTAAAAACTTAATTTATTATGATATTATATCTAAATATTGTATATTTTTAATCTACTTAAGTAAATCAATTAAAAGCTTTTTTACCAACTATAATATAATCATCATAAAGTTTTTTCTTAGCATAAGGATTTTTTACTTTTGGTTTTAAATGTGGTTTTGTTATAGGAGGTAATTTGGAATTTAAACTTCCATCTCTAACTTTTTCATTCTCATCATCAGATTAATTTAGTTTACCTTCAAGTTTCACTTCTAATTTTATTGTCCCTGGATAAATTCCTTTATTCAATCTCTTTTTTGGTTTAGCTATTGTTATAGCTTTACCAAATTAAGTACTATCACTTGATTGAGACATTGGAGCATCCCAAAATTCCTCAAAAAATTCATGTCTAAGTGCTTCTTCTGCAGTAATTCTCTTGATTGGATCAAGTTGCAATAATTTATAAAGTAAATCTATGCAATCAGAACCAGCATGTGGAGGTACTAATCTTTCCAATCCTATACCTTTTTACTGTTTAAAATTAAATTCCATATGAGATGCTTAGGATTTGAATCTACTCAATAATTCAGGTTCAGGAGTACCTAGAATTTTAAAGATTTTATTAATTTGATCTAATTCATTCTCTCCTTAAAATAATGGCAATAAAGCAATAATTTCAAACATTACACAACCTACACCCCAAAGATCCATTTTTTAATCATAATAACCATCTGTCATAAGACATTCTGGTGCTCGATACCATCTAGTACTAATATATTCAGTATAAGGGTGAGTAGAATGAACACCTTTGCAACTTCCCAAGTCAGCTACTTTTACATTATCATTTTTTATCAGAATGTTCTCTGGTTTTATATCTCTATGAAAAAAGTTACGTTTATGCATGTAATCCAAAGCTTTTAATACTTAATACATGTATTTTTTGACTTTTGCCATGCTCAAATAAGATGTTCTATTTTTGATGCAATCATAGAGATTCATTTCCATTAATTCACATACTAATGCTAATCTTCCACTTGGTTCATCATAAAGGACTTCATGTAATTTAACAATATTAGGATGTTATGATAATTAATGCAAAGCTTAAATTTCTTTTAAGTTCTTTACTTAATCCTAACATAATTAAAAAATGAATTTACCACACTTTCACAACGATTTTTCATACATTTAATTGCAACCAATTATCCAGTAATCATGGATTTGGCCTTTAAAACTTCTGAAAAAGTACCTTCTCCTATTTTAACCAAAATGTAATATTGATTCATATTTCTCAATAAAAAATAAATTTGATTGTTTTAGTAATAAAAATAATTATGGGGCTTATTGAGAAAATCAAAGAAATAGAAGATGAAATGGCCAGAACTTAAAAGAATAAGGCAACTGAGTATCATATGGGTTAATTAAAGGCCAAATTGGCCAAATATCGAACTCAATTATTAGAGCCACCAAAATCTGGTCCTAAAGGTGAAGGATTTGAAGTTTAAAAGTTTGGAAATGCAAGAGTTTGTATGATAGGATTCCCATCTGTTGGAAAGGTATATACACATTACCTATATTCAAAAGTCCACAATTCTATCAACTTTAACAAAAACATAATCTCTAGTAGCTGCATATGAATTCACAACATTAACATGCATTCCTGGAGTGATTGATTATAAAGATGCTAAGATTTAATTACTTGATCTTCCAGGAATTATTGAAGGAGCTTCTGAAGGTAGAGGAAGAGGAAGATAAGTCATTGCAGTTGCTAAAGCTTGTGATCTTGTACTTATGGTTTTAGAAGCTGATAAAGCTGAAGATTAAAGAAGAAAACTTACTTTAGAATTAGATAAAATGGGTATTAGATTAAATAGAAAGAAACCTGATGTGACAATTACACCAAATAAATCAGGAATGTATTTATATTAGTATTATTATTTTAGGGTTCGTATTACATCTACAATAAAATTGACAAAAGTAGATGAAAAGTTAATCAAAAACATCATGTAAGAATATAAAATTCATAATGTTGATATTTTAATTAGAGAAGATATTACAGTAGATGATTTAATTGATATTATTGAAGGAAATAGAAAATATGTTAAATGTCTTTATGTTTTTAATAAAATTGATAAAATATCTATTGAAGAAGTAGATGAAATTGCAAGAAGGAAAGATCATTGTGTTATATCTTGTAATTTAAAGTTAAATTTGGATTACTTATTAGAATGTATGTGGGAAAAGCTTGACTTAGTAAGAGTTTATACAAAAAAGAGAGGTTAATAACCAGATTTTTCAGATCCGATTGTTCTTAGTAATGATCGTAATGGTTTGATGGTTAGAAGTGTTTGTGCATAAATTCATAGAGAGTTAGTTGGTGAATTTAAATTTGCAATAGTTTGGGGAAGAAGTTGCAAGTAAGATTTTTTAATAATATATTTAGGTTTAATCCTTAAAAGGTTGGATTGAATCATGTTTTAGCTGATGAAGATGTCCTGTAAATTTATAAATCCAAAACAAAAGCTTAATTAGCCAAATAAAATAAATAACTTAAAGGTACAAAACAAGATAGAAAAAAAGAAGAGAAAGGAGATAAAAATTCAAAAAAATGAATGTAGTGATTGGTTATAAATATATCTATACAATTAATTAACATAAATTTATATTTTAATGTGATATTAAATTCTTTCTTATTATATAGAAAAGAATCTTTGATTTACTTAAGCATTACAAAATATTAAAAAAAACTGTTTTCTTATTTTCTAATATCAATAAGAACAAATTAGTATGAACTATTATATTTGACTTTTTTAGAATAAAAATTTCTTGATCTTAATTATTTTTGTAATGTCTATAAATATAATCAAATCTCATAAAATTGAAGTACCTAAACAAGGAGTAACGCAAAAATATTTAAGAAACAGTTCAACATCATATAAAATATTTCGATGTATAATTGGATTGTATTTTATATAGCAAAGAGTTTAGATGGGTTGACGAGACTTTTATAATAAACATGCTATCAAAAATCAGAGTAATGTATTGATACATAATCAATTGTTTCGACAGGACGGTAACTTAATACATAAAGGACATTGATGGAATTTGGATTTATAAATGGAAGAAGTTCTCCTATTAAAAAGAATAAATAACATTAGAAGAGTAGATAAAAAAATTATAAATTACCTGAGTTATAATATAAAATAAGGAGATTAAGTTGTGGATGTGGAGAATGTGGAATGGTTGGACGAAAAATTAGGAAATTCCATGACATTCTTATTTTAAAAGTTAAAGAAGTTGAAGAATAAGTAATAGTAAGAAATGGAAAGAAATAATTAAGAGGAATTTTTAGTCAAGTAGCTAAAAGTACAAGAGCATGTATAAATTTAAAAACTTTGCAATCAGAAAGGGATAGAGAAGAGAAAATAGAGTTTAGTCCTGAGGCAAAATCAAATGTTTTGGATTTTTAATATAAATAAATGTCTCGAAAGATTATATAATAAAACTAAATGAATCAACTACCATTAATAAAATAGCCTTAAATGAAAGATTATATGAGGAAAATAAATAACTTAAATAATCTAATTGAATAGACATAGCTGATATCTAATTAATCTTCTAATTTAATCAGGAATTCAGCACCAAATTTAGATGCATTCGAAAAGAGACAAAAAGAGAGTCCAATGTCAAAGAGAGAATAATCAATTCATAGTTCTAGACATAAATAAAATGTTTATTTAATAAAAACACCTCTGAATGGATTAAACTTATAAAAGTTCAGAGAGTTTAAAATAAAATAATGAAATATATTTAATTTTGGAATTAAAGCAACGATATTGAATAGTAATCTGATCCATAAGAGTAATCTGGGTTTGTCTCTAAATTTTCTTAATCTTTTAGATTTCTTAAACCATGTAAGATTAAAATGATATAATAAAGAAACTGTTTTGACTAAAGTATAGGATGTATAATAAGCAGCTATGAATTGGAAGAATTTTGTAATATTTTTCAGTATAGGAATATGTTTTATGTTTGTGGCATTCACATTTTTACCATTAATAATGGTGTTTCCAGCTAAATTTGGAGGTTTATTTAGTTTAGGGTATGACGTGTATTTAAATATTAAATAGATCATTGAGTTTATGGATTTCCTTATTTATTATAAAAGGGGGATAGAACTTTTTAAAGATGTTTTGTAACAAGGAGAAATTCATATATACAACAATATATGTGATTATGTTATGTGCAACAGTATATTTTAGTCTTATACACAAAAATTATATTCTTGTACTAATATTTTCAATAGCTTAAGTATATTAATAATATATAATTTTAGATGATTTCTTTAGGATGGTTATTTGCTTCTTCATTTCCAGCCGGAATCACTGGAATGAAGTTTATTACGAAATAAATACTTGCATTAAGTAAATAGATAATGTCTTTTTGTTTCAAGTCTTCACAATCAAATTCATTTCTACCTATTTGATAAAGATAATATGAAATTGCAGTAAGAAAATGATTGATTTATATATTTTAATATTATTTTCACCAAGCTATTGGATTATATGGAGATTCCTCTATAACATAATTCATCATCACAACTCCTGGTACTCCCATCATTCTTTAAATCTCGGCTTCGTGATTCATCATCATTACATCCATTGGTGGTGTATGATAGTGAAATTACATAAATGAATAATCTTCTAAGCTACCATCCTATCTGACTACTCATATCAATTGCAGCTATACCAATTTATTAGCTTCCTCTCAGTTAAGATTGGGAAAAACATATAGATGCTAATATCAGTATTATAAACACCTGTCTCATCTTCCCTTTTTCCCCCTTTATTATTAATTATTCACTTATAAATCCGTTTTAAATTTATATACTCTAATATTCTCTATACAATACAATTTCTATACTTCACTAATTTCTTTTTTCTTTCGTTCTTTCTTTCATCTAATTCATTTCATATTTTTATTCCAATTTTAATATTTACACTAAATGATGATGTGATAAAATTATACTATTAAATTCTTATATTTATTAATTTAATTATGCGTCCTCATTATGCTAGTAGTATTGCAAACATACAACCACCAAAATAATAATAATATTTTGAAGGCAATCGAAAGGGAGAAGTAAATGAATTAAAAATGTACAATTATACAATCCATATAGATTGGTCAAAAATAATCTAAGTGAGAAGGATGATAAAAAGAAAAGAGAAGTTATTAAAAAGGTTATAGCTTATATGACATTAGGTATTATTCAATCTATAAAATTAGGAATTGATGTTTCTAAAATATTTCCTGAAATGTGTATGGCTTCTTATACAAATGACATGGTTCAAAAGAAGATGATATACTTATATCTAACTACATACGCTGAATAAAACAAAGATTTAGCTTTTATGGCAATAAGTACATTTTAAAAAGATTGTAAACACAGTGATCCTAAAATAAGAGGATTTGCTCTTAGAAATCTTTGTTCATTAAGGTTTAGTGGTGCAATAGAATATTTGATGCCTGCAATAAAAGAATCACTATCTGATATTGATCCATATGTAAGAAAAACAGCAATAATGGGATGTGTAAAGGTTTATTATATGTAACCAGATTATTTAAGCAACATAGAGGAGCAATTATATAAAATGATAAGTGATAATGATCCTTTGGTAATAATAAATGCAATTCATGCATTGAATGAAGTCTTAGCATAAGAAGGAGGAATGGCTTTATCAAAGAAATTAGTAGATTACTTATTAGGTAGATTAAAAGAGTTTAATGAATGGGGTTAGGCAACTATATTAGATGAATTATCAAAATATTAACCAAAAGATGATACAGAGATGTTCAATATAATGAATTTACTAGAAGAGAGACTGAAACATTCATGTTCTGCGATTGTGTTGGCAGTAATAAAAGTTTTTATGAATTTTACAAAAAATAAGCCATAAATTTATTAGTAAGTTATAACAAGAGTAAAATCTCCGTTGGTTACTTTAGCATCTATAAGTGAGGGTAATTTTGAAATTATGTATACAATACTATGTCATATTAAATTTATTGCCTCAAAAGGATACAATTAAGTATTTGCATAAGATTATAAATGCTTTTATTCTAGAGTTGATGAACCTACTTACATAAAGTTAATTAAACTAGAAATCTTGTCTTTAATTGCATGTGATATAAATTTAGGTGATATGTTGAATGAATTAGGAGAATATGTTACAGATGTTGATTAAGAAATTTCTAAAAAATCTATATAAGCATTAGGAGCTATTGCTATACGATTACCTGATTTAGCAAATGCAATAGTAAAATAATTATCTTCATTTATTACATTGTAAGATTACATAACAAATGAAATAATAATAGTCTTTAAAGATATTCTTAGAAAAGATCCAAAACATATTAAAGATTGTTTGGATATTATTTAATCAGATAGTGTTACTGATTAAAATTCTAAAATAACACTCATTTATATTTTAGGTTAATTTGGATCTTAGATACCTTTAGCTCCATATATTCTTTAGACTTTTGTAGGATCAGCAGAAGAATCTGTAGAACTTAAACATGCCTTATTGACTTCTTGCATTAAAGTCTTTTTTACAAGAGCACCTGAAATGTAAGAAATATTAGGTAAACTCTTTTACTGTATTATAAATAATGAAAACGAAGACATTGATTTGAAAGATCGTGCTGCTTTTTATTATAGAGCTTTATAAAATAATCCAAATGAACTTAAAAAATTATGGTAATATGGAATTAAAATTGATAAATTTTTAGAAGAACAAAATATCAATCAAGAAGCATTATTATTTGAATTTAATTCTCTCTCTGTAATATATGAGAAAAATGTTAATAAATTTATCAAATCATTTGAATACTTTAATAATCTTAGAAATAAAGAATTATAAGATTAAATCTAAGAATCACAATAAACAACTACTGAAAAACAAGAACCTATTTAAGATGGATTTGATAATGAATAAACTATAACAATTCCTAATACACCTAATTTACTAGAAATTTCTAATTAATCATAACCATCATTAACTATTGATAGTTTTGTATTAGATTATAGAATAGACGTTGAATATTTCGAAAATATGTGGACTAGTTTAAATAATGGGTATTTAGATAATTATATTATATTAGTGCTTCGTTTACAAGATAATTAGCTAGAATTGATATTGCAAATGAAAATTCCATGGAATAATTATTTAATCGTTACAGATTGTATAATATAGCAGCTGGAGAAGAAGACAATGTTTTGTAAATGTATTTTTATGGAGCTCATAAATGTTAAGTGTTTTTTGAATTTGAAATTAATAAAAATTTGAATACTGTTCTTCTAAATACAAGATCTGAATTAGAAGATTAAGCATACTTAGCATAAAAATATGTTTAAGATTTTCTTAAATAATCAAATTTAATTAGTTGACATTTATTCAATTAATATTATAATAAAAATTCAAACAACAAACATCATACAATTTCCCTTTGTATTCAATCAAATCTTATTTTGATTGAAAACAATAATTACAATAATTTTGTTATTATTATTATCCTTTTAAAAATGGAATCAAGGTATTTTCAAAAATGAATTCATAATCTAATTTATTAACTTCCTTCTATTTTTAATTTATAATTTATAATTACATCTATTTTTAAATCACTTAATCTATCATTGACAGATTATACAAACTCTGACAATTACTAAAACCTATAACTCATTCCTATTATTTTTCTCAATCCTTAAATAAAAATTTAATATTTCTTTTCATATCTTACCTTCTCCAATTGTCCTTACAATTTTATTATTGACAGAACTGATTCAGATTTTTTCAACTCCTTTTTTAATTTTTCTACAAAATCTTCAATTATTTGAATCTTTGGTAAAAGCATATCTATTGATGGATTCTCAGGAATTTCATTCTAATGATCAAAAATATATTTCTTAATATGATAATCCAAATCTTATTAATCCATTAAATCTATAACTTAAGCAATTTATAATATTTTCTTTTTTAATACCATAGCTATTGGTTCTTTTGCTCTTAAAGTATCTCTTATAACAGTTGCTTCTTCATATTCTTCTTTATCTACATGAATTTACTTTTTCTTTCTTAAAGCTTAAATATCGTTAGCTAATTATGCATATTCTTAAACCTAAGCCTTATATAAATGTAATTTTAGATCACACAATTCTTCCATAAAACTATCCATACATTCTGCATCAAATCCAACTATATCTTCTATTTAATTTCTCCAATTCCTCTTCTTTATTGGCTCCTATCTTAATGGACCTTATTTTATGTTTATTTCTTAAGTTAAATAGATATTTTTTAAATCAACTTAATTATTCTACTAAAATTAAATCTATTTTTAAGAACTTGATTAATCTAGTTATTATTAAATACTTGAAAACATTTAATCTTAAGGAATTACTTATGAATTCTAAAATACTGGATCTTATTAATTTATGTATGTAGAATTTGTTATTTAAACATTTTAATTTTACAAATTATTTTCTACAGGACTTTCTATTTATTCTCCTTCTACAAATTCATCAAATTCATCATCGTCATTATTATTATTATTACACTCTTAATTAATATTGGAAAGCAGAATTTAATTAATATTAGATTAAATATTTTGAACTTCTTAGTTTACAATTTTTGTTTCTTCTTAAATTTACAAATTTTCAATATTTTTTATATCTATTAAATTTTCATTTTAAAAGTTTAATTAATAATTTTGGGTTTAATTTAAAATAATTTGATTTTATTATTATGATGTTGATTAATCTATATTAAAATCATTATAAAATTATTATGTATTATTAAATAATTATTAATGCTATTATTAAACATCCAATTATTATTATTCTATTTTTTCATTTTAAAATGAAAGTAAAGAATTTGCTTTGTATTCAAAATGTTGTTGTTAATGTGCTTAATTTGACTGTGTATTAAAATCAATCAAATTAAATAATTCTATTTTTTATTATGATACATCTTATTTAGACTCTCCATTTTAGATTATTTGTTAATCATTTATAGGTAATGTCAATGTTTTTTCATACATTTCGATTAAGTTCAATTTTTTAGTAATTTATTAATCGTTTTAATTTTCCTATTAGGATTGTGGAATTTATAATAAAGGAGATGGTTATAAGGATGAAAGCATTTCGTTTTGTTCAGAAGGAAAGGCATCATAAATTGAGGATAATTAAATTTATTTTTTAGGTTCTTATGGAATAGCTTAAATATTTTATTACTATTATTGATGATTTGTAATAACCTAATTTGTAGACATTTCAAAATCGAATAATAAGTCTTTTTATTCTTAGTTGTTGTTATTTTTAATAAATTGTTATTCATTTATTTAGATTTTTGATTAGACTTCCGAAAATGATATTTATTAAATTTCTACAGGCTTTTACAATTCAATGAATTCTCCATCTTAAAATTCTTCTTCCTCATAAACTTAATTTGATTATTGTTACTATTGTTAGAATTAATAATTAAAATGGCCATTTGAATTAGTAGATTCATGTTAAACAGTATTTTATATCTAAGGGATTGAAAAAATATGATTTTGCTGAATATCATTTTAAATTGATGAATTTGATTGTAGATTGGGATTGAAAAGTGATTATTAATTAAAGGGTTGATTTTGATATAAAATTGAAATATCAGGAATTTGTTAAGTGTTTTAAGAAGTATATAATGGAATTTAAGTAACAGGAAATAATGAAGCATTATGTATTTAAGTTTCGTTTTATTCTGGTTGTATATCATTAAAATAGTCGTATCTATTTTTATTGTTTGCCGAAACGAATCCATCGAATTGATCATCATCATATTCTGATGCCATTAATTTTAATTATATTTTTATAGTATTGATTAATTTAATATTAGAAATTCTTGAAACTAATAATAATATATTGATGCCTTAATATTCATATAGTCAGTCCTTAAAGATTATGTTGATACCATACTTAATAATTGGAATTTTGTGGTAAAACATACTTGAATATTTTAAGGTTACCTTTGACATTTATGATTGAGAAATATTATGATTCAATTTTGATCTCATAATTTTTAGTAATTTAAATAACAACAGCTTTCTTATTTTTAATAGGTTTTTATTTTAAGTATTGAATTAATTAATAATAGCAATACATCAATTTATGATATTTATTGGAAAGTAGCTCCAATGTTTTTTGTGCCTTATTGGTCTAAAGGATCTGGAAATATAATTCTACCTATCCTTGTATACTTTTATTGCATAAAATAAAATTATACATATTTTAGGTTCTGGCCTGGTATTTATATATATCTTAAAAATAAATAAGGTTTATCATATGAAGATTATAGAATTTTAGAAATCAAATAAAAAAGTCCAAGTCCTTTGATATATTGGTCAATTGTTTATTTAGGTTTTGAAGTTTGTCCATCTATAATGGTCTTTTTCGGTCATTTACCACTTTATTATGTCTTCATCTAGTAAAATCCTTGTAATTTTGCATATAATTTTTCAATTATATTCACAATACTTTCAATAACAATAGAATTTATTGGTAAGAATAATAATTTATAAATTCTTAGCTGATTATTAACTCTTTCCATATAGATCAAAATTACTTAAAGGTGATTGTGATATAGGATTATGGAGATATTCAAGACATCCAAATTATTTTGGAGAATGTATGTATTGGTGGGGATAATATTTATGTTAATTATCATTTGGATTTGAAAATGCATGGACAATCATAGGAGCTGCATCTATATAAGCATTATTTTCATTTTATTCAATTCCAGATATGGAGAATCATTTGTTAAAGAAAAGAGACACATATGCAAATTATAAAAAAAAGGTTGTAAGTTCATTTTTCCCTTGGTTTAGAAAAGAGAAATGAATATTTATATATATTATTATTATTACATAAATATTATTTATTTAAATAATAGAATAATTGAATAAAATACTTTTAGAAATATAAAGTGTTATTCAACTAAGAGAATTCATAATATAGACCTAGAGATAAAATATAAATAGAAATGAATTATGAAAAATATAATTATATTAGAAATAAATAAAAAATAAGTAAAGAAAAGAAGAATAAGAGAAGTAAAAAAGTATGTAAATAAGTGAATGCATATATTTGTATTTTGAAATTTATTTAATATACTTATTTTATAATAAGCTGATCATTTCTTCTTATTTCCTCCTTTAGCTTAAGCTTATGCCTTTCCACCAGTGCTCTTTTTCAAAGTTTTAAGTTAGGTACTAAGGAGGGCGCTTCTCTAAAAAAATGATTTATTGATAGCATTACTCTTTTTCTAAGAATCATAACTCTGAATCTATCAAAATCGTTTAATTTAGCTCTAAGTACTTTCTTAGCAACCTTCTTTGCAGCAAGAGTTTGAGCATATTATGCAAATGGATCAGATTTTTTAATTGCCTTGGTAATGACACCAGTTCTAGCTCCTCTTGTTGCACCTTTAAGATTGAATTTGGTAAGTGTCAATCTTCTAATAGGAATAACTTATCTTTAAACTCCAGTGGTTGGTCCATCAATTAGGACTCTCTTATCATTAAGAATTTCAACAATTGTTGCCAATCTACCTTCTTAAGGACCATAATTGATTTTGACAACTCTTCCAACTTCAACGAACTTTGTTAATACCTAAAGAAGAAATGAATTCTATACATACCATCTTTAATAAAACAAATTTTTTTATTATTTAAAAATCCTTTTAATCTTTTTAAAAAGAGAATGTAAAAATATAAAATAATATATTATATTTATTAATATTCTTTCAACAACAAGACTTGTCTTTTTTATGTTATTGTTACTATTAACTTTAAGCAGAATTTAATTATACATTTGTACTTTATTTAAAATTCTTCTATTGATTAACTAGTAATCCTTTATCTATAATCTCTTAAATTAAGTCTGTAAATAATTACTATTAATCTATTTCACATCATTACTTTTAATCCTGTGCCATCTTTTGCACTGGTTTGAATGCATGAGAAAAATTTATTTATTTTTGCAAAACCTTATAAATTCTAATACATAGTGGTCTTTTCATCATTGCTTACTAAATCACACTTATTTTGAACCAACATTATGGGAATATTATTTTAATCACTATTTTCTTCAATGATACTTTTCCATTTTAAAGTTTCCTCTAAAGAATTAGAATCCTTTATATCACAAACTATTAGACAACCTCATTTTATTTGTTTAAATTACCTAAAGCTCCTCTAACATACAATTTACTTACAGCATTGTATTTCTCTTATCCAGCAATATCCCATAATTATAATCTAACTGTCTATCCATTTGCTTATGTCACCTTAGTAGTAAAATCACATCCTATTGTTGGAGGGCTATTTGCTTCAAATCTTTCATAACAATATTAATTTAACAAGCATGTCTTACCTACAGCTTGTTCTCCTACTACTATGATCTTAATAAAAGGATCTGCTTCCATATAGAAAAATTATTATTATTTATGACAATCACAAAATCCAAATAATAATTACTTTAAAACTATAAACTTTACCAACGTCTTTATTATACTAAAATATTCTAATTATTTCTTTTATTTTTATATCCAATTTTTTAAATAAAGGGTTAGAGATTTTAATGAATTTTATAGACAATTTTAGAACAATTAAATTCTTTATTCCTTAAATTTTATTCAGAACTCAAAACACTAATAATATAATTTTCATACAAATTAATCTTAATAATCATCGAGTTCTAAACTTCAGAAAATTTCTTTATAACTATACAATATATTTGGCCTAAAATAAAACTGATTAAATTAAATATCTCCTTAAATTAATCGATTATATATAAAAAAGAGAATGAAATCAATCTCTAACAATATGTAGGTAATTTCTAAAGACAAGATAATTGAAACTCTAAATTATTTATAGACAAATTTACCTTAACAAAGAAGAATTCCAAAGTTCAAATAATTTAATTAGGATTTACAAAACTAAAAATAAAGAATTTAAAAATTTAACTTGGTTATTTCAAAAAATTCATAAATTTAAGAATGACTTAATTTTTGAAAGATCTTTCTAGAATCAAATTGATATTTGATTATATTTAATTTAGTATTTATAATTCTTTTAAATACTTAAAGATAGGAATCTCTCTCTTTAATAATGAGAAAGATTGATTATTTTTTTATTTTAACATTCGATTTTACTAACTCTAAAACTTAAAATATTTGAGAAAGAAACTGAATAAGATTTAATAATAAGAATATAAAAAGTGAAGTAATATTGAAATTTATGTAGGAGATATTGGATTTCTTGTCGAATAAGAATATATATATATATAAATAAATAAATAAAATTATTAAATAGATATGTAAAGAGGAAATAAGGCAGCAGAATAAGCACCTGCTTAAAAGAAAGGTGGACCAGCAGCTAAAGCATAAAAACCTAAAGAAAATTATTTAACTGCAGAGGAAACAAATGATTTGAGAGTAAGAATATGGTAAAAGATTTTTAAGGAAACATTTGATTTGTTTGATGATGATAAAAGTGGGACAATAGATGCTCATGAAATAAAGAAGGTACTTGAAGACTTAGGTGTTGATGCAAGAAATAAATTTGTGTATCAAATGGTACAAGATTTAGAAAAGTATTGATTATTCATCTTATAGATGTATATAGTTATGGAGGTTCAATAAATTTTGATACATTTGTTGAAATAATTTCAAATAGATTAGGAAATAACAAAACAAGAGAAGGAGCATAGAAATTATTTTAAATATATGATCCTGAAGATACAGGGTTAGTATTTTAATAATAAGTTTAGGTTCATCGATTTTACAAATTTAAAACGTGTAGCTAAAGAACTGGGTGAAACTTTGAATGATGATGAATTGCATGAAATGATTCATCATATTCATATACTAAGAAAAACAGAGAGTCCAGAATAAATCTCATTTGAAGAGTTTTATGAGATAATCACAGCTCCAAGGAGATATTGATAAACAAATAATAAAATAATACATATATCTATAGAAATATATTTACATATATACTCAATTGATTCAATCATCATATGGCACACATTTATCAAAAAATCTAGGTACATACTTATTTAAAACACTATTGAAACCCAAAGCACTTACTCTATCTTTTACATAATCTTCATAATCCTCTCTGTATTATTAAGGATTTCTACTTAAGACCCACATAAATAACATTTCAGGTTCACTTACAATAACCCATTAATATTCATTATTAATAACTGGTCCTAATTCAATAATCCAATAATCTCCTCCTCCAACTTATCCTCCATTTAAAAACACTTTTAATTTGGCTTTTTATTTTGGATCTGGAATTCTGGCATAACCATCTATTGATTTTATAGGTCCATCACCAGCACCATCTCTTTAAATATTATAAACACTAAGATCTCCAGTAGTCAATACACCATATCTAGCTCTATTACAAAATCCATTTTTCTCAAAAGTTGTATGAACCCATGGACTACTAGCCACTTCAAACCAATCACCCAAATAAGATTCAATATCATAATCATCTACAACATCAATACTTAAGCTTAATGTGATGATTCCTAAAATAAGAACTATTTTTAACATTTAATATTAGATAGAAAAATAACATAATCATGATTTAATTCCAAATTTAAGAACAAGAATATTCTTAAAATTAATTATTCTACATTATTTATTACAATATTTGTATCAACTCAATTAAATAACTCAAAATATAAATTAATAACATTGTTATATTTAAATTATTTGTTTTCTTAACTATTTTTTAACACTTATAATTAATTATATATATTTTTAGAACTTAAACAAAACCTTTTATGAATGTTTATAACATTATTTCATATGTATATATATAGATTATTATTATTGAATAATCAATCAACGAGCACCCTTTAAAACATTTAATACAGCATCAACAATTTATTCTGTTTTTGGGAATGCCATAGCTTCTAAATTAAATGCATAAGGTGTTGGTATTTCAGCTCCTGTTACTCTTTAAACAGGTGCATCTAAATATTTAAATGCTCCTCCCTCCATAATAAGTGCTGTTATTTCAGCAGAAATACCAGACTATGGCCATCCTTCTTCTACACAAACTACACGACCTGTCTTTTTGACACTCTCAAGGATAGTTTCTCTATCTAATGGTCTTAAACTTCTTAAATTTATAACTTCACAATTGATTCCTTCTCTAAATAGTTATTCAGCTGCTCTAAGTGAATATTAAACCATTTTTGAGAATGCAATAATAGTAACATGATCACCTTATCTCATAATTTTAGCTTTTCCAATTGGTGCTAAATAATTTGGATCTCTTGCTTCTGCTGAAAGTTCAAAAGTCTCACTATATAATATTTCATTCTCCAAAAATACCACCGGATTAGGATTTCTTACAGCTGCCTTAAGAAGTGATTTAGCATCATCACAATCAAATGGAGCTAACACAACCAATCCAGGTACATTACTATACCATGAAGCAAAACATTATGAATGTTAAGCTGCAACATAAGCTGTGGCACTAAAGGGTTATAAATTTGTGATCTTACCCATTAATTCCTCTAAAGACAATTGAAGCCTGTTAATCTCCAGCACTCATATAACGTGATTTAGCTGCAGAATTGATGATATGATCGATTGCTTGCATTGCAAAATTCCAAGTCATAAACTCTACAATAGGTTTCAATCCATAAAGTGCTGCTCCTACTGCTATACCTGTAAAACCGGCTTCTGTTATTGGTGTATCTATAACTCTATCTCCTCCATATTTTTAAAACAATCCTTTTGATACTTTGTATGCACCTTAATACTGTCCCACTTCCTCACCTAATATATATTATATTTTATCAAATACCTAGTAAAAACACATTTGGATCATGTGCCAATTCCTCATCCATTGCAAGGTTAATAGCTTCTCTTACTGTCATTTTCACTGGAGTATATTAGGTTGAAGCATGAACATGAGTAAATTTTATACTTGGTTGATAACCATAGCGCAATTTCAATAAATGTTTATACATTTAATTTATGTATTTTTTAATTTACATCACAGCAGTTTTAGCAAACTATAATACCTAATATGTTACTGATTATTTAAAAATAGAGCATAATAATCTTGATACATCAAAGACTTATTTAATTTAGATGATCATAACATAATTTCCAGTAGACAACTATTGCCTACCTCTAATGTAAGTTCTATTTGATAAGCAAAACTATTATGATTCCTAGTCCTATTCCATTAAAGCTAATGTCTAATCTGTCTTTATCAAATAAACTTAAAGTATTACTATTGAGATAAGTTGCATTCTTTTAGAACATTTTATTTACATTTAAGATTTCAACAAAACTATGCATTTTAATTTAACATTAAATGAAGCAGTATTAAATTAATTTTATAACAATAAATAGGTAATAAAAAAATAAATTTCTTGTCACTTCCCTTATTATGGATTGAATTGTTCTCTTAAAATGCAATAAATTTAAGCTGATTATGCCATCACCTTTAATATATTAAATAACTCTTGGTTTTATGCTTACATAGTTCTTGATAATAAAGATTATGATGTATGATTTTAATTATAAAAAGATTGTAATCCATAATAAATAAGCTTTATTTGGGATATCATCTATACCAGCAGATAAACTTAACATAACAATACTTCCAACCTTTTTTACAAATTTTGAAGTTATTGATCTATAAAATTAAGAGAAATCAATTAGTTTGACAAGGGAATCGGATATATCAGATTATTTATTTATTTTTGGATTATTCAATTTCAACACAACTGACATTAAAGAAATAACTATATCTTTTATGTATATTTTTATTATACACTAGATCTTTGGATAATTTGGATTAATTTCCTTATTGGGCAATTATAATCTTAATATCAATTTTTACATTTGGTATGTTCATGGCATTAATCATATTTTTAAGCTATAAAAGATAATACAGAAAATTAACTTAAATTTAACCTTCACTTGATAGAAAGATTTTAAAAAAATATATGCCAATTAAGAATGTTGACTCTAAGATGATACATGAAACCTGTTCTATATGTTTATTATAATTTGAAATCAAAGAGAAATACCGTTAAACACCATGTAATCATAGTTTCCATGATTAATGTTTATCAGATTGGTATAAAATTATTTTATTTAGGACTGTGAAATAACCTAATTGTCCTGTTTGTAGATAAAGTTTAAAAGAATCTGAGATATAAAAATTAATTTTATTGAAGACTTAGTAACCTTAGCTAATTGAAAAAACAAATGAAAAAGTATAATTAAAAGAAGATGCACAATAAGAATAAAGTGATCGAGGAGCTCTTTATATCCGTTTTGTTCCAACACCATTTAGGACTTCTTGTAGAATAGACTTAGACAATTCACCTTAAGGAGATCATTCTTCTTAATAGGTTTAATTTGATGGAACTCCAAAGCATCAGAGTTAAAGAGATCTATATAAAAATTAAGATAAGATAGTTGAATCTTAAATATGATAAATTTACAAAGATTAAAATTTTATGAAATTTAGATTCTTTATGATAGAAGCATATCTGCTAGAATAGTGAAAAAATATTTAAATTTAATTATATATAAATGGCAATAAATATAATTATATAAAAATTAGATTTATAGCTTCCTTGAAAGTTTTAAAAGTAGGCATTATGAAGCATCGCATGTTAATATGGCGACACTGCTTTTTTGTATGATATTTTATTAAATTTAAATTATCTATTGAAATCTTGCGTCATATTCAATCTTAATACCTCATTCTTAATCACTCACATTTGGCTCTAAGTATCAAAAAAATAATAATATAATGAGCTTTTTAAATATTGAGGAGAGATTGATGGATTCACCAAAAAGGACAGAAAGTACGGATATATAATCAGACAGTTAAAAAGTTAAGAAAGAATTGAATACTTTTTTTTTAGGTGTTTAATAAACTTCAAAAGTAACTAATTATGATTATGCTTTAGGTTACAAGAAAGTACATCGATACTAGAACACATGGAATATAATTATACTATCAAGAATTTACTCCATAGTTTGTTGATGCTTAAGTTATTATTGTTCATGGATTTGGTGAACATTCTGGAAATTATAAACAAGTAATATAAATGGTTTAACTATTTATAGTTGACAGATTGTTTTTTACTTAATAATTTTAAAGTCCATCTTTATGATCAAAGAGGTTTTGGTTTTTCAGGTGGATTTAGAGGTAAAGCAACAATTGAAGAGATGCATATGGATTTATAAAGTATATTAGACTAAATTGATAAATCTGTGCCATTATTCATTTTTAGTCATGCTCTTGGAGCAGCTATTGTAATTAGTTTTTGTTTAATGAATCCATAATTTGAAATATAAGGACTTATATGTAGTAGTGCTCAATTTAGAGTTCCTCCAAGATATGGAAAAATGAAGATGATCACTTTATAAATGATGGCTAAATTATGTCCAGATTTATAGATTAATACGTATCATAATTTATCCTTTGCATCTAAAAATAATCATCATATAAGAAAATTAGCAACAGATCATCTAATTAATCCATTTATGAGTATTCAATTTGCATTGAATGTCTTGTTATTTTAATAATACATTTTACCTAATGCAAATTAATTTTAAATTCCAATCTTGATATTGCATGGCAAATAAGATAAAGTGGCTTCACATTTAGATTCGGTTGACTTTTATATGCAAATTCAATCCAAGGAGAAAACTATAAAAATTTTCGAAAATGGTTTTCATGAAATGCATAATGATTCTGAATGGCCAAAAATGAAGACTATTATTACTTAATGGTGTCAGAAAATGATAACTAAAGAAGTTAAAAACAATTACTTAAAATAATACAATTATGGAGTTGTTGTCTAACAATACAGATCCAAAATTAGGCTTCTAATATCTATTCTCTTAATAGTCATAAGAAAGTAAATTATTTTAAATATATCATTAGAAAATTTTCTTGCTTAAAAACAAGTACTAAATTAAGTGTAGTAATATTTATTGAACTATTACTCAGAATATTCACATCTCAGTGATTTTGATTTAATGTTTATACTAATTAATACATAATTATTGAATAGTATCATATAAATTTATTATAAATGCAGATTGCTTCATTATCTTATTCAGAGAATCTAGAATAATTTCAAATAATTAAAACAATTACATATTTTTTTGATTTATTTTATAAACGATAAAATGACGGAAAAATATATAAGTTATAATAGTAAAAAAGGGAAACTTTATACCTTAAATAACAAAAATACCTGACAAAGCATAGAAGTAGAATTTGCTATTTTACTTAATTTTTTTTCTGTATTAATACTATGAAAATTACTTAACAAGGGATTATAAAATAAAAATTAATTAAATTATTCTGAAATGATCAAAAAAAAAGAAAAAGAGAATTAGATATTAAATTTATAAAATTGTTTCTTTCTAAAAATAATTTAAGGCTTTTAAAAAAAATACTTGAATATTACACAAAAACATAGTTTAAAACAAACAATTAAATTTGAACTTTTTATTATTGATATTTTTCATATTAATTTTTTTTTAAAAAGACTTTAAAGTTATTGAACAAGGAATTGTTTTTATTTAAAGCTAAAATCTTAAATCAATGGATATTAAAAATAAAAATTAGCGAGAAATCTTTCCTTAAAAATCCTAAATCATTTTAATTCACTAATTAGTTATTAATTCATCATTTTGCTGTTAGAATCATTAATTATTAAGAATAGATTTTTTTCTACTTATTAAGTCTAATTAATAAAAAGAAAAAAAACTAATTAGAAAAAAAAGTTACCTTCTCTATCATTCTGTCAAAAAAAAGGCAAAATGAATTCACTATTAAATCTATTTTAATAATTGAATAATATATACATTATGAGTATTTTATCACAAAATTTCTTCATCAATATATAAGATAATTTAACATAATTATTGAACTATTTGATTATTATGAATATTTATAAGATGATAATATTTAATTTACTCTTAATATTTTGAAATTCTAAATAAAAATAATTTCTTTAAGAAATTAGTATTATATTTTGAATCTGTCAAAAAATTTGGTTTACCTAAGTTGATATTTATGTAATTATAATTAATACTTTGAGCAAATCAAATAATAATAAATTTGATGATCTAATAATTTTTCATTAATAACAAATTTTAAATTGCACAAAGTTCTAAACCTACTAAATTACAATAAATCTAATTTTGTCAAACTGATTCATTTTGTTTTAATTATTTAATTTTATTATAGAAAATGTTGATGTTTTTGTAAAATAAACTTTATTAATTAACTGATAAAAATGGAAGTCAATTCCTTTATATTTCCTGCTCCAAAATGTGAATACACTGAAAAGAATTTTAAAGAACTTATATGGATTCCTGTCTATAAAGCAAAATAAAACAAATAACTATTTGTTTAATCTGCCAATTAGTCTAAAAGACCTAGCACACAATAAGACCTATATATTGAGGAATCTAATTATGATGAAGATGTGGATGAAAATATTGTTGTACACTAATCTCCTCCTAGATTATTAAACAAATATAAGTCTAATAATTTTAAAACACTTCAGTCAAAAAAGAATTAAAATAGACTATATGAATCTTTAGCAAATGTTTGCTTGGCATCAATTCCAAATGAAAAAATGTAACATCCTAGATGTAATAAACTACCTATTAAGCATTAAAAACAAATGACCTTATTTGAAGAGCCTAATGAAATTATAAAAAGTATACCATGTGCGTATATTAATAATCAATCGAAATAAACTATGGTTTATTTTCATTCAAATGGAGAAGATTTATATTAAGCATATGAGCTTATGTGGCGAATAGGTAGTTCATTGAAACTTAATATTTTGGGAGTAGAATATCCTGGTTATGGAATTTATAAAGGCGATTCAAATGAATAAACCATATTAGAAGATGCTGATCATATAATGAATTATTTAATAAATACAAAAAAAGTAGATGAATCAAATATTATGATTTGTGGAAGATCAATTGGAAGTGGGTTATTTTTATTTTATTATTTTTTAGACCTGCTTGTTATGTAGCTAGTAAATATAAACCATTCATGTTGGTTCTTATATCACCATTTTTATCAATCTAGTAACTTGTAGAGCATAAGTTGGGTAAAATTTTTGGGGTTTTAATAAAAGAGAGATTTCCAAATTACAAACATATTTCTGAAGTTTAATGTCCAATATACATTTTGCATGGTCAATCTGATAACATGATTCCATTAAGTCATTCATTAAAGTTATAAAGACTTTGTAAGTGTAGATGCAAATTGACCACTCCATTAAATATGACTCATGCAACATTTAATTTATAATAGGATTTAATTATTCCTTTACTTAGATTTATGATGAATTGATTTATAATATACTATTTTTTAAGTAGATTAAATTTAAAAAATTATATTATGAATTTTTGGATATATCATTTTTGATTCTCTTTTTTTTTCAAATTTAAATCATCTTTATTAAACCCTAATATATCTTAAGCTTAAAAAAACAAATGATATATCAAGTAAAAATTTTCTTTTGGACATTATTTACTTTTATTTGCTTTATGTTATTTTGAATTTTAAGACATTTTATTAAATTATATTTTTATAGTCATTTTGATTGATAAAAAATTATTTATGTTGTATTTGTAATTAAAGTTTTACCAATGAAATTGTCAAAATAAAATTTATAGATAAATTTGATTAAAAATATATGATTGTGATGAATTCTTTAGAGATTTACCCTTTCTAAATAATGTGATAAGTTTATCTTAAAAGTTTATTATTATTATTGAAATATGAAAGTAATTTACATGTTTAAAATAAGTCAAAAATATGGAACCTCTTTTTACATCAACTGGTATTATTTTTATAGTACTGTATACAGTTCATTAAATTTAATGTCATCTATTGATTCCTAAATGATCTAATAATTGTATTTCATAAATAAAATTATATGAGAAGAGTTAAGAGATTTGAGAATGACTTACTCAAATTTATAGAGCTAAATCAAGAAGATTAAAATACAAAAAGAAGATTTCCCTCTTAATTACCTTCCCTCTAATTGAGTCGTGTTACTGTAGGAATGACAGATATTGAAGAAACTCCTTACATCTTCAGAAAATTTGGATAGCGTAATCAAAAAAATCAAATGCCTATAATCTCTTTAAAACCCTTTGTAAGCCCTGATTATACTTAAAGGATTAAGACTAAAATCCTCCTTCGAAAATTTTAGGCCTTAAGAAAAATAGGAAATTCTTCATTTCGATGATAATTTATTTAAAATTTACTATTAAATAAAATATAAAAAATATATGGTTTGTATTCCTTGTTTGTTATTACCATTGGCAGGAATATTAGTAGTTTTATTCGATTTCATAAAGCCTTTCTTCATAAAAATTGGATTGATTTAAGCTTAGCCTAAATCATCAGATAACAAAAATAATATTTAAGAAAATGGTTCAAAAATTTCAGACACGTCAACAGATTAATAAAAAACAAAATAATCATGATTAGCTAAATTTGTATTTGAATTATTATTAATTTGCAAAATATTATATCAAATAATTGTAGGTCAGATGATGTAAAAGAAGAGTGATATGCAGCTTTCTTTAAAAGCAAATATCAATAAAAATTTAAGAAGAACTTTATTTAAAAATGATCAATATAGAACTTGCGTTATAGGATTTATAAATTGTCCAATAATATTATGGCAATGTTTTAATTGATTCTTTTTGCAAGATTCTAGATGTTTCAAATTAGAATGATCCAGGTTAATGAAGGTTGAAGTCTTAAAAGTTTGATTATATCACATGAAATAAGACACTTAATTATTCAACCAAAGGTTGATGAGGATTGGATTGTTTGTTATTAAATTTTTTTGTAAATTTTATTGAGAACACTATCCGTTTCTGTGTCTAAAAAAAATAAAGGAGTAAAACGATTTCATTATTAATAATGGTATAAGTCAAGTTCATAGTCTTGTTAGTCTGTGCATTGACAGTGACCTAAGGTACCTCTTAAATTTATGTCAAGCTTTTGAAGCTGAAGGCACACTCTTGTCAATGTCATTAAATGAGATTAGCAACCTCAATCTAGGGGATGTTAATTGTTAGAACACGTCTTAGCAATAGTTTGTGTAATTGGAACAAAATCTCGAGTCATGGGCCGACATCATTGATCACAAGGATGATATCTAAAAAGATATTAACACTTTAAAACAATTGGAAGTGATCTTACTTTAAGTTAAGAAATAAACATAAAAGAAGAGTAAATAAGTATATTTTATGTCTAGAGATTGCTCCATAATAGTTGAAATAAATAAATTAAGTTGTGACAAAGAAAATAAAGTCATTAGTTCTTCCATAAACAGCAAGCAAAATTGGATAAGCACACTGCGATGAAATTGAAAGATAATTAGAGAGATTAAGCAGTGATAATGAATCAGAAAGAAGTGAATGTTGTGATGCTCTTCTTAAATTGGCTACCTTCCTTATAAGATAATTATCTAGCATTAATTAATAATGCCATTAAAATCCAGTTACAGTCATTAAAATCAAAGGATAAATCAAAGAATTACATATTATATAAGGAGGATGTGGAGGAGGACAAACTATTGATATTCCTATGGGAGGATCTGATGAAAAATGTGAAAAACCAGAAACACCAGTTGATCCAGCAAAACCAGTTGATCCAACAAAACCATCTGATCCTGAAACTCCAACTGATGATCCAGTACCAGATCCTGGATAAGATGAAGGAGAAGTTGAAGAAACAGCTGAAGAAGTTGAAACTGAAGAAGGTGGTGAAACAACACCACCAGGACCAGGTGAAGAAGAGGGTGGTGAAACAACTCCTCCAGGACCAGGTGAAGAAGAAGGTGGTGAAACAACTCCTCCAGGACCAGAAGAAGAAGGCGGTGAAACAACACCTCCAGTACCAGGTGAAGAGGAAGGTGAAACTACACCACCAGTACCAGGTGAAGAAGAAGGTGAAACTACACCACCAGGACCAGAAGAAGAGGGTTAAACACCAGAACCAGAAGAAGGTGAAACTACACCACCTGCTGAGGAAGGAGAAGAACCTGCTGCTGAAGAAGAAGGAGAAACTACAACACCTTCTGCTGAAGAAGAACTTCATGAACCAGCCGCTGAAGAAGAAGAAGAATCACTTGGAGGAGGTGAAAGAAATAATACTTCAGGACCAGGAGAACTTCCAGAAGATGAAGGAGAAGAAGAAGGATCATCACCAGAAGAAGAATTTAGTCCTGAAGACGGACCATAACCAGAGGAGGAAGGAGTTACTGAAGAAGGTACACCAGCAGGAGAAGAAGGCACACCAGCTGGAGAAGAAGGAACACCAGCAGGTGAAGAAGGAACACCAGCAGGTGAAGAAGGAACACCAGGAGAAGAAGGTGTTCCAGCTGGAGAGGAAACTACTCCAGGTGAAGAAGCTGCAGGAGAAGAAGAAGAAGGATGGGTACCAGGTGATATTCCTAAGAATAAAAATGGAACTTCTACTATTCCTGGTATACCTGAAGATGGTGAAGAAGGTGGTGAAGAAGGAGGAGAAGAAGGTACTTCTGAACCTGAACCTTAACCTCAAGGAGAGGAAGCTGGAGAGGAAGGAGAAGTAGCTGGAGAAACAGGAGAAGAAGCTGGAGAGTAAGGAGAAGAAGGTACTCCAGAGGTTCCTGAAGGTGAAGAAGCAGAAGTTCCTGAAGGTGAAGAAGCTGCAGGAGAAGAAGAAGAAGGATGGGTACCAGGTGATATTCCTAAGAGCAAAAATGGAACTTCTACTGTTCCAGGAATACCTGAAGATGGTGAAGAAGGTGGTGAAGAAGGAGGAGAAGATGATGTAGGAGAAGAAGGTGGAGAAGAAACTCCAGGAGAAGATACTGAAGAAACTCCAGACTAACCAGAAGAATAAGAAGAAAAGTATTTACTATTTTAAAATCTATAGATGTTAAGAAACTGTTGAAATTACTGCAACCAATGCTGCAGATATTATGTGTGCTTTAGGATAATATTTGAGTCAATTGGCTCATGGAGGATCACCTTCTGATAGTCCTAACGCTAAGAAAGTATGCTTCTGCTTGAAATATGAACCAGGTATCGATTATATTATAATTATAGACAACGCTGATCCTTCATTGCTTCAATTAACTTAAAAGGTGAGCAAAAAATAAAGAAAAGAATAAGATGGTATGTTGAAAGCATTAATTCCTAACAGGAGAATCTGAATATGAACAAACTTTTTTTATTTATTGATCTAAATAAAAAAAGTAAACTTGTCGATCTATTTCAATATTCTTCAATCGAATTCTTTCTTTTTTAAATAAATATTTATTTTAATGTTTTGGAAATTAGAAAACTCAGTATTCATCGATTGTATCTTTTGTATCCAATTAGACCATATATCTAAATTTAACCTTGGTTTCATCATAAACTATATATTCATTGTGTTGTAAATAGTATTAAATTGGGTTACCATCCTTATCCTTCTTTTTAGGATCTGGATATTCTATACATTAACCAACAGGAACTTTGCATCCATTTGATAGAATAACAGATTATTTATAATCAGGTCCCCTTCTACCACATCCCTTAACTGATTAATATTGTTCTAATAATAATTTATAATAAATACTTGGTAAATTTTATACAAAATCTGCTTAGTAAAGTTCTTAAGATTTGCCAACTGCAACCTCACAAAGCAACATATATCTATATCTTTGAATTTCTTCTTGTTCATCTTTAACTACTTATTATTGTCTATTCCAATGTCCTCCTTACTAAAAGAGACCATTATAAGAATTATAATGAAGTGACCAATCATCAGTATAAGCATATGACTTTTAGAACATATCAGCAAAATAGATTCCTTTACCAAACATGGCTCCTGTATTAAGAGCCCAAGGTGGTGCAACTAAAAAAATAATCTAATTATTTTACCTTTAAGTCCTTAAGCCAAAATACCCATAAAGTTAGATATTTTAGAACCATGCCAGAGTAATAACCTATTGTATTATTTATTGATTTCAAATCTTTCAGTTTCTCCTCTTCTTTCAATGGCAAAAATGTTAGATATTTTTGGTGATGATGATTGATTTATATATTGATCAATCAATTTAAATTCTGGATGTTCTCGAGGAAGTGTAATGACTCTTACATTTAAAGCATTGAAACAATAATTAAGTGGATTTAAGGATTATTTCATTAAATGAGCTCCTAATAAAATCTTTGATGTGATTTCGAAATTAAGTAAAGTTTCAATGAGCAATAATTTTTAATTTATGGCTTCAATAGAATCTAATGGAGGTAAAGGTTCTGTTCTTAATTCAATCAAGGGTATTAATTCATAAAATCTACTAGATTTATCTTCAATTTCGGATGAAATATTAGATATTTTTTTAATATCTAAATCTCCTTTCTATCTAAGTTATTTTAATTCTTCAACACTATCTGTTAATTCATTAAGAATAGCTTTAGCAACTTCTAATTATTTTCTATCAAGTCTTTCTATTGGTAAAAAGTCCATATCTACATGGAATTATTATAAATCCTTTTAATATAATTTAACTTAGATAAATTATAAAATAAATCTCTTGATAGTATTATCTAAATTACATGGAGGATATGGAGATTTTTTACTGAAATCAAAAGGTGTCATTAAAGATTTAAAATTTTTCTATTATTTGATATTCATTAAATAATATTTTCCAGGTTTTTTAACAAACTCTTCTTCTCCTTTTTTAATTTTTCTCCAATCATTACCACCTGATTTATTTGAGAAGATTTTATTAAATTCTTTAATAGCTTCTTCTGAACTTTCAAACGGAGTTTATTAATGTTATCCTCCAGTTCCTATTCTACCCCATCTAGTAAATAGAATAAAAACATTTCGATTGATTTCATGTAAGACTTACATTTTATAAAATACATTTTCTGAATATTGTCCATTTCCAATATCAACTTTAGTCATTAATAGAGAATAGGGACCAATATCTTTATCTATTAAGACTTCAAGTTTTCCAGTAAGAACAGCAAAAGTATCAACTTAATTTTTATAATCTTACTTTTTATCTTCTAATTATTCTCCATGTTAATCTAAAAACTTTTAGGCATCAGCTTCAACATCTAATTCCTATTCAACCCATTAAGCTTAAGAGATTACACTGGTTGGAAGTCTAGGTTATTTAGTTATTAATTTTTAGACAGCTTAAAGATTTTTTAAAACTGCAGCCATAACACCAGAATCTTAATCAACTGCATAGTCTAAAGGAGTCTTTCCATTATTATCTATCATATTCACATCAAAAACTTTAGACAAGGCTTCTAACATCTCTGTATTTTCATAAGATCCAAATTCTAATGGCTAAACTACATGATGAATGGGAGACTTTTAACTTAAATCTTAGAGATGAGATTCTTTTCTAAAATTAGGATGATGTAGAATGAAATTAACTAATTTTAAAGAATTATTCTTTATTGCAAGAATCAAAGAAGTGTCTCCTTTTTCTGTTTTCTCATTGATATCACAACCTGCATCAGTAAATTTAGTAAGTAGAATTTCATCTTCAACATGATATTCTTAGATTAAATATAATAAAGGAGTCAAACAATAATCTTTTTTATTGACTTTAAATTTCACATTTAAATTTACCTTACTACTAGTCCATAATCCTAATTCTATAGGGTCAGCTAAAACTTTGTAATTACTTTATAATCTTATAGAAAATGGGGTATTTTTATCAGAATTAAAAACATTAGGATCACTATTTCTATGTAAAAAGTATTTAATCATTTAAATGAAATCATGTTTACATGCATAATGTAATGGAGTATTCATTTAATAATCAATAGAATTCTTGTCTACTCCTCTTCTAGATAATTCTTCAGCAATTAAAATAGCCATATCTTACCCACAATTTCTTCCTTTGATTGCAAAAATGTGAAAAAGATTTTAATGATTTAGATTGTATTTTTGAACAACTGAATCCTCCTTAACTTTTAAGAGTAGTGTTCGAACTAATTTAAATTAATCTTCCATCATAGCATCTTCAATTGCTCTTTATAAATCATACCCATCAGTAATCAATAAATAAGCAACACCTTACCAACCTTATTTTATTGCTAATTTAAAATATGAATATTTTCCAGGTGGGAATTTTGTAGGTTAAGTCAATTAATTTAATTAATTATTCTATCCAAAAATATTTCTTGTAGCTACTTTTGCAGGAAATACTGCAACTCTAGCTCCACCAAATAAACCACCCGAATGAACATTATTTTCAGTTTCTATTGGATTTGATTCTCCTTCATCTTCTGTTTCAACTTCTTCACCTTTCTCTCTTCTTTCTTACCTCTATTATTTCTCTTCTTACTTTACTTTCTCTTTATCAATTACTATAGCATCTCTATTCACATTAGCTTTATTATCTATAAGCATTGTACAAAAATTAGAATGACCACTTATAAATGCCAAACCCAAAGGTGTATTCCCATATTTATCAATATCATCTACAACAGCATTCATTTTTATCATATATCTACCAGATATTACACTGCCTCTTAATGCAGCATAATGTAAAGGAGACCTTTTATACATATCTAAACAATTAACAGTGCAATTTTTATCTGCTAATATTGATGAAACTGTTTCAAAAGGATCAATTTCAGAAAAATCATTTTATTTTCCAAACTTTGTGAAAGAATAGAACAGAGGAGTTCTTTATAAAACATCAATAGCTCCTGTATTTGCTCCATTCATTATTAGAAGATGTTCCATTTCAAAACTAGCATCTGCTTAAGAATTAGAAGAGTTTATAGCATGATGTAATGAAGTCCTTTTATGTTTATCTCTATAATTTGGATCTGCCTTAAATTTAGTTAAAAATAACTCAACTATTTTTATATTATTTGCTTTAACCCATTTCTAAAGTGGAACTTCATTATTTTTATTTAAATTATCTATGCATCCACCCATTCCTAATAAAGATTCAACAAACCAACTCAAATCTTCATAATAACGCAATGCCATAATACTTGTAGGTGTATCTAAATTTGAATCCTTAACTTATATATCTATATGATTTAGAACATATTTTAAAAATGTCTCACTAGTTTCTTATTCTCTTCCACATATTTAATATTTATTGCAAGTAGCAGCAAATAAATGAATAGGACTTGTATTATTATGTGTTGTCTCCTTTAATGAAATATTGGATATTCTTTATAATCCTTGAAGGAAAGATACACTATGGAAAGTTTTAAATACAAAATGAGCTATCGTATAATTACCTTCACTTATATATGGATCTTCTTTATTATCTTACTAATCTTATTATGATTCATCTGGTTATCTAAACTTCTTTCTTTTTATAACTACACTATTTGATTTAGCTCCTAAATTTATTAATTATTAAAATAGTTTTAAAACTGTTTCTTATATTAGAAAAGAAGCTTAGAGTGCTTCTTATTTTAATTAATCAACTTACTCTTTATTTAAATGAACAATAATTGGTTTGCTATTGTAATAAAATGTTCTTTGATTATATACATTTCCTCCATCTATAACTTAAGTTTAGAATTAATGATTTTTTTGAGAGAATTGTGAATGTATTTTAGAAGTTTTGATTCCAGTAGTCATTCCTGTAATTATTTTGGATTATGTTGGGTTATAAATTATTTAAGGATTTTTAAATGCTGTTTTTTTTCTTTTATATTAAATTTCTTCTTCTTCATCTNGATATTACACTGCCTCTTAATGCAGCATAATGTAAAGGAGACCTTTTATACATATCTAAACAATTAACAGTGCAATTTTTATCTGCTAATATTGATGAAACTGTTTCAAAAGGATCAATTTCAGAAAAATCATTTTATTTTCCAAACTTTGTGAAAGAATAGAACAGAGGAGTTCTTTATAAAACATCAATAGCTCCTGTATTTGCTCCATTCATTATTAGAAGATGTTCCATTTCAAAACTAGCATCTGCTTAAGAATTAGAAGAGTTTATAGCATGATGTAATGAAGTCCTTTTATGTTTATCTCTATAATTTGGATCTGCCTTAAATTTAGTTAAAAATAACTCAACTATTTTTATATTATTTGCTTTAACCCATTTCTAAAGTGGAACTTCATTATTTTTATTTAAATTATCTATGCATCCACCCATTCCTAATAAAGATTCAACAAACCAACTCAAATCTTCATAATAACGCAATGCCATAATACTTGTAGGTGTATCTAAATTTGAATCCTTAACTTATATATCTATATGATTTAGAACATATTTTAAAAATGTCTCACTAGTTTCTTATTCTCTTCCACATATTTAATATTTATTGCAAGTAGCAGCAAATAAATGAATAGGACTTGTATTATTATGTGTTGTCTCCTTTAATGAAATATTGGATATTCTTTATAATCCTTGAAGGAAAGATACACTATGGAAAGTTTTAAATACAAAATGAGCTATCGTATAATTACCTTCACTTATATATGGATCTTCTTTATTATCTTACTAATCTTATTATGATTCATCTGGTTATCTAAACTTCTTTCTTTTTATAACTACACTATTTGATTTAGCTCCTAAATTTATTAATTATTAAAATAGTTTTAAAACTGTTTCTTATATTAGAAAAGAAGCTTAGAGTGCTTCTTATTTTAATTAATCAACTTACTCTTTATTTAAATGAACAATAATTGGTTTGCTATTGTAATAAAATGTTCTTTGATTATATACATTTCCTCCATCTATAACTTAAGTTTAGAATTAATGATTTTTTTGAGAGAATTGTGAATGTATTTTAGAAGTTTTGATTCCAGTAGTCATTCCTGTAATTATTTTGGATTATGTTGGGTTATAAATTATTTAAGGATTTTTAAATGCTGTTTTTTTTCTTTTATATTAAATTTCTTCTTCTTCATCTTCATCTTCCTCTTCCTCTTCACTTATATAACTACCTTCATCTTCATCTACTACTTTACTCATATCTCTTTCTTATTCTTATTCTTCCATTTCATCTTATTTCTTCTCTTCATCTATTTAATCTTTTTCAGGAGGTAATTCTGATACCTTTTATTCAAATAATTTAATTAATAATTGCTATATCTTCTTATTATAAATTCGATCATGTTATTGTTCTGCAGATTTTGTATATTCTGATATCAAATATAATAATGGATTCCATCCATTTTCATCGTATTAATTAATGTATGATTAATCAACAGTTTTTATAACATTTTCTAAAATACTATTTCCCTTTGGATTTAAGAATAGTTTACATTCTATTAATTTATGCAAAATATTTTTATCTTTGTTATCAATATAATCAAATTTAGGTACTGCTAATTTCATAAGTTATTCAGCCGTTTTGAAATTCTAGCTCATTAATGCTTAGATAAATGGAGTTTATCCATTTGTATCTGGAACATTAATATCTGCACCAGCATTGATTAATAGTTCAATTAAATCTGATACAAGTGTTTCATAATTATTTTTAATATCTCTTTTTTCTGCTTTCATCATTTCATTCCATTTTTAGTAATATTATTTAACATTTTTTCTAGAAATCAATACAGCATAATGTAATGGTGTTTTATCTTATAAATCAGCAATTTTAACATCTGCATTTTTTTCAAGAATCAAATATTTCATATACTCAAAAGAATCAGCAGTAAATCTACTTAGACTAGATGAAATTAAAGTTCTTCCTTCATCATCTTTACAATTAACATCAGTACTTGGATAATTTAAGAGTGTTTTAACAACACCTAAATGATTTTTTTATAAAGCTACAGATAAAGGAGTTAATTTCCAAGAATTAGGTAGATTTTAATCTGCTCCAGCAATCATTAATTCTTCAATACATTCAGGGAATCCATAAGCAGCAGCATAATGAAGAGGTGTATTTTTGGATGAATCTGGCATATTATATTCTGCTCCATGATAAAGAAGAAGTGATAAAATTTTAACATTACCATTTCTAGCTGCCATTGCACATGAACTTCTTCCAAATTTATCTTTACTTAAAACTTTAGCTCCTTATTCAATTAAATACTTGGCTAAATCATAATGTCCATAGGCACTTGCAATAATTAATGGAGTCATTCTTAATTAACCTGGTTAATTAATTTATGCTCCATGTTTTAAGAGAGCTTTTACTGTTTCTAAATGACCTCCAAAACATGCTAAATGTATTGCTGCATTTCCTTCTTTATTTTTACCATCTATATTATTTGAAGCCAAAAGTTCAACATTATGTGTTCTTCCATATTAAGCAGCAAGCATCAATGGAGTATTTTTTAATCTATCTCCTTCTCTAGCATCAATACCATTCTCTAATAAATACTTTAAACAATCATTTGTTTAAGAAACAGCAGCATAATGAACAGGCTTTCTATGAATTTCATCTAAAATATTAAATTCTTGTGAAATTTCAAGTAATTTTTATAAACAACCATGATTAGGATTAATTGCAGCACAATGTATTGGTGTTATCAAATACATACCAACAGTCTTTTTTGTTGCTGATGGTTTCTTAATATTTCCAATACGAGAAGCATTTGTATAATTTAATACATCAACATGTACTTAATTATATCCATACATATGTCCTTTCTCCATTGCTTTTTACACTAAATATCCTGCTGTTCTCCAATTACCACATCTTACTGCCATTGCTATCACTTCATAATATTAATATTCATTTCCTAATTATGCCATCATCAATCCAAAGAATTCTGGTTCAGATTCAATTCTCATCAATCTCTCAATCTAATAACGACTTAAAATTTCCTCCTAATTTAAATCATATACAAAAGCATTATTTCCTTCCCTTCCTCCCCTACTTAATGTAACCTTTCTAGTTCTAACTCCATATGCATATTTATCATTAAAACCTGTTGTTATTTCTTTTAAAGAACATCTTGGAGTCACTCCTAATTTTAATTTACCAATAGCTTTGATAAATTATAAAAGCATTGCTTTATCTTATCTTTAGAATATTAATTCTATAGCATTTATTTCATTTTCTGGACCCCATCTCTAAAATAAATTACTAATCTTCTAAGAATTTGTAAATATATCCTATAATAGTTTTTTATTTCCTGTTTTTGCAGCTCTAATCAATTCTTTATTATTCATAATTACACTAGTATAATCATGAAATTTTGAATTTCCTCCTTCAAATTAATCACTTATATTTCTTAGATCTTTATAATTTGGATTAACTTTCCCCTTTATAAATTTATTTGTTTAAGAAGGTTAAGATTTTGATTTCCTTGTTGAATTAGTTTTACCTCCTTTCTTTTGTTTACTGTCCACAGAAAATGATTAAGACACAGATTATGAAATAGATTGATCTACTTCTGCTTGCTCTTCTTCTTCTTCATCATCTTCCTCTTATTTTTATTTCTTTGATCTACCTCTTAATTTTGTTTCTTTTAATATTTAAGATGTATCCAAAACTTTTTGAGATTATTATTTTGGAGCAGGTGTATTTTTAATTTATTTCTTTGAAACTTTTTAAACTACTTCTGGTTCATCTTCTTCTTCATCTTATTCACTTTCTTCTGTATCTTCTTTTTTTTATTTTCTCCCGCCTTTCTTTTAAACTTTCACTTCTTTCTGCTTTTAAACATTCTCAACTTAACTTTTATTTTATTTTTAAACAGATCCTTTTTTAGATGGTTTTACTACTACTTCTTTTTCTTTCTCCTCCTATTCTTCCTCTTCTTCTTCTTCCTCTTCCTCTTCCTCATCACTTTCCTCTTTTTCTTTTTCTTATTGTTTTTGTTTCTTACTTTTCACTTTATTTATTTCATGCTATCCTTCTACTTGTTATTTTTAACCTTTCTTGATTGAGTATTTTTTTGGTGGTTCTTCTTCTTCATCCTCACTCTCTGAACTTACTTATTTTTTTTATTGTTTTGTATTGGCGGGAACTTATTTCACACTTTTTGCTATTTCTTAAAGAGTATCTTAAGGAAAAGTAAAAAATGTAACAGCTGTCTTACTTCTTGGATTTGGTTTGGTTTATTTTACTTCCACATCATCAACTACTTTACTTAAATTATATTTTTTTTTACGTGCGCTCTTTTACAGATATTAAAAGTTCATCAGCCTCTTTATAAACTACTTTGCCATCCTTTAACTTTTCTTATTATTCCAATTTAACTACTCTCAATTAAGATCTATGATCATTTGTTTTCATGTCTTCTACTACCTTATAAAAAAGAGGTTTGCCTTTCTCACTCTGTCCTAATATTTAATCTTTTTTATATTGATATGCATATTTAGGTTCTGATTTCTACCCGCGAGTTTTCATTTTATTTAATCAAAAATGAATTTAAATTAAATCTGATAGCAATATATAATATCAGCTATGTTTAAAAGAATATATAAAATAAATAATTAAAAATATCAATTATTTTTTTCTAAACTTATACATTCTATTTAACTTTTCAATTCTTTCACTTCCTCTTAAACATTATCAAAATTAGGATGATGATGTGCATATTCAAAATTTATTGGACTATAATCCATAAGCATTCGTCTCTAATGAAAAGGAGAAATGTCTTGTGAATGAACTCCTTCAAATTATTTTGAATCAAAAGAATCCAAACCCTAAATTAAATTAATTGATGGTTAAATCCTATGTGATGGTGTTCTATTTTAAATATTCATTAATGAATCATTCCTCATCGAATCATTCTTAGTATTATCATAATCTTCCTTTATAGACTATATTGTCTCTAAAGGTTAATAAATTTGAATTGGTTCAAGAATTTTAGCCTAATCAGAAAATGAAGATTCTCCATCCTCATCATCATCATCCTCTGATTTCTCTTCTAACATATGCACTCTCTTTATAAATGAATAAAATCTATTTTTCACTTAGTTTTCCTATGTTTAAATACAATCTTACTGGTCTTCTATCTAACATCTTTGCAATCTCACTCCATTTTGGTCCATATATTCTATACTATTCTAAAATTATTTTATCTTCCTAAGATGTAAATTTTTAATGATTGATCTCTGGATCCAAATTATTTAAAAACCTCTCTCTTATCTATTTACTTGATCTTCCATCCATAAATCCCTCTATAACCTTCCAATTTCGACCATATTATTAAACAAAAAGAATCACACGCTTATCCTCTTCATCACTCCACTACTTTCGTAATTTAGTCTATATATGTATAGCCTTTCAAATCAAACCTTATTTGGATTTATACGCTTCCATCTTTGCTAACATTAGCTTAAATTCCTTCCAGGTATCTCTTACGCAATTAAACGCCAATTTCCATTATGTTTAGTGTGTAATTCAATTAAAAGGGCATCCTCATTAGCTTTCCAAAATTTCGCATATCTCCTTTCTGAAGAACTAGAATCTGAATCCTTACTCTGTTTTCTAATCTGCTTATTGACAGTAGGTGACCTTTTTTCGATTTAAAAATTTATACTTTGAGTTTACCCTCTGTCTACTCATTTTTTTTATTTATATAAATGACCTCTCAACAATAATTAAATTTTGAATTAAATCTTTATATGTAACATTGATCCAAATAATTATCATAAATTAATCATATTAATTGGTTAAACTTGCAACAATAACCAATTTTAAATACAAATTATAAAAATTTATACGTATTATTTCAAACAAATAAACTACATAAATAAAAAACTTAAATCTATATAAAATTCTGAGATAATTTAATAGTTAATATTAAAATAAAGAATTTTAAAAGTAACTCAATAATTCATTAGTAATCTATAAGAAATTTAGATTCTATCTCTATTAATTATTTATTTTAGTCTTTTTCTGAGAATATAAAAATTTTATATAAATTTAATTAGAGAATAAAATGTCAAGAGTATAAAAAGACAGGTTACTTAAATTGGGATTAAAAGAAAAAAAGTTAATTCGTTTGTTATATCATAAGGATTTAAGTGAAGAGGATACAATATTTTTAAATACAATATATGAAGAAAAGTAAATAGAATCTAAAATAAATTAAGATAATATTTGCATTTTACCTATGCACTTGCTTTACCATGTATGATAGCCTTAAGCACAAATTATGCATTCTTTCGATAGAACTCAAAATGGATGTAGGTGGGGTATGTAGCAGTGATAGGTTTATCTACTCATTTATATTGCAATTCTAAAGTGAACAATAGGTTTTATAATTTAACCTAGCCTTTTTTCAAGAAATACCAAATTAATTGAGTGAGTTTATATTCTTGTAATTTATAATGAATAATTTGAATGATTAAAAATACAAAAAGAATGATCATCAAAATCTGAGTGCTGCTTCTTTTTTTCTTTAAGTGGTTCCATTTGTTAAAAATTTAATGACATTTTTGCATGAACATCGGACAAATCTATCTTTTTTAGGGGAAAGTAATTCATCTTCAATTAGGGAATTTTTATTAGAATTAGTCATTATTGATTTGATAGTAGATGCTTGGTTTTGACTTGAAAATCTCTCAAATGTAGTTTGATCGAGTAAAATGTTATAAATCTAAGTACAAAGAAGAAGAGTAATTCCTATCAAAAAAATAATTTCCAAAAATATATTTAAAGATATGATTATCCAAAATACTAAAGTTTCATTAAAAAAGTCCAAATTATTTTAGTTTCCAATTGAACATTACATAAAAGTTTTGATAAGAGCATATAAAATTGAAGTATCTAATGAAATTAAAAATAAAATAAAAATCAAATGATTTTGAGCTCCAACCTAATATAAATAAGAATTATACGCAATTATTGATCCAAGGACAATGATGATCATAAATTAAAACACAACGTTGGCAAATATCGCAATGTTTACTACGAGGTAATTTAATAACATTGCAAATAGGACATATATCTTAATGATCAAAAGATTTAATTAAAGTATAAAGAGATTCTTATCTTCTAATTTAATAGCCAGGATTTGAACAAACAATGAAAATGAAAAACAGAAAAGTAATTCCAAAAAATATATAATCAGTAACAAGAGGAATAAAATCTTCAACCATATAGAGCAAATATGAGAGTAAGACAAAAATCATGAATCCCCCAAATCTCATTAATTCAAATCCATTTTTACGAACTCTCTTTATACCTTATTTCAAATTATAATATGTAATAAGAAATCCTCTTTCTTTAGTTAACATATTATAAATATTCTTAAAGTCATTTTCTTGAGCTAAATCTGCTGGAGTTTTTTTAGCATTTCCTCTAATAGTTTTATCAGCTCCATAAATTAATAATTTCTTAACTAATTTAGTATTTCCACTTTAAACAGCTAGATGCAAAGGTGTAAGTTCATGAGAATCAAGTGAATTCAATGGAGAATATGGTTTTTTTTTATCTATTAAAGGCAATAAATAATTAACAGAGTGTTCTTAACCATAAAAGCATGCCCAATGCAAAGCAGAACCTCCATTTGAATCTAAATCACTTAATTTAATTCCATTATTGAGTGCAAATACAATACTAGTAGGTTAATCTCCTTGAGCACCAATATGTAAAATATTCAGTCCTTATTTATTGATTGCTCTTAAATTAGCTCCTTTTTATTGTAAGTAAGTTAATATTTGTAAATTACCTCTAAAAGCTGCAAAATGTAAAGCTGTATATTAATCATTTGTGGTAGAATTGATAAAATTCTCCATATTCTGTGAAGTATTATCTCTTCCTTCTTAATTCGTAATAATCATTTCACACATTTGATAACTATTATTGAAGCAAGCATAATGAAGAGCAGTAAATTTTTTAGAATTTAAGATAGCTGAAAGATCAAATTGTCCAGATTTTAACTAAATGGAAAATTGTTCAAGATCATTTTATTAAGCTAAACAAAGCAATCGCATCTCTATAGTAGAATTATTGATTTGTGTTTAAATATGGGATCCAATAGGAGGAGATGTAATTAGATTATTCTCTTAAGAATATAGAGTTGAACTTGATGGACTTTATTGCATTATTTATTAATATACTAAATATATATCACTTCTTCTTTCCTTTTTTTCCACCAGCAGCTCCTTTATCTGCAGCACCACCAGCTGGAGCAGCAGCAGCAGCCGCAGCAGCTTTAGCAGCTTATTATTTTTTGATTGCTTCTAAGTTGGCTCTAATCTAAAATATTTTATTCAATAATTACTGTTGCTTCATCCATTCTAAAGGTTTGATGGCAAGTACCACAATAATGTCTGTCGAAATGTTTAGCCATGTAAACACCTTAAGGACATTAAGGACATTATTTATGTGATCTTTAAACTACTCCCTTGTTGTCAACATTATACAATTTAAGGGTAGCCAACTTGACTTTTCGGTGTCTATGCTTCTTCTTCTTGGGCTTTGCAAAATTCTTCTTCTTCTTCTTCTTTTTCTTTCCTCCTTCTGCATCTACTGTAACATAATAGATTCTCTCTCCAGCCAAAATTGAGGATGCATTCACTAATTCACCACTTTAAACCAATTGAACTTCACATGCCAATTCGGAGTTTAAAACATTCATTAATTCACCTGCAGTACTCTAATCTGCCAAATTATATGTTTTCACCTCTCCATTAAGGTGACCCACCTATATGATCATAATACTTTTAAAAAAAAAGATTTAATTTATATCTCAAATTTTCATAACTATGCTATATATTTTTAATTCAACTCATCCCTTATAAACCCATTATAAACCATTTCTCTATATAAAACAACTTTAATAATATACCAATTCTCTGTATTCTCTACAGCTACTTTTCCTAAATATACATGAGAATTTATTCTTTAATTTTATTTCCCATTGACTCTATCTCTCCATAGATTCTAATCCTATTTAATATATTAATTAATAATTGCAATTTTCAAAATCTTAATTCTGAACTTTAAATTATTTAGAAATACAACAATCTTTTTAAATTAATAAATATTTTAAAATGTTGTTTTTTTAAAGCAAAGATTATTTTTCATGTAAACATTCCTTTTTCCGTTTGAATTTAACAAATTAGATATGCATATATCTTTCTCATAAAAATAAAAAGAAAAATTAAAAACATATAAGCTTTTCATATTAAAATATCAAATAAATGTATTAACATTTTATAGGATATACATTATATTTCTCATCTATCGATGTATATTAACTGATAACAAAATGAAAAACTTAGCTTAAAGATTAGAAAAATTTGAGAAATCTATATTTCAAATTAATTTTAAATATCTAAGAAGATTATATGTAGATTATCTGAATGAAATATCAAAACATTGTTATTGCTATTTAAAATATAAAATAAAACTATGTTTTTCCTAGAATTTCTGAGAATAATAAGATTTATTTGTATAAAATATCTTACTTGTTGAATAGAGTAGAATTACAATAGCTATAATTTGCTTGTTGAAATTTTGAACAACTGAGTTCAGAATACTTATAGAAAATGTCTTAATTAAGATATTTTAATTTAGGGAAGCAAAAAGGAAAGAATTGATAAATCTTAATATATTAATTCATTCTATTTTTTTTGAAAAGCCGGTTAGTAGCCATCTCAAATTCCTAATGCATCATCTGATAGATTTATGTTGTCATAATAGGAGGCATGATAAGTAAGTTTAATCTCATTAAAGATAAGTGGGGAATACTGATCTTCATTTATTTCATCATCTGAATATTATTATAATTGAATTAAAGGTTCTATAAATGATTAAGCTTCAATTTGAGTCCATTCTGGATTAGTTTTCTTTTCAATCGTATAATGTTTAGGTTTTTGAGTTTTCTTAACTAGTTTCTTTTGAATTGGAATGAATTTCTGCTTTTGTGTTAATTTTAAAGCATCTTATTCTTAGCGATAATTCTTTAGTAACACAAAAGGTTCTTAAAGCATAAATATTATTTTAATAACTGTATATAAAAAAAATGAAGTAGGAAAAAGAGATGCCATTCGATGGAGATTTTGAGGATAGTGAAGCAGATGATGATGAAGTTTCATAAGAATCTGAGAGTGAAGAAGAACAAATTTAAATAAAAAAGAAAAAAAAGAAAGTTGTAAATTCTAGTAAGAAGTTAATAATGAATGTTTCAGGTATATAATAAATAATTAAATAGACACTTAGTATCCTGTTGTTAAATTTGTAGGTAAAATGATTTACAAGTTTAAATTGTCTTATGTTCCTTATCTTGAAAATAATAATTGGGACTTTTGTTGGACTGATAATGCTGTTCTACCAGAAACACTATCTAAAATGCAACGTATAGTTCTAATGTTTATGATAAGCTCACCAAAGAATAAATCATTTTCCAGGTATGTATTCTTTGGCGAGAAAAAATCACCTTGGTCGTAATCTAAATAAAATGTAAAAATAATATCCAGAGGAATATGATTTTTATCCAAGAACTTGGATGCTTCCAAGTGAATATGGTGATTTTAAAGCATAATTTTAGAAAGGGAAAGCTAAGACTTTTATTGTTAAACCAGAAGCATCTTGTTAGGGAAAAGGTAATAATTATTTAAATAATTAAAGGAATATTTTTAACTCGTTCTATTGATTCTATTAATCCTTAAGAACATTATGTAGCTTAAAGATATATTCATAAACCTTTATTAATAGATGGATTGAAATTTGATTTAAGAATGTATGTAATGATTTGTGGTTGTGATCCATTAAGAATTTACTTATACAAAGAAGGATTAGCTAGATTTGCTACTTAATTGTATTCTTCACCACATTCAACTAATCTTGATGATGTTTGTATGCATTTAACTAATTATGCTATCAATAAAGACAACCCCAATTTTATATTCAATGAAGATGATAAATAAATGGATGTAGGACACAAAAGAAGTATGACTAGTGTTTTTGAATTTTTAAGACATTAAGTATATAATATTTTATTATATAGAAATAAAATGTTGATTTATTATTGAGTGATATCAAGGATTTAATCATTAAGACTTTTTGTGCTGTTTAACCAATATTGTAATAAAACTATACACAAATAGAAAATTATGCAAATAATATGTGCTTTGAAATTCTTGGTTTTGATATTCTAATTGATAGTTCTTTAAAACCTTATTTATTAGAAGTCAATCATACTCCTAGTTTTACAACTGATACTCCTTTAGATTCTTACATAAAAAAGAATCTAATTCGAGATGCAATTACTCTCATGAATATCAATGTTAAAACAAAGAATGATATAATATCATAAAAGAAAGATTAAATGCAAAAACGTGTTCTTACAGGAAAAAAGACTAAACTATCATATGAAGAAAAAAAAGTCTTGAAAATGTAAGCCTAAAAAGAAAGAGATGAATATGAATTTAAAAACAAAGGAGATTTTGAATTAATTTATCCTTGCGATAAATCCTACGAAGAATTCTTACTACATGCTTAAAAATTGTATGAAGATTGGACTGGGGCAAGTAAATCAATTCATATATATTTTTAGACATAAGAAGAAACTTAAAAAGAGACACTATATCTGAATAACCTAAACCTTAGTCTTGCACTTAGAAACCAATACTTACCTAAAAAAGCTAATTGTATAAGCATGTATAAAGCAAAGTCAATACTAATTTAATTCCTACAAAAACTACAAAGCCTGATCAAGAAATCACATAAGAAGAACCAGAACAAACTATTTAATAAGTTCAAGAACCTATTTAATCTTAACCTTAACTAGAACCTGATAATTTTGTCACCTTTGAAGATTATCAATAATCGGAATCACTTAAAGATTTATATAATTTTGCTGAAAAGAGAATCCCAGAAATATAACTTATTGATTTAATTTAGTTTAGAAGAGCTGAAAGCAAATAAGACAATTCTAGTTTTTAAATTATTTAAATGAGTCAATAAAATTCTCTATCCAACTTGTCTCCTTTAATGTAAATTAAGTCAGTATAAGATTAAAAGAATGAGAAGAAATTCTCTATAAGGAAAAAAAATAAATAACCTAAATAAATTGAATAAGAATAAGTAAATCATATATTTATTAAATTAGTTATATTTTTAACCCTTATCCCATTACTAACCTCCAATCTAACAGCACTCTATTTCTTATTAATAATAAGTGTAGATGCAAAATGGATCATTTGTCAAACCCAAAGTCTTTAGCTTAAAATTATAACACCCTCCTAAGGGATATAAACTATAATCACTTCCGATTTTAATGTAATAAAATTATACTAAATAACGGTATGAATAAGGGGTATGAATATCGTTTTTCTTAAATTATATTATCATTTTTTTTTAAATTATTTATTTATTTTTCTCCCAATTAAATTATTTAACCATTCTGATTCACCATTAAGATCTCTTTAAGAACAAGATTTGGAACCCTTTATATAAATAATTATAAATCTCCTAAATCTTAAATTTTATTATTACAAAAAATCTGATTACTCCTATTTGATATATAATATCATATATTAGTTTGAGTATTGAATAATAATCTTTACATTTTATAACAGTATATTTAAATTCATTTGAATTCTATGAGGAAATATATTAATTTTAAAGGAGGAGTTAAAGTATATTTTTTAGATTTCTCAAATGTAATATATGTAAAGTTTTATTCTGAAATTTTTACTAGTAATCAAATATTTATATTTTATATGATGAATTTGACCCAAAATAAAGATAGTCTACATGATGAATTTACCCAAATATTTAAGATAAATTCTTGTATTTTGATAAAACTTATTTTAATACATCTTTATGAATTCAATATAAATAAACTTCATGATTTCATCAATCATTGTTGTTTTGACAAGAAAAAAAATTGAATTGTAAAATAAAAATTGTGTAAAGTAAAAATAATAAAATGTGATTTGATTATTTTAGAGTATAATTTATAGTCTAGTTGAAGAATAGAGTATTTGGAATGAAATCTAAATGATTTGAATAAAAAATCATATGTAAAAATTTTAAAATTACTGTGAATGATAAAATAATATATAAAATATGAAGATGATGTATATAGAAATAGTTCTTTAAAAATCTGACAAAATATAAATAATTTTCAATATTTAAATTTTAAATAAATTAAGAAATAATATATAATGTAATCTGGAAACAATATTTTTGTTTTCACTCAACAAGACTTCTAAAAATATTTTGTTGTGAATTTGAACCCTCCTTTGGGTTAAGGACATGATGCTAGAGTTTACTTGGCTATGCATAAGAAAACAGGAGAAATGTTTGCTTTAAAAGTGCTTACAAATTTATCACAGGATCACATAATAAATCTCCAGGTTTAATTACAATTTATTTAGCGAACGAAATACAAATTCTTAAACGCATTGATGATGCAGGAATAGTTTTGTTGAAAGGATACGCATAAGATTACACTTGTGTACTATTGGAGTATATGCCTAATGACACATTTCTGAAAATCTTAAAAAAGGGCCCATTCTAGTTGTCATTTGGAAAGACTTTGGCAGCGTATCTTACTAGAGTGCTTGTTACACTTCATGCATCTTCTATAGCCCATTGCGACATAAAACCAGAGAATATTTTAATAGCCGCAGATTACAATTTGAAATTCTGTGATTTTGGTTTTGCTCGTATTTGTAAAGAGCCTTTAAGACCACCTGGAGGGACTCCTGGATATACAGCACCTGAGATGTATATTAATCCAACAGTAAATCTATTTAAATGTGATATTTTTGCATTGGGTGTAGTATTATTTATTGTAGTAATGGGATTCCCTCCTTTTTAAACTAATGATCCTAATGTAAAAGATGGATGGTGGGGTTTAATATAGAATAAATAATTCGATTTATTCTGGAGTAAATGCGAATAGTTTAGATAGTAACAATTTCCATAAGAATTCAAAAATCTAATAATGTCTATGTTAGAATGTGATCCAGAAAAAAGGATATCATTACAGAAATTATTGGATCATGAATTTTTATTGAATGGAGCTTCAGAAGAAGAAGTTTTACAGGAAATTGAGAAACGAGTGAAAGAATGATTTATTGAAAATTAAGAAATAATATTCAAAAAATAAAATACATTAATTTAATATTATATATTTGAGTTAATTTAAAAAATTCTTATTAAAGTATATTATCAGATTTATCTAATGTTATATGAGGGATTCTAAAAAACCTCATTCAAAGGAAAAATCTTTGAAATAGTTTATTAAATAATATTTAGACTATTAAAACAATCAATTATTAGAAATAGAACTGAGGTGAAAAAATTTCATTATTATTAAAATAACATTATAATTATTTTATTATGCAGAGGCTCTTGAAACCAATTAAGATATAACAGCCTGTCTTATAAAAAATCGAAAATGCAAGATCAGATTGTTCAACGGATGAAGATCTTAGTTTTATAGAAACTTTAAGGGCCGACGCTCAAAACCCTATGATAAAAAATTTCTCACAGGAAGACTCTATTGTAGATGCCACAAAGGATTTGGAAGATTTCCTTAATTCTCTTGATTGAAATCTATTAAGTAAGAGGAAGGCGACAATTAGTGCAAACCTCTTTTTCGATTGATTATAATACATAAACTTTTAATCATAAACATCACTAATTCTGATTATTCTTATGAAGCCATCATTTATTTTACTTCATATTCTGCTTTTATTAATTAGAGTTTACATTAACTGACAAAACTATGTTATTCTCATTATTTTTGAACTATATTTATTTTCCAGATAAATTGTATATTTTCAAAAAACTAACCAACTGACTCTCTTTCTATCGTTGGTAAGTTCTTATTCTCTAATGTTTCAAATAGAGATTCTCTGGATTCTTTTTAAAATGAATGTTTCAAATGTTTTTCACAATATTAACATTCGTTTTTCCATTTTTAGCAATCATTTTAAGGCAAAATGAATATGAAATAATCACATATATATATGAAAGTTTGTAAATTAAAGAAGTTAAAATCGAAATAGATCGTTAGACAGTTTAAAATGTAAAAATAAATAAAGTTAAACAATTAGTGTATATATTGGTATTTTTTACACTGAAATTTGCGATTTTAATTCTAAATAATTCATGTTTATAATTGTTAATTAAATTTTAATAATTATTAAGTAAGGCATACTTTTCTTTTTAGAGAGATAGGGATTCATTTGATTAGTAGATATTGTTGTTGTGTTTTAGTTTAAGAAAATAAAATATAAATTAATTATTAATGAATAAAGATAAATATAAGAAGGTAAAAGGAGATCCAAATCGTTCTAGGTCAAGAGATAAAGAAAAGAATGATGTACTTAGATTTCCTCCAATTAATTAAGAATAATTTAGAGCTGTGGTTATTGAGTTTATGTTAAGTGATTAATTTGATTACCCAATATCAGGTGGTGAATTGTATACTTACATAAACACAATATTTTTGGTATTATATAGAGTGATTTATTTAAGACTAAGACAAGTACTCCATATTTAAGAAATCTATAAATTGAACCAATCTTAATTTAGTTATCTGAAGCTGGAGCTATAAATCTATCTAAACTTGCAGTAGGAACATATTTATAAGATTTCATTTTATCAATCTCAAAAGAGAAGTTAGGATAAATGAATATCTAATATTCAAAGGATAAACCAAAATAAATGCCAACAGTTGAAGAATGGATTAAAGAAGAAATTAGATCAATTACAAGTGGATAAACATTCTTAAAAATTGATCATTTATTAGATGAAGCAAGAAATCAAAAGACTAATATTAGTTTATTACCTAAGATAGCTGCTTAAAAAAAAAGATTAATTGAAAATGTAGGAAATATAAGTTTAAAATATGAAGATAATGTTGTTTAATTGGCTTTAGAGAGAAAAAGAGCAGCATTATTGAAAACTGAAAATTATGATGAGGAAGAAGCAAAAAGAAAATTTACAGAAAGAGGTTTATAAATATGTGAAAATTTCACAAGAGATAAATGTAGAAATGCTTAATGTTAAAAAACACATTTTAGAAAGATACTAAAAGCAAATACATAAACAAAATTAGGTAATTGTACTTATTTAGATTAATGTCCTGAATAAGAATAATGTAAATTTATTCATTATATTCTGGATGGAAATGATGTAGATTGGTAAAAAAGAATTTAAACGGCTTTATCTAATCATAAAAGTATGGCACCATAATGGATAAATTGTGATCTAAGAATTTTTGATTTTAGAGTACTTGGTAAATTTGATGTAATAATGGCTGATCCACCTTGGGACATTCATATGAATTTACCATATGGAACTTTAAAAGATAAGGAAATGAAAGCATTAAGGGTTGATTTATTATAAAATGATGGAATCATATTTTTATGGGTTACAGGTAGAGCAATGGAATTAGGACGAGAATGTTTGATTCTTTGGGGTTATAGAAGAGTTGAAGAATTAGTTTGGATCAAAGTTAATTAATTACATCGTATTATTAGAACAGGAAGAACAGGACATTGGCTTAATCATAGCAAGGTAACTTATTATATTTTTCATAGGAACATTGTTTAATTGGAATTAAAGGAAATCCTTAATTAATTAAAGGATTAGATTGTGATGTTATTGTCTCTGAAGTTAGAGAAACATCCAGAAAACCTGATGAAGTTTATGGTATTATCAATAGAATGTGTCCAAATGGTAAAAAAGTAGAATTGTTTGGCAGACCTCATAATTGCAGACCAAATTGGATTACTCTAGGTAATCAGCTTCCAGGAGTTTATCTCAAAGATGATGGAATTAGATAAAGGTATTATATCTTAATATATTTATTATTATAGATTTATGGAAGCTTATCCAAGTGTAGATATTTCAGAAAATAATATGAATGATAATTTGGTCTAAATGTCAAACTAAGAAAATTTAAATGTAATCTATAACAATCATATCGGTAAAAAAGAATGAATTATAAATAATAAAATTAACAGACTTTGTGTTTTATTTCAAATTATCATAAACAGTATTATTATCATTTGATTCTTAACTTTTTCAGATCTCTATAAATTCATATTATTTTAATCTCTCCTCATATACTTCAAATACTTCTTTTTCTATAAATAATTCATAATTCAACAAATCCAAAAATTCCATCTCTAATTGATTAATCTCCTTTAATGATAACCCTCCAACTTTTGCATAATACTCATTCTTAAAGTATTCATCATCATAATACTTTATTGCCACCATAATAGAAACTATCATAAATCAACACAATATTACAAGTTCATACCTATGTATACAATTCGAATTGAGAATTATATTTTAGTGCATTTCCTAAACCTTATCTAAATATATTAATCCAAAAACAAAGCAAACACTATTGCAATTTGTATATTTTGCAATCCTTTGAATGTAGCTTTATATTGAAATAGATGGTATTCTCAAAGCATGGAATGTCGATACTTACTATAAACTCAATTAATCAGTTTCCTTTAAAATTTCTTCCAATATTTTAGCTATTGTGATAAGCAACTTATTTATGGGTTGCATAAAGAAAATTTAGATATTTATCGAATGATATTATTTATTTATATAATTAAATATATCAATATTTAAGCTCATTCGTAATTAATGTAACTCATAAGCATATCATAAACAGAAGGCTGGTTATGTATGTCTTAATGTTATTAATTTTATTACATAAAACCTTAAGGAGCTATTTAGAATTAAGGAGCAAACATTGAACTCTAAAATTATTAATTCAAAGGTTATGATTGGGATAAATCTTATGAGAGAAATTAATTTGAATAATTGAATTGAAGGGGTTAATTTACAAAGTTTTATTACTATTATAATCTTGTTTATTCTTATTTAATTTATTCTAGTCTAATTTATTCTTATTTAATTTATTCTAGTCTAATTTATTCTTATCTTAATTATTCTTATTTAATTTATTCTTATCTAATTTATTCTTATCTTAATTGTTCTTGTCTAATTTATTCTTATCTTAATTATTCTTGTCTAATTTATTCTTATCTTAATTATTCTTATCTAATTTGTTCTTATCTTAATTATTCTTATCTAATTTGTTCTTATCTTAATTATTCTTATCTATTTTTTTCTTATCGTAATTATTCCTATCTAATTTATTCTAATCTAATTTATTCTTATCTTAATTGTTCTTATCTTAATTGTTCTTATCTTAATTATTCTTATCGTAATTATTCTTATCTAATTTATTCTTATTTTATTTATTCTTATTTAATTTATTCTTACTATTATTATTTAATTTAATCTTATTTTATTTTATCTGAATTTATGGATACCTAATCTTTTTGAATTTGATCTATATTTGATTGCTAACTAACCAATTCTTTATTCTAATAATTTGTATTCAAATTTTTTTCTTATTATTATTGTTTATTTATGCTAGAAGTTTAGGTTATGACTGATTTAGGTACATATGGGCATTCATCTACTTAATATTTAGGTACATAGATGTATTTAGGCTGAAATGTATTCTAATAAGGAATTTTTGATTTTTAACTAATTTATTGTTTTCTGCGTCCATCTTATTTATTATTGTTTCGATCATTTTCAAATTTTTCATATTTTCTATTTTGATAGTTAAGCCTTTTTGGAGAAATTTCTCTCTTTCTATCTCCAGAAGCATTTCTTCTTTATGTTCTCTGGTTATTTTCATTGAAATGTGATTATCTAGATTGAATATCAGATTAATTTTTATTAGTCACAGATTATGATCTTTTGGGTTTTTATTCATTTTCACTTGATTTGGACATCTTATAAATAAGAGTTTTTCTTTTGCTTGTTATTTCAATCCATTCATCATCATCATTGTCTTATTGATTTTGATTTTAGATTTGAATGCTAATGAATTCATTTGCAATCTCTCTATTGAAATCGAACTGTTTATAAATTTTGTACAATGCAAATTTCTTTTTTAATGTAAATTGAATTTACTTGGAAACTTGGATATTATTGAGAGATTAATTTAATGTCTTGCTTGATTTCTTAACTCAATTTATTTTTGTTTTCCTAATATTCAGTTTCATATTTTTCTTTTATGGCTTTATTTCCTCCTTTCATTTTTTCTTCTTACTATATTCTTTTCTTTTCGGCCTCCCTTTATAATTTTTCTGCAATATTCATTTTTCTAATATGAGAATTAATTTAAATAATTTTTAGCTCATACACAAAAATATTTTTAAATTATGAACAATAATAATCTTATTAAACCAATGAAAAACATTTTTTTTCTTCATTGAAAAATATAGAATAAATTTTTTTAGTCTAGATTTTATTCATAAGCATCATCCATGAAACATAATAAAAATAATCTGTATTAAATACAATTTTAAAAAAATGTTAAATTATTCATAATTTTAAAGTAAATATAAATTACATCTTTTATAAAGTATTAATGGGTTGTTCCGCATCAAAAAAAGTGAATGGATAAAAAGAATGTTTAAAGGAATTAAGAAAAGAATACAGATCAAATAGTCTATTTATTAAGAATAATAATATTGTCTAAAAGCAAGGATAAAGTCATAATTCATTAATGAATGATCACAAGCATATTTTTTGAAAATTATTTTAACACTAATAAATCTCCTTTACTGAAAAATACAATTAGGATTTAGATTTTAATGATTTTTCTTTTTGTTAAAAGATATTTAAAGGAAAAACTTGTGCCTTTATTTTTTGTTTAATTTTCCACATTTTGTATTAGATGAGGTTCTAATTTTATTATTATAAGTATTAAAAAATGTAGAAACAAGGAAAAGAATTCGATCCAGTACAACAAACATTTTTAATTATATTTCTAATGAATATAAAATATTTTATAGTAAAACACAATAAATATGATCTATGGATGATTGATGAAAAATAGCAAGAAATATATTATAACAATATTATAATTAAAAAATACAACTGTCAAGATTAGTTTATAAATATTCTAAATAATTATGAATAAATATGATTATATTTTTCTGAATTAATAATTATAAATGTTGAGATAATCATTTAATAAATTATGTCAAAAAATCAAGGTATAGAGATTTGTGTGTCAATTCAGTAATTATTCTTAGAAGAATCCAGCAATGAAATATGATGATGAATTTAGAACAACTTTAAATCAAGATGGGAAATTATTACCTAATGCAGATCATTCATTTATTGCTGATCATGATGATAAATATGGATTATAACACATAAGAGATCCAGCAAAAATATTGAGTCATTTGAAATCAGTTGAATTTAAGTATTAATTCAATGATTTGATTTATTTTTTACGTCATTTGGTTCATATATCAGAAGAACATGGTTTAAGATCATAAATAATGAACAATTATAATTTTAAGGAATTTTTGAATCACATAAAAAAATGTTTAATAACAAACGAGCATGATAAATTTCCATTAATAGGATCATATGCTTATTGTTTAAACAAATTGGATATTAATGATAGAGAAATGTGGAGATTACTTGAATATAAGATATTAGAAGATTAATATCATACAACATTTGATGAGAGTGTTTTTGCTGCATAAGGTTTTTGTAAATTACCATTAATGTATTATGGTTAAAGTGAAGAAGTTATTTAAGGAAAAATTGATAAGGTTTATAAAAAATTAGAGAGAGTTATTAGAATAACTATTTGGGAAGTGAATCCTATACATTATCATTCAATTGCAATGGCATTAGCGAAAGTAAATAGATTTGATCCAGAAATGTTTGCCAAATTAGAATAACATATTCTGACTAATTTATCTTTGAATTACACTACAAAAATGATGGTTGACATATTATTTTGTTTTGCAAAGGGAAAATAAGGATCTTTAGAATTTTATGATTCTATGTAGTATGTGATATTCAAAGGTCATATGTTTAATCGTAATTATTTTTTGTAATCTCTTTCTGAATTAAGTTATGATGGCCATTTAGTATCAAGATTATTGGAAATATACAAAGAAGCACAGGATAAATATCATGAATTCTAATTGCATCCAGACTTTCAAAATAAAGTTCATAATCTTATGGTGAATAAGTTAACTCATTATGATTTAGAATCACTTGTTACAACAATGAGTCTTCTTCCTACTTTTATTAAAGATGATTATAAAAATATTCAACATAATCTAATTAATCGAATCACTTAAATTTAAGGTTAATTTCAAATCTAAGATATTATTAAATTCTACGAATATATTGAAAACAATTATGATGATATTAAGAATGCACCCATCCAATAAATGCATTTTGTTGAGGATAATCTTTATAAATATAGTGATTCAGTCAGTATGGATGATCTTATTATCATTTTATAATATTTAGTAAATAAATTATATTTATTATAGTATCAAAGACCAAAGTTTATTTTGTAACCAGATAAATTTATTAATCAAGTGATTAGAACTTTTGATTAGAATATTAATTTAATGACTGCTGCTTAGATAGATATGTTAACATCACTTTTTTAGCCATTTTTAGAATTTTAATAAAAATAGATAGGAGATTCTTTAAATATTAAAACTACCTTGAGAAAATTGAAGGATATTCAATTAATTAAATAATATTATTAGAAATAAATTCAATGAAGTTAATATATTGTTTGTACATATTTACATAAATAAATAATTATGGTATAAATTTATGCGAATAAAATTTTTAATGCAAAAAAATTAACAATAATAAAAATGGAAAAAAAGTTTATCATAATTTCTTTAGAAGGCAATATTGGTGCAGGTAAATCAACTTTGTTTGAAATATTGAAATAAGAATACCCATAAGCAATTTTTTTGATGGAACCATTAGAAAGATGGTAAAAAATTAATGGGAATTCTGAACTCAACATTTTAGAGAAGTATTATTCAGATGTAGAGAGATGGGGATTTACTTTTTAAATATATGCATACTAATCTAGATTAATGGCATGGGATAGATAATTATAATAGATATTACAAAATAAACAATAAAATAAAGATCCTATATTAGTATTTACAGAAAGAAGTATAGAAAGTGCTAGAGAACTGTTTTTTAAGTTATGTTATAAAGATGGAAAGATAAGTTAAATAGAATTTGAAATTTATGAAGAATTTTATGAATGGTTAATGAATCATTATAAATAATATTTGATAGATTGTGTAATTTATGTGAATACTCCTCCAGAGATTTGTTTGTAAAGATTAATATAAAGAGGAAGATAGGAAGAAGCATGTGTACCACTGGAATACTTGAAAAATTTGCATTAAAGACATGAAGATTGGCTTTATGAGAAAATTAATAGATTTTAAATAATAAATATAGATGGAACAATGAATTATGTTAAAGATTAGAATATAAAAGAACGTGTGAGATAACAGTTATTGTTTGAAATATAAAGATTAAAGGATTAGCTTAATTGAAATGGAATTAATTTAAAATAATAATAAAATTTAGTATTTACTTAATCGTATATATATCTAAATAATTTTTAATTTATGAATAGATTATCCTAATTGAGTGGACAATTCGATGAAGAATAGAAATTGCAATAGCAAATAATTGAATTAGATAAGTAAGGATCAATGATGATTTCATAATTTAGTTGGTTCAAAAGTCCACGTTTTAATAATGTTTTACGTCCATATACAGCAAAATAAGTTGCTGAAGTGAGAGGATAGATTGTACCTAATCAATATTCTGATTTTATGGCAAGAAAATTCTATAATCTGATGATGGATTTAAAATAAAACAATGGGTAATGAAATAATCTGATCTTAGTTTCTCTCTTGCATGTGGAGCCTTAGATACTGTTTAAGTTATCAATATGTCTAAATATATGACATCTATCTATGTATCAGGTTGGTAATGTTCATCTTCTGCTTCAACAACAAATGATCCAGGACCTGATTTTGCTGATTATCCATATGACACAGTACCTAAGAAATGTGATTAGTTAGTCAAAGTAATAATTAAATTGATGATAGATGCAAAGATTTCAAGATAGAAGACAATAATATGAAAGAAGTTTAATTACACCTGAATAACGAAAATAAAAAAAACCTTATGATTATTTAGTACCTGTAATTTGTGATGCAGATGCTGGTTTTGGAGGTACAAGTAGTGTAATGAAATTGACTAAATTATTTATTGAATCTGGAGCTGCAGGAATACATTTAGAAGATTAAAGACCTGACTTAAAAAAATGTGGACATATGGCTGGAAGAGTTGTAACCTCTACTAATACACATGTTTAAAAACTTATAGCTTCTAGACTTTAAGCTGACATGATGGGAAATGAATTATTTATTATTGCTAGAACTGATGCATTAGGGGCAAGATTCATAGAAACTAATGTAGATTTAATAGATTAACCATACATTCTTGGAATAACTAAATTTCATGATAAACCTTGTACCTATCCTGAAGCAGGAGTTTTCATAATTGAAAAAATTATTGAAAAAGAAAAAAGAATATAAGCTACTAATTTATGGTTAAAATAATGTGAAATTGGTGGAATTAAAAAAGCTAAAGAATTAGCTAAAAAATTAGGATTTGAACTTGATTTTGATTGGGAAAAATGTAGAAACCCTGATGGATTCTATGCTCTTTAAAGTAGTGTTCATTATTGTGCTATAAGAGCTAAAGTATATAAAAATAATTAATAAATAGGAATACTTAAAATATGCAGATGCTTTATGGATGGAAACCTCCACTCCTGATTTGAAAGTTGCTAAAGAACTCTCTGATGAATTATAATTTGAACTTCAAAATAATAAAGTCTTATGTTATAATTGTTCTCCAAGTTTTAATTGGAGCAAATTTGGATTCTCAGATGGTGAACTCAAAAACTTCAATTCAGAATTAGGAAAATTAGGATACACTTGGCAAGTATAAATTTTAATAGAAACTAGTTTATTACATTAGCAGGATTTCATTTAAATGCACTTTAAAGTGAAAGATTCTCTAAAGATTTATCAGAAAGATATATGTTAGCATATGTTGAAGATATTTAAAGAAAAGAAGAAAAACATAATGTTGATTAATTAAGACATCAAAAGTAATTTATTTATCTACACTTTTAGATGGTCTGGAGCTGAATTAATTGATCACGTCATGACTATTGTTAATCAAAGTACACTGATATCTTCAGGTGAAGACTCAACTGAACATTAATTTGACAATAAATGATTGCGTATTAAATAAATATATCATGATATCTATGTATCAAAATATAAGGCAAGCAACATACTCTTCTGCTTTAATTGCCTTATTTCTCTCAAAATTTAGTAAACATTCTTTTAAAATTTAATCTAACTCACTCTTACTTGAGATTGAATCCCAAGCTGTTGTTTACGTTTTCTGAGCTTAATAATTATAATTGTCATTCAATTTATCATCTATATGTCTTGGGGAATAATACAATTATTAATCCACTTTCTATTTAACATTCAATAAGGAATCATTTAACTAATTTTTTCCTAATTTTGGTGTTTCAGCATTCAATTAATTATCATCTTTTTTCCTTTTGCATTCTAATTCCCTTGTTGAACTAACTATAATTGACTTCTATATTCTTATTTCTTCTGAGGCATTCTATCGGTGATCTTTTTTTATGGTTTCAACTTCTGTTAAAGAAAATGCTCTCTTTTTGGATATTTACTAAATTCCTTACTAATTTAACTTTTACTATTCCTCTTGCCTTGGAGATTGAATAATAGAACTAAATATATGAGAATATTTATTATCACTAAAACTTTGAAAATTATCTAATGGGGCAATTTTAAAAACGGGATTCTTACTATTGTAAATATATATTCATATTACAATTTTGTATTATCAATAATATATACTACATTTGATTAAGATGAATCAATCTTCACACTTTAATTTGATATTGACTTGGATTCTCTTAGAGTTGCAGCATCATTTTATTACATTTATAAGTTAGATTATATCGATTATATTTATAATATTATAATACTCTTTTATTATTTTTTATTTGAATTTACTCAATTAATAATATCTATTTTATTTTTTATCATATGAAACTCACATAAATATGTCATAAAACGCATTTATTAAATCTTTAATCACAGCAACATTCTTAGGATTCTCAATTCCTACAAAAATTATCATTTTATTATTAGGCATTAATTCAAATTTTATAATTCCTTCTATGCCATAATATTACAATTTAAAATAAGCAAAATATTTAATTTCATCCAAACCTTAGCTAAAACTATCAATCTTTTCTGGACTTAAGATTGTGAAGCATTCACTTAATTTAGGAATATCTCTATGATTAGATAATATTATTGTATTGTATTCAAACATTTCAGATCTATAAACTTTGGCAGACTTCCACTTTCTTTGATAAACGATTTTACTAATTTTATAGTATTAAATCAAACTTAGGATTTGAATTGGCAAAAATACTTATTGGATTTTATTACTAAATAGTTATAATCATATTTTACTTATAATTTACTTCTAATATTGGTATTACCAATATTTCTGATAAGTTTGATTTAATACTAACTTCCAGAAGTTATATTTATCTTTTTTGTAAATTTTATTAGATTTCTGTTTAAGATGTCCAAATTGTTTCAAATTTCATAGCATTCTTAATATAAGCTTTTAAATTTAAACTCTGTTATTCAGTTTTGAAATATAATCCATAATTGATATAAAAATCATTACCTTATTTTTGTACTTATTTTAAAACTGCTATTTTTAGATCTTAATTATCAATAAAAATAGTATTGCCAATTTTATTCAAATGATACATCTTATACAATAATAAATGGTTTTAATTCATGACTAAAATATTGAGAAGACTCTAAAATTAAACAACAATTCCTTTATGAGGTCTAACCTTTTTCTAATAATATTCTTCAGCAGTAAAATAAGGATATATTATTTCACTCTAAACAGGTACTTTAATTTATTGAGTTTTTATAAATAAATTTTTAACATTATCCAAAAATTCTACTTATATATGTTAGAAGTGTTAATAGCCAGAGTAAGGAAGGTTACTTATATTTTTTTCTTGTTTATTTGATCTTGATGGATAAATGGCTTAAGAATAGTTTTATTTACTAGAAACAGATTATGGGGCATTAATTTAAATATATTCAGTCTCTTTGATCTTTGATAAATCAAGATGATTATGAAATATTTCTTTTTAAGGTTCAATTTAGATTGATTCCAAAGGTTTTTGATTTTTTAAAGATTCTAATTGTTCAATTACTTCCTAATTTTATCTCATTAAGGCAGAAGATTGATTCCTGAGTTTTTCATTTTCTTTAACTTAAATTTAGAACTTTTATTCTAAAAGATTTAATTTTTCCTTAAAAGAGTTTTCTTCTATTTTTCTTTAAGTTTCTAATTAAAGTAGTTATTGTTTAAAGCTTAGAATTTCTGCTTAATGTTTTTATTAGATTTATAAATCTTATGCAGTAAACTTGACATTTTACTAAGCTTTATACTATTCTAATTCAATTATTTTAAGTTTTAACTCTTACTCAAGTATTTAAATTTATTCATCTTTATGATTTATCTCAATCATCAAATTTGTAGATCTTGTCTTTTCATTTTCTAGTCTTCTTAAGAGATTAGAAATTTCCCCATTTGGAGATATTTCTGAATTATTTAAATGAGAAAAAGATACTAATTTAATCTACTCTTAAAGTTACTTAATTTCTTATTTATAATGTTCTTCTTATTACTGTAAATTGACAATGTATTAATTTTTTTCAAGATTCTATGATTTTTTAAGATTTTCAATTTAATCTTTCTTTTCATCAAGTTCTTCTTTTAATTCTGAAATATGATTTCTCATATAATTAATATCCTAACTATCTTTTTCACTTAAACTCTAAAGTTATTCAATTTAAAATTTCAATGTTTTTATCTAATCAGTTAAAGTATTATTAATTCTCTTGACTTCCTCTGATGATTAAGATGAATTATTTCTCTATCTTTATAATTCTGTATACTGCTGTTCTATATCTTTATATCTAGTCTCCTTCTTTTTAAATTCCTAAGCTTATTCTTACATTTATCGTTTAAGATTTGTAATTTCTATTTCATGTTCTCTTTGTATTTTTTATTTCTCTTTTTCATGTTATTCAGTTATACCACTTAATTAATTTTAAAAATCTTGCATCACTTATTCTGTATTATATTATAATCCTAAACTATCTATATTCATATTAGGCACAAATTTTTTATCAACCTTACCAAATTACATTGATGACTAAGAATTTTCAGTTTCTTCATAAATTGATTATAAATTGCCTTTCTATTATTTAGGAGCTTGTTTTCTATATTTTTCAAATTCATTTCTATATTCTTATGGTTTTATTTCTTCGTTCTATAACTTTTAAAAGATTAAACAAAAATTCCTTATTTCATCTTAAACGTTGAAAAGTTCCAAAGAACAATCCTCATCTTCTTAACTAAGAAGTTCATCGGCTTTTCTATCTATCTTTTCCTTTAATTAATTTAAGCTCTAATTAACATCCTTCAAATCTTTAATATATTGATTAATAGCTTTAGAATCTAAACTTAAAGCTCTTTCAATTAATTAAGTCTTTAAAACACTATATTAATTAATCAATAGCTAAGCACTTGAATTTATTTCTTTTTGATTTTCATTACCACGTGTATTTATTGTTGAAGGTTTCTATACTTAATTTATTTAATTTTATTGAGTTTATTTAAATGGTTAATCTTATTAATTCAATTAATTTGGCTAAGATTTTATAATAGATTTATTTTCTTCCAAAGCTTAAGCGTAATTACGAGAGTGCTATTTAAACATAAGTGTTGTATTTTAATCAACTTCCTCTTTATTAAAGTAATTATATTTATCAGGAAATTTTATTTTCTTTACCATAAGTCTAGCATATGTCAGAAAAAAAGGGCTTAATGTTATGTTATCACTTTTACAAGTGAATACTTTTGCCCAAATTTCTAAACTCTCTAAAATAAACCTCAAAATGCTTATGCCAAATTTAGCCTAATTTTTATCTGGTTAATCTGAGAAATAAAATTTTCCTCTATCATCATTGTGATCATCCTTTTTAAATTCAGCTATTTTTTCATAATAAGGTAAACAAATTTTCTAAAACATTGTGTTGAAATCAGTATTTTTCTTCTCTACTGTCTATTTACCTAATCTAACAGCCATTAAAGTCAATTCAGGCTCTTTTTGTTTTAAAGCCTATATAATCGCCTCACATATTGGTTCATAGATGGTCCTAAAAAATCATTCAAGGAATTACTAATCTTTATTGACTACTCTATCCACGTATTACTTAATTTACTTATAGTCTTCTTAAGTTTTTAAAAAACTTAATATTGTAGTTTATAAAGACATTTTTATTATTAATATGAATAATAAAATTTATTATTTAATGAAATTCACCATGTTATAAAGAGAAAAAATTAATTTTTATATCTTAAACCTTAAATATCATTAGAAAAAGTGTTTTCTTTTGCAATATTAATAAATTTTTAATTCATATTGATAATTTATTCTAAAATAATATAATCAATTAAACAAAAAATTAAAACTCCTTCAATTATTAATTTCCCATATACACATACTATTCTTATCTTATTTGAAACTTAGTTTGAAGCAATATTATTATATTATCAATTCCTAATCAATTATAATAACTTTCTGAGTATATCTTAAAATGACTAAATCAAAAATTAATTAAGAACAAATTTTTATAATTTAGACTATAAGAGACTCTCATAGTATGTTTTAATCACTCTCTTTTTACAATAAGCAGCCTAAGGCTAAAAATTATTATCTTTATTTATTATAATTTTGAATTTCAAAATAAAAAATTTATAAACTATAGGAATCCTCAATTTATATCATAATAGTTAATATAGATTTATATACTTTTCAAAAGTGTATTCTAATAAAGTTTAACAGTAATCATTTGTTAAAAATTGATTTACATTATAATTAATTCACCTTTTTAGATAAGTTTCGATATTCTTCTAACATTTTTACTAACATACATTTGTATTTTTCTTCAATATATTAAGAATCATCATAGTTTTCTTATTAAATTTCTTATTCAATTGTTTCAAGGTTAGTAAGACGGATATGAATTAATGACTCTAGATTATCTAATTGAAATTCAGCTTTTTCTGTTGGAGTCATGATATTTTTACTCTTTTTGATTTTTTTGCTAGATGATAATGGCATATATGCAAAAGAATAAAGATTTATAAAATAATTATAATATACAAACATTATTAAAATGTGAAATTTTTAAAGAGACTTTTATGATGTCATTTAAAAAAGTATTTATGTTTATCTAAAAGTAGAGTTCTAAGATTAAAAAATCATAAGTTCCTAAAGTGAGATTAAATAGAAAATGATTACATTAAAAAATGAATCTAAAAATCCTAATAAGATAAGCTTTAAAGATAACTTAATAGTTCTTTGATGGTTAAGAGATTTGTTAATGTTTAATAGAGTTTGATGTAAGTATATATAAAAACTGTAATATTTAAAAGAAATATTATTTATATTAATATCTAATAAATTAGGAAATGAAAAAATTCTTATTATTGATAACATCAGTTATTGGTAGTTATTGCTTAAATCCAAATGACTATATTACAATTCCTTTCCTGAAATTCCCAGATTCATTGAGTTATAATGTTTTAGAGATAAATTCAATTTTTGAATATTTGATAGCATGTTTATACATAGGGTAAATTGATAACCTGATATAGATTATTCTACTATTCTATGTACTTTTGTATAAGTGAAATTTTAATTTGGAGTCATCCTGCTCCAAAGACTCCAGAGAGAGTAGCTCAAACAAAGGAAGAAATGAGGAGAGGGATAAAAGCTCTTTTTTATGTAATTTTATTAACAACAGCAATTATATGGAAAGTATAACCTTTGAATCCATATTATGGTTATTATGAGACACATGAATTTGGATTAAAAGAATTCTTTATTTCTTTAATCATGTAATACAATATTATTATGTATTAAGATATATGGTGACTTTTGATGTATGGTTTTACACTTCTCATATTATTGGACATACTCCTTTTTTTTGGAAACATTTTCATGGAGAACATCATGAATTTGTAGAATGTGGAGCATATGCTTAAGATGCAGTACATCCAGTTGAGGCATTAATTTAAGGTCCAATTGGACATTTCTTGCCTACATTTATTTATCCATTTCATCCAGTATGTCATCATATTTTTGGATTACTTACATCAATATATGCTTAATTTGCACATGATGGAAGATGGGATCCTGCAGGACACACTTTACATCATTATTATTATTCTTGTAATTTTAGTATTTGGGGATTATGTGATTTTATATTTGGAACAGGTTACAATTAATAAAAGTATCCTATACCTTATATTCCAACTTGGCTTAGAAGCAAAATTAATAATAAGAATTAGGATAAAAAAATTATGTGATAGATATTATATAATTGATTATGATGATCACAATCTGGCTTTATTATTTGGGAATCCTAATCCTTAAGCGATTCTTTCTCCATATTCTGGATCACATTTAGTAAACACTTTAACTTGTCTCTCTTAGATTACTCTGTTAGCATTCTATTAATATAACTTTTAATATTTAATACCTTCAAATGTCCTACAATATTAGTTATTAACCATTATCTTTCAAAATCATTCATTACTTTTCTAAATAGAACTCCTGGTTGAGCAAAATCATCATTTGGATGAGATGGTTTATATCTACCAATCAAGCCTGTTACTCTATATTAACTAGTTTTAGATTCTGGTATCATTTTCAATGGTTAAAATGAATTAGGTTCATAATTTGGTCTATTTCCTTAATTATTATATGATTAAGGTCCATCTCTTTATTGATTGATAACTCTTGCTCTGTATGGACAATTAACAGGAAGTTGTGTATAATTGGTTCCTAATCTATGTCTATGAGTATCTGGATATGAAAATAATCTTCCTTATAACATTTTATCTAATGATGGTTCAATTCCTGGTACTAAATGTCCTGGGCTAAAAGCTGATTATTCAACTTCTTAGAAATAATTTTCAGGATTTCTATTCAAAACCATTTTACCAAAATTAAGACATGGATAATCACTATGTGGCCAAACCTTTGTAACATCAAAAATATTCCATTTATATTTAAATCCATCTTATTCTGGCATTATTTAAACTTAAACAGTCCAAGTGGCTGTTTTTCCAGTTGAAAGATGTTCAAACAAATCTTATGTAGCATAATCTGGATTAGTTTTTTTTAGTTCATCAGCTTCAGCACCTGTTAATGATTTATTACCAGAATCAGTTTTGAAGTGTAATTTAATCCAAAATGCTTCTCCTTCTTTATTAACCCATCTAAAAGTATGTGATGTGTATCCATTCATATGTCTAAATCCATCTGGTGTTCCTCTATTTGAAAAGAGTACAGTAACTTAGTGAGCACTTTCAGGTACCAAACTCAAGAAATCCCAAAACATATTAGCATCCTTTAAGTTAGTTTAAGGATTTCTTTTTTATGTATGAATAAAATCTGGGAATTTAATTGGATCTCTAATAAAGAATACAGGAGTGTTATTTCCAGTCATATCATAATTTCCTTCCTCAGTGTAAAACTTAACAGCAAATCCTCTTGGATCTCTTTCAGAATCTGCTGATCCCTTTTCTCCACCAACAGTTGAAAATCTTGTGAATATTGGTGTTCTTTTGCCTACAGAATCCAAAAACTTAGCTTTTGTATACTTTGTAACATCTGCTGTCACTTCAAAGTATCCATAAGCACCTATATATATATCTATTATATTATTTACCTGCTCCTTTTGCATGTACAACTCTTTCTGGAATTCTCTCTCTATCGAAATGAGCTAATTTATCTATTAAATGTGTATCCTATAATAGAATGGGTCCGTATTCTCCTGCTGTTAAAGAGTTTTAGTTGTCATCTACTGGACAACCTGTAGATTGAGTCAACACATTATCTGAATTGTCTGACATATTATTTATTAAATATACGTAATAATCAATTCATACTCAAAAATCTTTATTTCTTTAATGATTCTAATTTTTCATATTGTTACTCAAATTATTTATTAAAACTATCCACTATTTACTCTTCAAATATTGAATGATCTATTTCCAATAACATAATCTCAATTAAATAACATAACTATTTTAATATGTTATCTCATTATTTTACTTAAACAAATCACCAATAGTTTATAATTTATTACTAATTCTTTGCATCCGTTCTAACTAAACCTCTCCTTCAAACACTTTTGAGTTTTATGTTTAAATTTCTCTTTCGCATTTTTTAAATGGCTTAAAACCTTATAATTTGTTAAACTATAATCACATCAATAATTTCTTTGTATTTTTTTTTTCTAATTTGAGATAGCCATCTAAAAATAATCACTTTTATTATTATAGTTTTCTCCTCACAACTTACTTCCTATTTGTGCACCAAAAATTAAATTTCAAATCTCTTCCTTTAAACTTTTAGACATATTAATCTATCCTTCCATTTAGAATTCCTGTTAGAATGCAAGATTAAATAATTCTTTTTCTCTAAATTCATTATTTCCTCAAATTTATACACTAAAATTTTTGTAAAAAGTTTTATAATGGATAAAGTATTTCAAAGAATTATTTTAATTTTTAATTTCATCAACAGAATTCTTAAAAATATAACTATCTATTCTATTCTTATTAATTAATAGTAGATTTTCTTTAAATTTCTAAACTTTAAATTGTTATTATCACAATCTATCAGCAATTCATAATTAAGTATCTAATTAATTAATTGATTTAATTAAGTCTTTAATTTGCAATTTTTTTAATCAGCCAATAATTATTAGTTTCTTGCATTTTATTATTTATATTATCGAAATCAATAATTCATCAGTTTTAATCCTTACAATTTAATTAAACCGAAATTCACAAGCATGCAAAAAAAATTCAGTTATTAATATTCTAAAACCTTTTGAATTTAATTAATTAGAATTTTTATCATTAATATTATTCTATTAAAAAATGAGTTGGTAGGAGAAGTATATAAAAATATAAGAAGAAATAGAAATAGGTTAAATAGGTGAGATGGAAATACATAAAAACAAAAAAACTGGAGAAATTTATAACATGAAAATAATTAATTGTTAGCTTGAAAAATAAAAATAGACTAAAAATATTTTAGATTAAGTAAAACGGATTAGACATCCGAATATAGTTGTAATTGAAGATATTTTTGAAGATGATAAAGGCTCTTTCTACATATATATGAAAAAAGCAGATACAAATTTATAGTAAATATTTGGAGAAATTTAATAAGACTAGGCTGCCTTATGTGATTTCATAAAATAATTAGTTCCTTAAATTATAGATGGCTATTGTAGATTAATGGAAGAAAACATAATTCATCGAAATCTTAAACCATAAAATATCCTATGTAAAATTAAGGATAAAAACAAATATATATTTTAAGTATTATATGGAAATATTTACAGATTTGTAGCTTTGATCATTCAAAAATTATAAATATGAGCAAGGACTATGATATGACTTAATTTTAGGAATTGTTTTACTATTCAGCTCCTGATTTATAAAAAGATGACTATATAAATAAATGTGATGTTTATTCTGTAAATTAAAATATGATTTCTAGTTTGGGCTCATCTTAGCTGAATTGATATTTGGTAGGCAATTTACAGATCATGAAAAATAATAACTCCCAATGAATTAATTAATAAATAATTTTCCTCAATAGATAATTGATTTAGTTTAGTAAATGTTAGTCCTTGATCATAAAAATAGAGTATCATGGACAGAACTTAAATTAAAGTATTTCTACCCTAAATATGATTGGAATAAAACATGTGTTTTGCAAAAAGTTGAAGATATCAATAGCAATAAAGTATGTATTAAATAAATTTCTAAAATGAAAAATGGTAGCTGCAACAATGAATTAAATGAGATTTTAATAAATCTTAAAATTAAAAATTGTGAAGAAAAAAATGATAACATAATTAAAATTTTAGAAGTTTTAAATGAAAAAGATTATGAATATGCCTATATAATTATGGAATAATGTGATGGAGATCTAGGGCAACTCAAAAAAACTTAAGGAATATTCAATAAAAAATAAATTCTTAACCTAATAAAATAAGTAAATAACGGATATAAATTTTTAATAAATAATCGAATAGTTCATCGTGATATTAAGCCTGAGAACATATTATACTTAAAAATTAATCATAAATATTGCTACAAAGTTATTTTATGGATATAATTAATAGATTATTGATTTCTAATATAGTTTTGATTAAATGAAAAATAACTATTCAGCAAGCTCTAAAACTGGAACTTCGAAGTACTAAGCGCCTGAAGTAAATGGAAAAGATAATTATGATTTTTAATGTGATATCTATTCAGTAAGCTATATTATATTTTTAGCTAGGATTAGTAATATTAGAAATGGCTACAAATATTACTAATTTAGAAGAAAAAGATATTGAATATATTCATGACAAATTAAAAGAGGACTGTTGTATTATTGATATTTTTAATTAATATCCTTTTAAATCGTATAATATAGAAATAGATTACTTAATATAAGATTTATTGAAGTAAATGATTAAATACGATCCAAAAACGAGAATTAATTGGGAAGTGTTATATTAAGAAATTAGGAAATTTAAAAAACAATTGAAATATCAATAATAAGAAACATAAAATAATAATCGCAAAGGATAAATTAAATAATTTGAATAACTAAACCAAAACACAAATTCATCAAATTAACCTACATATTATGGATGGTAACAGAAAAATTAAATATTTGCAAACAATCAACAATCAGTTTCAAATAATGAAATAATATAGAATCCTTAATCTTAGTTATAATAGAAATAATAGTTTAATTTTTAAAATTAATTCAAAAATGAAACATCTGGAAATCAAAATTCAGTTGATTAAATTCCATTTAATGTTTAAATTAAAAATTAAATATTTCCAAATAATCAACAATCAGTTTCAAATAATTAAATTATATAGAATCCTTAATCTTAGTTTTAATAGAAATAGTAGTTCAATTTTTAAAATTAATTCAAAAATGAAACATCTGGAAATCAAAATTCAGTTAACTAAATCCCATTTAATGTTTAAAATAAAAATTAAATATTTCCTTATAATCAACAATCAGTTTCAAGTAATTAATTTATATAAAGTCCCTAATAATAACAATTATATCATAGTTTTTTTATTCCAAATTCAAATACTTAAACAAATTTATAAAATGATCAAATAGATAATGTTACACAATTTATTGAATAATTTCCTAATCCAAACCATCAAAAATATCATTGAATTTATCTTTATTTACAAATGTTAAAATATGAAATAAATTTTATTTATTCTATTTATTAATTTAATTAGTTTGCTTTCATTTAAGTATATTAAAGATAATTTCATAATATTAAATAAATGATATTCGTTTAAATTATTTCACCTAAATTAAAAATGCAAAACATAAAGCAAATTTGAGATGGCTATAATTAATCAATTATTATAATTGAAATTGTTTTATTGATTATTATAAAAGTCAAAGAATTATGAAAAAGATTCGCAGCATAATTAAAGTATAAGAATTAAATATATTAGATGTAAAACTGATTCTCGTTTATTCGATAATTATCTAGTTTATGCTTATCAAATACCAAAATATAAAATTTTAGAATACAAGCTTAAAAACAATAAATTTAAGTTCAACAATTAATTTAAAATCTTTAAAAAAATAAAAATCAAAAGTTTCCAAAGAAGCAGAAAGACAAGTAAAGCCATCAATCAATTCTCTTAGCCGATGATTTAAAAACATTGATTTAGCATTTTAAATAAAGATAAAAATAATTTATTCAAAGAGAAAGGGAACTTAATTAAGAAATTTTAAAACTTAAAACTAGAATAGAAATATAAAATAGGCTATTAATTAATTACTACATTTCTCAAACATTATTTTTGAACACTACTTTGATTAAACTATATAATATAATCTTATCTTTTTGATGAAAATAGTTAGATAAAATGCCATCTTATATTTAATTGTTTTACATATCATTCTAAATTCGATTTATAATTAAAAAGCAAAAAATTTTAACCTGATGTAATTTTGGATAATAAAAAAAGAATATAAGGGAAAAATACATGTTTTTTGTATCATTAGAATAACATTAATTTTTTTGTAATTATAAATATTTGAAATTTAACATGCATATTGAAAATCCATTTTACTCTTCAATTTAGACTCCCTATACCCAAACTAATATGGCACCCATGGCTAATATGTAAAGAAAAGAAATTGGTGATTAAGCGATTTGGACATTATCATCTGCAAAAACAGGAAATGGAGTAGATCAATTAAGAGACGATAATTTGAATACGTTTTGGTAATCAGATGGAACATAACCACATTACATAACAATATAATTTTTAAAGAAAATGAGAGTTCAAGAAGTGGCATTATATTTAGATTTCAAATAAGACGAAAGTTATACTCCTAACAAACTTTCGATAAGAACAGGAACAAATATTCAAGATATGAAAGTACATTTAATAATTAAAAATTAGGAAGTTTAATTTATTGAATTGAAAGAGCCATATGGATGGTATGTATTTGCACTTAAGACTAAATTGTTAAATTCTTAAGAAAAGTAAAAGCATTTATTAAATTAGACCTTATGTTTCTACAATTAATATCTAAATAGTAGTTTTATAAAATTAACATAGTGGAAAAGACACTCATATTAGATAAGTGAAAATATTTGGACCAAGAGAGTATTGAAAATAAATTATTTTAGGAAACAAAATCAAGGTTTGAGTTTTCCTGATTTTAAAACACCTGAAATTACTTAATATGCTTCAATACGTTGATTCTTATAATTATATAATTATGCTTTTTGTTGTTAAAAGAGATCCTATATTTAAAAGGAAGAAGGCAGTTTCAGAACGCATATCACCTGAATAAAAAAGTATTTCTCTTTTGTAAAATGATAGAATTAATGGATGATTATGAAATTTTCTCATATCTAAAAAATGAAAGAAATAATCATCCAGCTTCATTTCATGTAACATCACTTAATTAAGTTCCTTTTACTTAAAGATCTTAAAAGGTTGTAACATAAACAATCAAGGAAGATAAATAAAAGTCAAAGAGTAATGATAACAAGTAATAAATAAAAAAGAAAAAAAAGAGCTATTTTTAACTAAAATTGGAAAGATATTAAAAAGAAGTATAAGAATAGCAATCAAAAAGAAAATAAGAATTATTGATTAAATCTAAAAATCTATTAAAGAAAGATTTAGAAGATATATAGAAGATGACTAATAAAGGAGTTAGAGAATTTGAGGAAAGATGTAATTTGTATAGCAAATATTACTCAGAAGAGTTGATGACTCCAAATGGAATGTAAATATAATTAATTATTTATTTAGAAGATAAGAAGACTTGAATCTTCCTATCTATAAGTATTCAACAATTGAGAACTAGAACAAATATAAGGTTCTCTTGAAAAATTAACCAATTCCTGAACCAAGATTTACATCAGAATAAGAGTTTGAGTAATATTAATCTAATCCTGATAGAATTAAATTGATAAGCTCATAACTGCAAAAACTAAATATCAAAGTAAAATAATTATATAAATAATATTAAAAGTTAATTAAAAGACCGAATGATTTAGAAAATCAACTTTTTGATGCAATACTTAAAAATGATAGTTTTACAGTAAATAAGCTGTTGATGGAGAATAAAACTTTAATAAACATAAGAAATAGAGTATTAATAAATATAAAAAAATTAGGTTCAAGAAACACCATTACATTTAGCATGTAAACGAAATTTAAAAGAGATTGTTGAATTATTATTGAGACATTAAGCAGATGAATCATTAAAAGATATATGGGGATAGACTCCAAGATAGTTGACTTTAAAGTTTAGACATTTAGAAATTTTGAAAATTTTATCTTATAAATGAATACTGAAAATACTATTAATTAATAATATTAATATAAAATGAATCAATCTTGGAATTTATGGTATGAAGTAGATTATTATAGAACCAGAATTATAAAATTTAATTCAAATTTATGTAGCCCAAACTTTGATAATTATTATTTGGATGAATTATAAACAAGGAGAAAAAAGTAATTAATTGAAAAATAATAAGGTTTGATAGCATAGTCTACAGATTCAGTGAATAATGTAAAATAAACAGATTAGGATGATGATGACATATCAAGTGTAGTAGATTAAAAAGTAAATAAAAATAAGTAGATTGATCATTGAGGATTTGTTTTCAATTATTAGGGAGTATTGGTAATTAAGAAGAAAGTTAACTGTTAATGATTAGAAATAATCTTCAGATTTTAAGTTAATGAGTAAAAATACATAAGGAATTTTGATGGAGGGTGAAACATATTAATTCTAATAATTTAATAAATTTGAGAAGTAATCAGGTAAAATTGGATAAAGATAGGTGTATAAATAGAATCTATATATTATTTACATGTTATAATGTAAAAAAATTATTGATAAGTAAAGAAGGATTTAGAATTTGCAGAGTAATTAGCAAAATAAGAATAGGAAGAGGAAGAGTAAGGAAAAGTTTCATTAATATTGGAGGTAGATATTGAGGATTAATTACACATTGATTTTGAATATTGAAACTTAAGTTATCATTTAAGGAAAGAAGAAGGATTAACTTTTATTTAGTTAATATAAAAATAAAGTATACTGAGTTAGTAGTGATTAGTAAAGAATAGATGGGTATAGAAAATAGTTAATAAATTGATAACGAAACATTAATAAAATGAATGGGGTTGTTAGATAGGGGAAGTAATACTAATTTGTTTATTATTAAGTGATATTGATTTGTTATCTACTTAAAAAAATTTGAGTGCAAAGTTTAATGTGAAATATATTGTTAATTTGATATTGATATATGAGGATGATAAAACCTATTTTAAATAATAGGAGATAATAATATATAGATAGAGATGATAAAATATATGTATATTATATTATATTGATATAAAAACGGATTATATTATTAATAATAATGAAAACATTTGTCTTGATTGTTCTCTTAGGATTGGCATTTGGAGTACAAGTGAATGAATAAGCAACAATATTATAAAATGCTTTAACCAATAAATTAAAAGCTACAAGTATGGGTAGAGCAGTATTAACTATGGTGGAATTAGGCGAGCCTAATTTCAATCCTTTATTTGATGCATTAGAAGCATGGGCTTCACTTATTGAAGTAATATATAGATTTTAATTTTAGTAAAGCATAGCTGATGAAAATTCATCTTATGGAGCATTTGTTTAATAATCAGAAACAGAAGAAACTAATTATAAAGCTCTTATAGCATAATATGAAAGTGAATTAGCTGAATACAATATTTAAATCAGAGAAATCTTAAAATCAAGAATAAGTTTAGAAGAAGACCTTGAAAGGACAAGAAATGAATTAGGTGCAACTAAATAATAAAAAGCTAATATCGAAAATTAATAAAGATAAGATTCAGCTGATTTTAAAACAAGAACCAGTTAATTAAGTGCTGCTATTGTTGTGATAGATGAAGCCTTAAAAGTATTAGATAAAGCAAAATGTATATTATTTTTTTATCATAGACTCATCTTTTGTTGAAGAAGATGCTTAATAATTATCTTCTTTAGTTTCTGGAACACCAGAATTACATTCTTTATTACTTTAATTAAATACTGAAGATTATAAGAGTGCATAAAATTTATAAAAGTATCAATTCATTCTCATTATCTTTTAGAGTTATCAATTTATTATAAAACATCAGAGATTAATTCAACTAAAACATCTAGACTTTATAAGCAGGCTTTACAGCAGCTTAATAATAAGCTTAAGATCTTTTTGAATTATTGAATGCTAAAATTGATTCATTGGTTAAAGATGTTATTCCATAATTATAATAAGATATCTAAGGAAAAGATAGTAAGAATATCTCTATTTCCAAGGTGAAATTGACTCAAGAAGATCATTGGCAAATGAATCTTAAGCTAATCTTGATGCAACAAGGGAAAGTTTGAGATAATCAATTTAAGAGAAAGGATTAGCTACAAATAGTCACAACATTTTAATTTCTGAATATCATAGCAATTTAGATACTGTAGCTGAATGCATTAATGCTTTACATGGAAGTGGAATTAAAAGATAATGAAATAGATACATAATAATAAATAATTTTACTCAGTAATGATCAATTTATTATGATCTCGCTAAATGATCGAAATCTATGTTTACATTGTGGTTCATCTTATATTACTCTATTCACTCTTTCGTAAATTGTTGAATATATCTATTAAGCCGTTTATAATAGATATTTAACAGATTCATCCTTATTATTAGGCATGTAGTAATAGACACTTGAAACCAATTATTGTTATTATATTTAAGGCTCATTGTTGTTCTATCTTTAAATTGGACTCTCCATTTCATCAATATCAAATTATTTAGACTAAGATTGTTCATCTTCAATTTAATTTGCAGATGTCTATCTCTAATGACTGCTACTCAAAGATGTTGTTGGCAATAAGTCTTTATGATTTAAGTAAAACTGATGTAAAAATTTGTAATTTGCATTCATCTTTTTTGCTCTCTCCTAATATCGAAGATTTGAATTTGTAAGTAATTTTATTCTATGCTTAAATTATTTATACAAATTACTTCCATATCATCGCAATATCTCTATAACTCATCATTATGAGCTTAAAGTGTTTTATTCAAAATCATTTCTCTTTAATGATTCTTTCTAAGTTCATCTAATGCTTTCTCTAATTTTTAAATTCTCTCCATGCTTTATATATCATTCAATGGTTTTTAAGTTTATTACATCTATCTCTTTGCATTTATCTCTTGTATTTATTTTGCTCTTGTTAAATCAAGTTTAGGTATAACTGTTCCCTTTGTTGAATTCATTTAAAATTATTAAATCTTTGGTGAATAATTTGAATCTAAAGGAGCTTCTGATGATTTAGAAGAAGGAGACTCAGATGAAGAAGAATTATTTATTAATTTAAGTGCTCTTGCTTAAAAATCAACTAATTATTCTGGATCCTAATTCATGAAGATCAGTTTATTACCAGCATGAGCTACACTTTTTTATTACAATAATTCATTCATTAATCGCTAATAAAATAAAATTCTTAAATTACTAAATTTAATCCTTATATATTTTATTTCTCTTTCATTAATTTTTATTTCTGTTTCTATTCAATTAATAATTATTCATTCAACATTTGAATTTCATTATGCATTTTTAATCCTATGAGATCAGGATCACAAACTTCTTTAAATTTTATCACTACTCCAGCCACTTCATCATATTCTGGTTTCAATTCTTCCATCTTTGCTAATTTACTTTCAGCAGACATTAAACTTTCTTATAATCCTTGCATTTTTTATTGTAATGATGCTACTAAATCTTTCTCTTATCTTTAAACTTCTTCTGTAATTTATTGATTTATCAACTAATCACATTATGCTTCATTTCGCTCTTTAACTAATTTCTCTATTTTTATTTGTAGTGTTTCATTTTCCTCTTATAAGTTCTTCAAAACTGTTAATAACCCCTTATGCTATTCATCACTTGTTTAAGGCATCAAGACCTTTAAAGCTTATTTATTCAATTAAAGTAATCCTTAGAGCTCGCGAACCTGCTCTTATAATTACTAATTCTCTTGCTTGAGATAATCGAGAATCTCTAAACTCATTATAAATTTAATTTGTTCAAATTTTATTCTTTATTTGCATAAATTCAAAAGACGATTTATATATACATATACATATCAGTATTACCAAAATCAATTAAAACAATTTCAATGTTATTATAATACCATCTTTAAGTGATACCAAAAATATTTTAAAAGGACTTTAAATTTATCCAAAAACATATACAATCATATATTATCTTTATAATTACTTAAAAATTTTCCACATTTTTTAATTTATGTACTTTATTTATTATGAATCTTTTATTCAAAAAATACCTTATAAAATATGTTAAAAGTTTACTTTAATTAATTTAATTTGTGTATAATTAGTTATGTTAAAACTAATATTCAATTTCTCAAGAGCCATTTAAAAATCTTAAAACATTCTGAATTAAATGAAAAAGAATCGTTATTACATTGATGATCCTCATATTAGTTAAAGAAAAGAAGCATAATAAATTGTCGAATAATTATATTTTAATTAAAAAAATAATTTGCAATAAGTGCTTGAGAAAGAAGAAGAGAATAAATTAGAAAATATAATTTAGTAGGCTGATTAAGAAATTAATTTTAGGAAATTTTAGACAGCATAAGAATTATTAGATTTATATGAAGCTAAACCTTTAAAATCTAAAGAATAATACTTAAATTGGTTTAACTAATTGTCTTATTGTTTAAAGTTTTAAGAATAAATTTAAGAAAACAAAATGAACTATTACAAGAAAATAGCAGGTTAATACAAAGCCTAATATAATAAGGAATATGAGATGCCTAATCTAATTTTTTTGAATCCGATCTAAATTTTAGAGAAACCAGTGTTCAATTAAATAATAGAAGACTTTGTATCGAATTGTGAAGTGATAGAGTGGTTATTTGTAAGAAAATAAATAAAGAAAGCTTTCTAAACTTAACTTTATTCATTAGACTATTATGCTATTTAGAGATTATGGGAAGATAATGAATATCCAATCCAAACTATTTAATATATTTCTTCAATCATTAAAGATATATGTATTTTTTTAGATTTTATTTTAGCTGATGGAAAGTTTGAGAAAGATTAAGAACCATAATTTTTAGAATTATTTGACGGTAAGTTTCAATAAGGATAATCCTTGTAAAAAATATTGGAATAGTTTCTAATTGAAAAATTGAATTAAATTAATTTTATTGAATTAAATAACTAAGATTTTGCAGACTTTCTATTTATTTACTATTAATAGTAGAAATTGCCAATTTTACCTACATTTTTGAAAGAATTAGTTGATGATGTAAAAAAAAGAGTTAGTACTTTGACTTTGTTAGAAAATGTTAAAATTTGTCAAGCAATGTTAGTAATAGAAATTGGTGATAATTAATCTTATTGTTATCTCTTGTGGAACATTATAAGATTATAAAATAAAATCAATTCTGATAAATAAATAATAAATGGTATTATTTTCATATTATTGCATTTCAAATAAAATATCTTGTTTATAAAAGCGAGTAGAAATTATCCAAAACCAATTATTGTAAAAGATGCTATGGTGTTTTCAGAAATATTTAATTTTATAACAGAAGATGTGAGTATTTTTGATTTTGTTCAATTAAGTTAATTGTTAACTATTTCAAATAAAAACTTCGCTGATTCATCTAAATTAAATGCAATAATAATTTCTATATTTTAAAAACCAGAAATAAATCAAAATGTTTTAATTGATAAAAAAATTGATTTATATTACATAGCAACCTAACTTGGAGGAGCAACACTTGATATAACTTAAATCTTAAAAAATAAAGTATAATACTTATAATCTCACTCTATAACAGGTTACTTTGAAAAGAATAACTAAACAGAATAAAATTAAATTACAGGATTCTATCCTTATTATTCAATTTAATTAGAATGTTTGATTAAAATAATTTGGACTAGCATCTTGTAAAATAGTAAATGTTTTGAAGATATAAATTATTTAATATTTAAGGTGAATGAGTTGACAAGATTGTAAACAGTAATAAGGATTGACAGAGTTATGTAAAAGCTGATTTCTTAAATAAATCAATATATTTCTCTAGTGGGAAAAACTATATTTCCAAATAAAATTGATATTCAATAGATCTTAGAAAATAAAAATATTTTTAGAAAGTAAGACTCATTTGTACATCCTCAAATGTTACATACTAAGTTATTTGTAAAAGAGAAATAGTATTTTACTAAGAAATATGAGAAAGATTTAGAAAGGGATGTTTTTTATGAAGATGTACTCTTCGATTATGTGTATACAAATAAGAAAACAGGAAATAAAGCTTTGATTCTTTTAAATGGAGTATATTTATTATAATATTATATAGTAAAACAATTACTAAATTTCTTCAGTTGGGGAAATGATTCCAAAAACAATGATAAAATTTTAAAATGATCTTTTTGAAAATTTTGAGATTCCAGTAATTTAGATAAATCTTCCAGATATTGTTAAATGTTAATCTAAGTATAATTAACTTTATTTATAATTTAGATCATATTATGAAGAATAATTAAAGGATATTTTGGAAGATGGATCATAAGATTATGAAGAAATTGCAGAGATAGTTTAAGATTTAAGAAACTAAATAAGTAAAGATTTTAGTTATTTATCAATTCATTAATAAAAGGATAAGGAAGAAATAAAAGAAAAGGAAGAATTAGAAGTGTAAGTAGATGATAAATATGCACTTTCAGATGAGGAGAAATGATAATGATATTATGTAATTTATGTTTTGTATTCCGGGTTGATATGATGTGATAAATAAATAATTTTATTTATGATAAGTGCTTATCGATTTAATTATGAACATTTGCCAAAAGAAGTAAAGCTTAATACTTTTGATGCTGAAAGAGGTCTTATTTATAATGAAATCATTCGACTTTTGAAAGACTTTGAAATGAGGTAGTAAAAATACATAATGTTAGTTCTTCAAAACATTGGTTTCCAATTATGAATTTGCTTTAAAGATTCAAATAAATTTACTCCTTTTTGAACGAAGAAAGACAGGAGCTTGCAGAATTGATTCTTTCAAAGTTGGGAGGATTAAAATCATGCGTAGGACTTCAAAATGGATTTAGCCTTGTTTGCACCATTATTTAAAATAAGCAAAAATATCTGTCTTTAAAAGTTGATTGGAGATATTGGCATTAATATTTATAGGATAAGTTTATGACTAATAAAGATAAGACTATAACAAGTTAAACATTCAGTACTCAATTATTTATGTAATTTTGTTAATTTCTCAAAACTGTAAAATATTACTTTGATGCTGATGTTGTTTAATTTGCATTTTTAAAGTTTCGAGAATATTTAGGTTATCAAGATAAATAAGTAGCATGGGCATATTTAATGCTGTTTGTACCTTTTAGAAATGAAATTCCATAAGATGTCTATAAAGATCTTATAAAATACTTGATGGATCCTTTATTAATTTTTGGAGAAAAAGATAATTGTAGATTAAAATTTATTTTGAATTATTTAAGAGTTTATCCTTAATAGATGAATCTAATGCCGTAAATGATGAGATTTTTTCATGGTTATTGGCGTAATGATTTAGGTTAGGATGATAAAAGTAAATGTATATTGTATTTTAAGATGAAAAATTGGTTGCCATGTTGTTACCAGATGATACTTTAGGAGTTCCAAGTTTATTCAAAATTATGCCATAATTATTAGTTGAATTAATAGGAAATTCAAAAAGAGATGGTTATTAAGAATATATGTTAACAATAAAGAGATTGTTTTCTTTGGTTGACTCAATTACATCTGTTTATTCTTAATAAACTATGGATGATTAAATATTCAAATTACTAAAATTAATGGTTGGCAATTTCATCTAAAAATATAGAAGAGATTAACTATTGTTAAGAATTTATGAAATGTAATAAAACAAAAATTATGATGAAACTGTTTCAGAATCATTGATGCAAGAGTTGATTGATCAATTTAATGATGTTCATATTTAGGATTTCATTGAAAGTGATAAATATATTCTTGAATTACTTTTTATTAATCCAGATTAAGGATATTCAAGCTTTTAGATAAATTATCCAAATAAAAGAAATTAATAAAAAATCCACACAACTAAAATTAACATTGATAAATTACTACCATTTTTGTTGGACGAATAAGCTAAATAAGATTTTTTAGAAATTGTAATGGATGTATTAGATAAAGTTATATACATGGAGGATTAAGGATACTCAACAGCTAAAACAGTATTATATTTATCTTGTTTTGAACCAAAATTAATTGATTTTTTTCTTAACAAAATGAAATAAGCTATCAATGATGTAACAGCACTCTAATTTGTTACAATTAAAAGTATTCTAATTTTTATGGCTATTCCGATATTATAAGGGAAATGGTATATATTATAAAAATTATAAATTTTAGTCCTTATTCAGTTCATCAAATGTAGGAATTCATGGATTTGACTTACAAATTATTTGAGGTTTAAGGAGTAAGTGAGAATATTGATTCATTAGAATTTTACTGTAAAATATTCATGAATGTTCCAATCTACACTCCAGAGGAATACATGGAATTGTATGGGGAAGAAAATGAACTATGTAGATACTTAAGTGATTTTGTTTCAGAAGTATTTAATTTGGTTATTAAAAATTTTAATTTGGTTAAGTACAAGGATGTAGATTATGGATTTGTATTACCAAATCTAATAAATATTTTTTGGCCTTATATAGCAAACTCTTCACCAAAGATGTTAGATTGTATAGTTGATAAAATCAAACAGCATTTAGAAAATTTAGAGACATAAGATTTAAGTGCATTGGGAGATTTAATTGATTGCATTTTATATAGAGATCCTAGATTATTGGAATATATAATTGATCTTTGTATGGAAAAGTTACTAAAATAAAGATAATGTCCATTAGGAAAACACTATTTGAGTTTTATTGTTTAATTATCAAAGCACTCAGATTATATTTTATAATTTGAGCCTACTGCAGGTAATAAATTATCGAAATTGTTATGGTTGACACTTTTGGAGAAATCACTTACTTATGCAGGTAAAGCTACTCAATAACATGATATGAAAATATAAGCTATTGTGATAAATTACTTAATGGATGAAGAAGATGAAGTATTTACAAAAGTTAGTGATATAATTCATTCAGTTATAATAACAAATCAAATTATTAAAACTAATAATTTATCATGGTAAAATAAAAGTTCTTAATTTTTTAAAAAAGACTTTGATAAAAAAGTGTTATATTAACCTTAAGATTTGATTGTTGAATGGATTTTACCAACTCGATAAGATTGGGAATATATTTTTGATTGGAATAGAATGTTTATGTTTGGTGTTATTGAGGAATTTGAGAGAACTTATATGAAAGAATTCGAATTTTACGAGATGCCAAGAGACTTCCCAAAATTAATAGATTTAATGATTTTTAGAAATCCTCCAATGGATCCAAATCTTAAGTAAATTTGTTATAGAATATGGTTCCTTGTTTTTGGATGTTTTACTGGTTCATCTCTATTTACTCCATTTTAACCATAAGATAAAATAGAGGGTAGTAAAGGACATATTAAATTATAACAGATTCAATAAGATTATTTAAAGAGGGTTTGTCCACCGGAATATTGGGATTTAAGATAAAGATTAGGAACCTTTGCTATAAATTCTATCTGTTATGCTATAAATACAGGAGTAGCTCATGATAAAGATATAAATGATCTTTTAGTTACTATAGCTTCAGAATGCATTAGTTCATAAACTTTGAATTAAGAATTATAATTGGGCAGAGAGTTTATGGAGGGTTGTAGATAATTAATGCAAGCTTCATAATGTAAATTATATTTTGAAAGTCGAATTTAATGTGTGATTGATATAAATACCTATTTATATTAAAGACATGTATTTATGTTGCATTTGTAAGGTATTCCTATAGAATACAATCAAATTTACAATTATATTATTGTGCTTTATTTGCTTGGACACTCTGAATTTAGTAGTCCATAATATTTATTGCCATATTCAGAATTGACTACATATACCTTAACCACAGGTGTTAGAAATAACTTTTTCGAATATTTACTTGGTATTCTAAATTACAATGATAAAGATAGTAAGTTAAGCAAAATCAATTAACTTAGTGAAAGGAGTAAAGAATATAAATAACTAATTGATTTACTGCAAGGATTTAATTCAGCAGTACAACACATATCTTCAGATATCGAAATGAGTATGTCCATTTAAAAATAACTTAATTAGTTTATTAGTGTAATGGAATATGTTGACAATCAAAAATGTAAATATTTAATTATGGAATCCTGCGTACATCATTTGGCAATTCAATATGATGAAAGTTGTGTGGTTTTACATTAGGATTACAATGATAGACTTGAAATGATCAATAATAGTATCAAAGCTTTGTAAAGTCAATATTTTTGGAAATGTAAGATTATCCATAGTTTGTCTTTACTTAATAATATTAATATTATAAGATAAGTGCCTGATAATTGTATCAATGCTTATCGAGATTTATGTATTAATGATCATGTCACACTTAATTAATTAGGAAGAGCAGGATTATTCTACTTTCTTAGATTAGCTAAATAAATGATTTATCAAAAATAATAAGTTAATAATTGCAAATTCGAAAAACACTTACCTTTTAGCAAATTTGTACAATATCGATATTTAACAGAAGAATAATTGACAATTATTGATAAGTCATATTAATCTATTTTAGAATTAGAAGACATTCTAAAAGCCTAACAACCCATTTACAGATCTAAAATGCATGAAAAATATATGTTTACTTAAAATGATATCACTAAGGTTACTATCATTAATGATACTATTACTCCTTTCATAAAAGATTTAAGATAACTATTCACAGATAGATAGTATATGAGATTATTTATGGAAAAGATATTAATAGATAAAGATGTAGCTCCAACATCAGAATTCGATATTACTGATGCTCCTTCTCAAGAAGTTTAATTTATGTCAGCTTAAGGCATTACAAGATATGTATAGATCTTTTTCACATATATTTATGGTAAGAATAGAAATAGATAATCTCCATTTTCAGCAACCTAATCATTTTTCATGTCAGATTTCTATTTTAGATTATTTAAAAAAATGTTTTAAGTTTGTGGTATAGCTGCATTCTATTCTACAAAAGAAATAATTGATGAATATATAGAATAGTTTGATCAAAGAGAAAAGTAAAGATTAGTAAGTTGCTATTTAACAGCCCTTCATAGATCTTTGTTAAATGTAGGCTCTTATATTCAAGATTCTTTTATTAGAATTCTTCCAAATATTACCTAAGAAATATTTTATGATTATCATTTAGCCTTCTTTTATATGTGTAGAGATTAAGATTGGTAATGGATTTCACCAGTTTATCAGAAGATGTTATAATGTTGTTAAGATCTTATTCCTTAAGGAGGCTTTAAAGGTTTAAGATATATTCAATTATTAAAAATTCTAATTCAATCATAAGGACCAAGAATTATTACATTATAAGATTAAATCTTACAACAATTTGGTTCTATTATTGTCACTTATCCATCCAGTGTTTATGTTGAAGAATATACATGTACATTAGCAACAGCATTACTTTAAACTATCTTAATTCCAATTCCTATTGATGCTCCTTATTAAGATTAATATCTCATTCCAACTACTGCTAATTTTCAAATTTGGTATAATAATGATCTCTAAGTCTTCTTTACAAACTTTAATTAATTTCTTTCAAATCATTAATAAACTGATAAAATCAAATTTTATCAAGAATTATCAGCAAGAATCTTAGAATTCATTGCAATTAGTAAATTTGATAATTATTCATGGAAATTCATTGTAGAAGCTATGAAGATCATTTTCTAAAATAATTAAACTGATATCGATGCTTAAGAAATATTAAGAAAATATATTGAATGTGATTATGATGAAATTACAGAATTACTTGATATTGCAGAACTTATGACTAAAAATGAAACATGGAATATTAGAAAACGTGCCAATTTCTTTTTAAGAGATTGGTATTTCAAAGCCAAATTAGAAGGTAGTTCATTAAATTAAATACCTAAATAATTACTCAATATGTTTCAAGATAGCAATCTTTAATTATAATTTTAAGCTGTATCTTCACTTGCTGATTACTTAAAATTATATACTAAGTAAGAATTAGAAGATTTATTTAAAACAGCATCAGAAAATAGAGTCTACATTTTGATGAGTATGCTTCTTTCACGTCAAGATAGAAATTATAATTGGACAGATTAAGCTCTTTCTCAAATATTTTAAGAATTGAAAAATAAAAGGTATTCATATTATTTTATTAAAGAATTCTCTAAGAGTTTGTATCTGAATATTGGAAAAGTAGACAAGATTGGTAGAGAGTATTTAAGGATGAAATAAGTGAAGAAAATGTTAGAAAATTACAAGAGATTGTTAATCCACATCCTTATTATGCCTGATTGTTTATTATAATAAAATATGTAATTCATGTTATTTATTTATTGATAAAATTTTATTTATTTCTTTTAAATATATTTTACTAATATATTTGTTATGTTATTTAAATTAATTTTTCAATTTAAATATAAAAGACTTAAAAATGTGAAATAGATGTATATGAGTAGTAAAATCTTAAAAAATATTTTAATATGCAATAATCCCAAAAAGTTTAAATGTGATTAAAAATGAATTAAATTTAATATTTTAGAATATCATAAAGATTTCATTAATTATACTAGAAAGCCATGAGGAGCAAATATTCTACCAGTGCAATCAGCAGATGTACTGAGAATAAAAGGATAAAATGGATGCCATTTACATAAAACGACTCTATCTTCATGATCAGTAATTTAAGTAATCAATTTCTATTATTCCCAATCATAAAGTGCAATAGTTGAATCAAAAGATACACTACATATATATCTACCAGTAGGATCAAATTCAACACATCTACAATCCATAGTATGATGTTTCAAAGTCTTAATGCATTTTTAATGTTAAATATTCCAGACTGATACAACTCCATCAGAATGTGCAAGTACTGCTAATCCTTAAGATGAAAACTAAGGAGCTTTCTTAGAACCTTTAACTAAATTTTATAAATTATAATTAGTAGTAGATTCTGAGAGGGAAACATAATTAATTTCTGTCTACATTGTCATAACTCCTTAGGCTCTACTGGTTCTTTAATCCCATATTCTTAAAGTTCTATCCATACCACAAGATACCTAATATGAACCATCTCCTGCAGTCTATAAACTATTTCACTTTATATGTAATTTGGTTACCAATATATTGTTTATGTATGGCCTTCAAGATTTCTTATACATTTTTATGTTTCTACATCCCAAATTTTAATAACAGCATCTTATCCAGCTGACATTAATCGATTTTCATCACTGAAACAAACAGATCTTACTAAACCTCTATGACCAATTAAAACATAATCTGTTTCATCTTCTATATTATATAATTTGACAGTTTTATCATTACTTCCAGTTCCAATTAATCTTCCTGATCTACTCCAATCAATACAATAAATAGATCCTTAATGATGATTTTATCTTTCCATTTACATTACTACTTGACTTTCTTATAAAACTGATTTCATTGAAAAGATTCTTAGACTTTTAGAATTAGTTCCAATAGCAAACATTTCTCCATCAGATGAAAATGCTGCTGCTCTTATAGGATGAGTATCTGATAATGTTGCTACTTAATCCATCTCATCAAATTTATAATTAAACAATTATGATTATATACTACTATTACTATGTGGTGGAGTAACATTTAAAAAGCTTTCCTTTTTAATCATTGATTAATCATTTTCATTAATATCTGAAATATGTAATTTCTCAATTATGATATTTTTATCATAATCTATTGGAAGTTATGAAGAACTAGACTATTATTATACTTAGAATTAAGATTTCTTCTTAGAATAAACTAATATATTCTTTAATTATATCTTTACATTTCGAATGCTTATTATTATCTTCATCTTCTTCTACTTTCTCATATAATTATTGAAGTGTGCTTCCATTATATTTTTCTATTCTGAAAGTCTTACCTAAATTCTTTAATACTTATGCTATCCCTTCAAAACAATCCAATCTTCCCTATAATTTTAAAAACACATAGATTTTACCTTTTCTACACTCCAATCATTAAAATCTGGATGATCACGTATACAAGATAATGTCAAAAAATAACAAAGATTTTTATATACTTCAGATGATGCCAATTATTCAATTTATCGCAATAATGTTATTAGTATTTCTACATCTGGTTTTGCATTTATCAATTCAAAATATTATTGTTTCTTCAATTCCAACAAAACATAGGAAAATTAATCATTCAATCTTGTTTTCAATGGTTATAAATATTATTCTGCCCCAATAAAATTACCATCCAAAATTTGTTATCTTAAAAATAATAATTCTCTTGTGTATGTGTCTATTGAAATCTATTGAATGCTTATTATTCTTAAATTACTTATGTTTCTAATTCTAAATGCAAAAGGCTTTTATATAATTTTTAATCTCTTAAAAATACTAAAACCATCTACAAAATTTGTTAAGTTTATGGCATTTTTTACTTTTTCAAAGATTAAATTAATTATAAGTTTTGGTTTATGGAAAATAATCAAATTATCTTCATCAGCCAAGACGATTAAGATTATTTATTTAGTGATGAAGACGATTAAATATCACAAATTATTGAACAAGATTCAACAGGCAGATTTTGTAAGGTAATTTTATCAAAATTAATTTCTAGTATAATGAAGAAATCGGTAAAGGAGCTTACAAAAGTGTATTTAGAGGATATGATAATTAAAGTGGTTGTGAAGTGGCTTGGAATGTATTTTAATTGAATAGTGTTCCAGAAAGTAAAATATATTGCATTAATTAACAATTAGATGAACGAAGAAGAGTTAGATAAGAGATTTCTATTTTAAGTAGTCTAAAACATGAGAATATTATAAACTTTATATATTCATGGCATAATAAATCAAAAAAAGAAATTGTTTTCATAACTGAGATCATAAATGGAGGCTCGTTGAAAAAGTAAAAAACAAATATTATGCTTAGTTATTTACGTAGAATTACTAGACCAAAGTTAAAGGTTATAAAGAATTGGTGTAGATAAATTTTACTTGGTTTGGAATATTTACACAAATAAAATATAATACATAGAGATTTGAAATGTGAAAACCTTTTGATTGACACAAATAATAATGAATTAAAGATTGGTGATTTAGGTCTTTCAATTTAGTAACATATAATTATTAAATTAAGATTATAAGGATCTTTTACAACTTCAGTTCTTGGTACTCCAGAATTTATGGCACCAGAAATCTACTAGGAACATTATGATACAAAGGTGGATATTTATGCTTTTGGAATGTGCCTATTAGAAATGGTAACTGGAGTAAAACCATTTTGTGAATGTAAAGGAGGCACTGGTTAAGTGATCAAGAAAGTAATTGAATAGTAGAAACCTCAATCGATTGATGCTATTCTGAATGATAAAATAAAAGCAATTATCTTAGAGTAAATTGATTTTTTTTGCAAACCAGATGCCTAAAACCTCCAGAAGAACGGCCTTCTGCGACTTAATTGTTATAGACTCATTTTAATCTTTAAATTACCGATAATGACAACCTTCCTGTTCCAATCAATGATCAATTCATTTAATAATTAAGAGATGACAGTAAAATTTATTAAATTATTCATTATTTATAGATTCATCTATTCTTAGATGTAATTTATCTAACAAAATTATGTTAACAATTGGTAGTAGTAAATTTGATACTAATTCAGAAATTAGTATTCAAAAATAAAATAAACAATTAGATTTAAGATAAAAAAATCTGATTATTTAAACTGAAAATGAAACTGAATAAATTTTTTAAAAATGTTACAAAGATTATATTGTAAATTATCAGACTATTGTAGTGTTGTCAAAATGAAGAATCCTTATAAGATCTTGAGTAAAGATAGGAAAAAGAATTATAAATGTTAAAATAATTGCATTTATTATAAAAATAAGAATATCTGAAAAAGGCTTCATATAATGTTAATACTAAAACATCAACATAACCATTTTAAAGTTCTGGATTTTTATCTTTAGGATCTTATTAAAACTTCTTTGATTTTTAATAAGAATTAGATAACAGAAAATAAATAATAGAAAGTCCTTGTTTAGAGAGAAATAGTAACAAAAGAATGATAAAGTTAGGAATGGTAATTTATTGTTTATTATTATGTTCAGATAGCAGATAATAGCTATGGAGTTTAATAGCATCATTTAAATCAGTCTTAACAAGTTTGTATTTAGAATCAAATTATTGTAGATAAATAATTAGAGGTCAATAATTGACAATCTAATAAAAAACAATCATAACACAACCAAAAATATAAAAATAAATTAATTCAAACATCTTTCTTGTTTACACACCACCATCAAGTCTAATTTTTATTTTACATTTCATATAATAATTATAGTAAAATTAAAATATATTAAATGAAAGACGAAAATCATTTTGATTGGCCTGACCCTACAAGAAATGATCTCATGTACTTATAAACAATCAGTATATTGTAAACTAAACTATCAAGGAAATTAATAAAAATTACGATCGATTACTTAAGATTATAAATATACAACTAACTTACCGAAAAAAACATATTATAACAAAGAGACTTTCATTAATAAAGTTGATGACATTCCAATAAAGAATAATAAATTCGAGACTATAAGAGAGAGTCTTTATATTGATGATATTGCAGTATAAAAATAAATTCAAATTTAGGGAGCAAGACCATAAATAGCTAAGTTTAAAACAAATAGAGAAACAAATCCAGTTGAGCCAACATATAAAATTCCATCTTATTAAGGAGCTGAAGTGCTTTAGCCAATGAAATTTATTAGAGACACATTAAATATCTCAGATATACAAGGAACTGTTCCAAAAATTAAAATATATAATCCTAGAAATGTAGATCCTTACACTTTTATAGAAGGTTCAAAACCTAAACCAATAAGACATGTTACTCGTCCTTCAGAAGATCAAGAAATGAAGAAAACTTCAATTCGTTAAATTAATCCACTTTAGCCATTTTATAAATGGGGAGAAGAAATAATAGGTCCTGTTGATGGATCTCAACCTTATCTTCATTGCAAAGAAAAGAATAAGTTAAAAAGTCTATCATTATACACTTAAGATATAACTGGAGCCTAATCTGATACTGTTAAGAAAATCCCTAAAGAATCTTTAAAAATGACAAATAATACTCAAGATATTTATAGAGCATAAGCTGATACTGTATAAAGAGGAATGTCAACTAAGAGACAAACTAATCCTTTGTAACCTGCTTACTAACTTTTAGGACAAAACGAACTATACAAAATGCAAAATAAATGAATTTTATTATTAGATAAAATTGTTTAAATGATTTTGATATATATATATATATGATCATCTTTGTAATTGGTTCATTAAGTTTGCTTGAGATGGGTATTATGACATGGCTAAAGAATAAGGGTAGTTGTTTAGACTCTGGAAATTACCCAACATATTTTAATTAAGCATAGATCTTTATTGATATACTCCACTCTATATTTGAGGATATTCATTTTATTGCATCATAACATATGAACGAAGTAGTTTAGGATCATAATAGTATGATCCAATACTATTTTAATTTGATAAGTTGTTTTCCTAAAATGTACTTTGCTAACTTATTTCTGATTTATTTAAATAAAGATGTAATTATTCAGGTGAAACAAAAAATATTTAATTTTTCTCTTTATTTACTAAACATGGTTAAAGAGTACTCATTTCAGCTTCAGTCAGTTAGCATTCCTTTACTTACAAGTTTATTTTATCTAAATTTTTTAGATTTGATTGAGAGGGTCTTTATTCCATTTTTAGAGGTAAATTTTATTCAACTTTAACTTTTTTTATTATGTCTAAATGTTCTTCTTTAATACTGTCTTTCTATTCATTTTCTCGGAGGTTTTCGCTTTATTGGATTCTCCACTCTATTTTTTTAATAATAGTATGGATGAGTTTGATTTCATCGTGATTCAACTCTTCTGCGGATGGAAAATTTGAATTCTTAGATTCTTCAGATTCACTTTCTTCTTCATCTTTTTTCCTTCTATAATTAATATAGCCTACCCTGCTTTTTAGTTTCTTTCTTTTCTTAATAGACAATTGAATCTATTTTTGACACTATTCTCACTTCTAGGTATTTTAAGTTTTTTTGAAATTAAGGCCCATTTTTTTCCATTTTAGATTGATAACTATAGTAAATCTAAATCCTCAGTTAATTGCCAAGGATTGCTTGTAATAGATTAAGAAAATAATGTTACCGATTTATGAAAGGATTAAGATGATTATTCCAACGTTCTCTACATTATTTGCCATTTCTATGTACATTTGAATCACTAATTTTATTTAAAGTAGTAGCAATCTAACTCCATTTGTTTCCTTTGTTTTAATTTTAGTAATCATAAATTATGGACCTTAATAATTCATCTTCAGGAAGAGTCCATGGAGCTTATTGTAAGGGAAGTTTAAGCATTTATAGCCATTTTTATTTACATTTAAAGGCATCCCTTCTTGGCATCATACTTGCAATGGAATTCCAATCTGCATCGCTCTTAAAATAGAGTTTAATTGATATACTATAGATTTAATGTCTCTTTTATTTGAGGCACTCCATTTACCAACAAGCCATATTAGTACTTTTTTATCATCATCTGTCCAGTTCTTTTTAAGTTTGTTTTACTGAGATTACAAATTCAATTTGTTATTTTGTTGAATGGTAAAGACTTCTTAATTGTCAGGAAAAGTATCTACTCCAAGATTATACAATTCTCTCATATAATTAAATCTAACATTGAGAATATCCTTTGTTTTAGCATAGAACTAAAGAAAGTTTTGATGAAAATCATCAGCAAGCATATTTTCAGATGATTTCATATATTTTTTATATTTTTTAAGTTTCCTTATTAATTTTAAAAAATTTAGGCTTCCCCATAAATAATTTAATTAAATGAATTTAACTACGAGATTTGTGGACTCTTTTAGTCTAACAGATGATCTGCTTACTCAAATCATTTAAGATAAATAGACAATCAGTTTATCTTTAAGACAGCTGAGTAAATTACATCATCTGTAAAAAATGTTAGAAGAGTTTTAATTTCTAAATATTGTTTACAGTGATTAGAGTAGAGTGAGGTAAATAATAAATCATACTTTAGAAAGATGATGCTAACTAGAACAAAGTCAAATTTGAATCTTCAATAATAGTTGTGTTATTAGATAGATAAGAAAATAGAAGATTTCATGGTATAAATTGGTAAAAATTTCTTAGAACTTTTTCAAGAAACTGGATTCGATATTGTTTTCTACAATGAATATGTAACTAATTTCTGAAAACTGTTTGGAATTCTTATAGCAAATAGCTGATTTAATATTGGGGAGTCCTGCATTTACAGTTATTTATGAGATTAACAAGAAAGTGAATGGAATGTCAACTCATGTAAAGGATATAGAGAATGCTTATCAGAAGTTATTGAAATTCAAGGAGAGCACAAATGTGGAAGGAAGTGAATTAGATAATCTATTTGGTACAAATGAATTATATGTATACAAAAACAAGTATTCATACTTGATTTACGATGTGAAGGATGTGCCATTCAAGGCATTTCCAGATTATAGATTGATATTGGATCAGTTTATTTCACTTGCTTATGATTTTCAAAAAGAAATATATGAGTGAGATTTATATCTATAAAATTTAGCAAAGAAAATTTAGTGAGCATAATAAGAGGAATAAAGTCAAGGTTCATAAAGAATTCAACGAGAATATGTTAAGAAATCATTAGATAGCAAGTTACAGAAGTATTATCTAGTTAATGGTATAATAATTATAATTATAAATAGTTGGATAGAAATGCCAGACTAAATACAATACATGAATGATTTGATTATAGATTAACATGGTTATGTAATATTACCAGTAAAATTGGATAAAAGAATAAAGTATTATATAAAGATAGAATCTCCAAACATAGATATGATTACATTCAGTGATTATGTAAAATTAAATTAAAAAGATTATAGATTTAATAATTATGGTAGAGATTGACATATCAATTAAAGGATTTAAAGAATGAAGAGTTTTTAAAGTAGATGTTAGAAGTTAATTCTCCAAATAAATTATATTTATAATTAGATGGAGAAGGTAATATAAGATATTAGAGTTGTTGTATACCTGATTCTTGGTATTTCATGTTAATTAAGGGTGGCACTCTTGAAGATTTGCAATTAGAATAAGTAAACAAATAAAGTCTTATTTAAAAAATGCAAGAATTAAAATCTTCAGCAAAAGGTGCTGTTAGTGTTTGTTAAATATGTTTTGGTGATAAAGCAGTGGATGTTGATTTATTTGCTAAAAGAAATGAAGAAGATGAAATCACTGATTATTATACAGTTTTTAATGCACCAAAAAAGTATCCCATATTCTCTATCAAAGGAAATATGAGGATGATCATAGAATATCTGCTTCATTGTCTAGTGAAAGTAAATTGCAAGAGTTGAGTAAAGCTGCTTTGATTAATATAAAAATGGAGAAGTTATCCAAAGCCTGTAATATGATGAGAGAATATCTTAAGGTTAATCTAACTGATGAGGAAATCATTGATCTCCTCAAAGAGAAAGATATTCTTAAAGAAGTTTATAATCATTAGTCTATTACTGATGATATAAGATCTTCTTATGTGATGGAATATTATAAGGCTGAATCTTCTAAAGTTATGAGAGATCCTGTCTAAGGAAGTCAATAATATATAATTGAATCAGAACTTACTAATATTAAAAGTAATTTCTATATCTAATTTAGAATTTGATCTCTATACTTTAGATGCAAATGATATTTCTAATCTTAGTGATTATTCATTTGATATTACTGTTGTTCAAGATAAAAATGAATAATTAAGATATACATGGGCTTTATTTCATTTGTGTAATTTCATTGATCTTTATTAAATCAATAAAGAAGTATTCTATTAATTCACTGTTATTGTACAAGAAAAATATACTTATAGATAAAATCCTTTTCATAACTTTGATCATGGTTTCACTGTTGCTCATGCTTGCTATTATATAATCAAAAGTAAAAGCATGAATCAATATTTTGATAAATTTATTTAATTTACTGCTCTACTTTCTGCTTTATGTCATGATATTGATCATACTGGACGTAATAATCATTTTGAAAGTCAAAAATTATCTAAATTAGCACTAAGATATAATGATGAATCTGTTTTAGAAAATCATCATGCATCAGTTATGTTCAAAATTCTATAAAAAGAAAAATATAATATTTTAAGTTCTCTTAGCTAAGATTAATTCCTAATTTTTAGAAAATATGCTATTGCAAATATTTTAGGAACTGATATGAAAAAACATTTTGAAATTGTTAAACAATTAGAACTTAAATTATCTAAACTACCAGATGAACCATTTATATAAAAGGAAGAAGATAAAAAATTTTTATCAAGTGCTATTATACATACTTGTGATTTAACTATGCAATCTAAAACTTTCAAATTGGCATAAAAATGGTCAAATCGTATAGCAACTGAATTTTCAGATTAAGTTGCTGAAGAAAAATAATTATCATTAGCTATTACCTAACATTTCTTACCTTTAGGAACTCCTAATTTCAATCAATTATTAGCTAAATAAGAAATTTCATTCATTAAAGTAAAATTCATTTCAATATTTATAGTTTATTGTTAAACCTGCTTTTGATTTAACAGCATAGGTTTTATAAACAGGTTTAGAAGTACCATTAAAAAATCTAGAAGACAATCTTAAAGAATGGGAAAATTAGAAATGATAAAAATATATCAGTTGTTGTAGTAACGATAATATTTTGTACCCTTTTTTAATTATATTTATTATTAACATTATTATTTAATAAATCTAAGGTACAATAATCTAAAATGGCTCAAATGAAGAAACTCAATTTATTTACGATTCAAATACTTTACAACTCAAAGATACAAGAAATTAAATTTCTAAGGCAAATGTATATTTTATTTTTATAATTATACACCCAGGAAGAGATTGAATAATTAATTGAACAAAATAAAGAATTGGTGGCTTGATTAAATCGTTAAAATGAACTCCTTGAACTAAAGCACAAATAAAATTAATAATTGCAAGCAAAAGGTAAGTAAGATTTTATATATTTAGCAAATAAATTTTAAGAATAAATGGATAATAGAGAACAAAAATTATTATAGTCAATGAAGCTAAATAGTAATTGTAAAATGAATTATTATCTATGCATCAAATTTTAGACCAAACGACTCAAAGAAATGATTAGATTAATTCTGAAGTTTTTGCTCTAAAGTTAACATTAGAGCAAATATAATGTAAATTCTCATTGTTATACTCAAGAGATAATATAAGTCAAAAAAATATTTATTAATGAAAAAATTAAGTTATACTTTATTTATTTTGAAATCAACTAAGAATCATAATCGATATATTTAATTAATGACAAAATATTCAATTGTATATAGAAAATGTGACTATGTGTTAAGAGGAAACAACGTAAGTATTGTTAAGAGAATTAAGATTGAAAACGACTATTGATTAATTAAACAAAAATTTAAAATAGTAACAAGAAAATTAAAGAAAAATAACTAATGAAATTAATTAGTTTAAATTTGAATTATAAAGCAAAGAACATATAATTTCAGAGTTAAAGAATTAATTATAATAACAATAATAATAGAATAATGAGATTATTAATGAATTGATAGAATAAAAAAATTAAAACATATAGAATTCAGTTTATGATAAGGATTATAAATCAGAATTGAATAAAATTACCAAAGAGAATGAGGAATTAAAAAACAATCTTAAGGGAGTAAACTTTCAGTTGAATATTTAGAAGGAAAAAGAATCTTAATAGATAAAAGAAATCGCTAGTTTAAGGTAGATGTAATCAAATTTATCAGTTGAGATAGAGAGATTATAAAATAAAATAAATGAATTAAAATTAGAATTATTGAATCATTAATAGGAGAGCTAAAATAAAGTGTAAGAAAAAGAAGGGAAGATTAGTTAATTAATGAATTAATTGTCACTTTTAAAAAATTAAGATATAATATATAAATTTGAATAAAAGTATGTATAATAATGGAGATGAGAAATTTTTAAAGGACATTTAGTTGAAAAATAATTAAATAACAATGTTATAAAATGAAAACAATTAATTAGTGAAATTAATAGAGTCTTTAAAGAATGAACAAAGTAAAAAAATAGAATATATGTAGTTTAAAATTAAGGAACAGAATAAATAAAGATAAAATAGTTGGAATCAGAACTAAAGAATTTATAATCATTTAGATATGACAGTCCTCTTGTAGTTTTATTTAATCTTTTAGAGGATCGTTTATCAAAATAATAACAAAAGAGTTTTAAAAAAGGTAAAAGAATTTTGGGCATCCTAATTAAAATAATGGACAGAGGGATTCGAAGAGTTAAAATAAGCATTTTCTGGTTTAAAGATTTTATTAAAGTATGATCTAAAATATGTTAATCAAATATCATTATAGAATGATTGAAAATATTATTTTATATAAATGGATAAGAAATGGAAAATAATCGCATCTATATTAACATGTTGCACAGTCTCTTTTCTAATAGTAGCCATAATAACGCCTTTTGTTTTACTAAGTGTAATTAAGAGTTAAGCACAAAATGAAGCAATCATGACATCAAACAATTACGCACTATGGGTATAGATAATAAAAATATCATCTTAATAGGGTCAAATACCAGGAGAAACCAATACTTACTTAACGAGGAATTTCACTTTCTTCTAATTTACAAATCCATATGACGTAATGTTTCGAGGGAAAAAGCCTATATTTGTTGAGAAGGGACCATATTCATATTAAGAGAAGTAAAATTTTACAGATTATAAATTCAATGATGATGATAATATTGTGACATTCCGTGCTTGGATTTAAACAGTGGGTGAAAAAATAAATGAAAAGATAACATTTGCTAATTTTGTTGCCTTAGGTGCATGGCATTAACTTTAAAATACAGAACCTGCAGTGATGGCATTGTAAGTTTTCAGTTCATTCTATTTTGAATTGAAAAAATTCTTTTATCCAACTATGATATCATAGGCAGTCATATCTAGTTTTTTAAATGAGGATACAGCCAAAAAGACAGTGTTAAATGGTTTATCATTAGATAAGTAAAATCTAATATGGTTCGATAAAGAGTATGGTATGGCAAATAGTACAGCATTTGTAAATTGGGTATAAGTTGTTAAAAAATATACAGATGATTCATTTTTAAGAAATTATTTTTAAATATCTTAATCTTAAATGAATAGTATTAAAAAATAATTAGCACCTTTGATATAAGGAGCAGAAGGTAGTATTAAATAATTATTTTGTACAAAATCTCCAACTTAAGAATGTTTTGATTCATATTTATGTGCTAAATAATGGGCAACACAAGGTATTACAAATGATCCTGATGCTGGAACCATTCCAGTTCCAAGTGTTATTACTGGAAATACTACAAGTCATGGTTTCCCTGAACTCAGTTATTTTTATAAAGGTAATTTGAATCTATATTATTATAAGAATACTTTTTAAAACTTATAGAACCAACAAATGAAAATTATAAAAATTTGAAATTTACTACTGAGTGGGCTTTAGAATTATTGAGACACTATGAGAATTATTCAGTTGAAGATCCTTAATATTATAAAGATCCCCATTTATTATTACATGTAGGAAATTTAAGATTTTTATATGAATAAGGCAATTTATACGAAAAAACAAAAAAAGATGATCATTTAATCTAAATATAAAACAGATTCAAACTTGATTCTATTTATCATTCCAGAGTATTTTATGAGTATGTAAAATATATGGAAGAAGAATTTGGTGTCTAAAAGTCAATTAATGGAACTAAAGGAATAGCTGGACTTGGAACCATTGTGTCTTAGGCACTTTATGGAGAAACGACTAATCTGAATAATAATTTATTAGATTATATACTATCAGATTTGCTAATTAAGAAAATTACAAAATGCGAATAGGTTTTGGAAAATTTAGATAAAATTAATGAGAGCTAGAAGGAAAAGTTTTGTAATTTAGAAGAATATAAGAAATGGGATTAGAAATCAATTAGACAATTATTGTATGTTTGTGAACATTAAGAGAGTACATATTGGGGACAATTATAAAATTTAACAGGAATGAGTAATATTTAGTTAATATAATTATGTGATGAAGAAGAAGAAGGATTTGGTTTAGAATTAAAAGAAGCAAACAATAAATTGAAGAATAAATATGATTGTAAATTATAAAAATGTACAAAACTTGAGATAGGAGTTAAACAATGGGGTTATTCATTAATTTCATAGAATCCAATAGATGAAATATATAAAGCAAGTAAAACAATGGGTGATATATATCCAATATTTAAAAAATTTGAATATAGTTGGTTTTAAGAATAATTCAAAGACATATTTACAGAGAAAGAATTGGATTATGACTTATCTAGATATTTACTATCTTTTGAATGTTTATATAATGGATAGATGATCAGTAATGCATTTATTCATTTTGTAAATGATGATATGAAGTCATTTAACAAGATTTTACCTTTCAATGATTATTCAATACTACATTATTTAAGATATATTATGGTTGAATTGGGATTAGAAGGATTAGCAGACACTAGGACAGTAGATGAGATTCTTTTTGGATATTGGCCATAATTAACATCTACAATAAAGGAGATGAATCCAGCAATGGGAGGTGATCCATCAACTGTAATAACTGGATTGAATTTAAATATTCCTAGTGAATTAAGTTAATTACAAAGTGTATATACTGGAAAGAAGAATATTTCATTGGTGAGAAAGTATGCTTTAATAGATGGAGTAAATTATTTGAATGTAAAAGTACCTTACTTTGATGGAAATAAAACAATATTTAAATAATATAATCCATGGAATATAGAAGTTGCTTGTGATTCAGGTACAGATGCATTTTCTTATGAACCTTAATTGGGAGCTGAGGGACATATTGGAACTATAATTACTGATATTGTTAAGAATATTTATTTAGATTACAATGAAACAATAGATTTTTATGGATTGACAGCTTATAGATTTAGAAATAATAAAAATACATTTGATAAAAATCCAGATTATCATAATTATAAATGGGATGGATTAGAGAATATGACTACAATTTAGAATGCACCAATAATGAATAGTCCAACTCATTTTTATAATGGTGATATTAAATTATAAGAAATGATTGAAGTTTATAAATATGATAATTTAAGTGAGAGATAATGGGCAAGTGATTGGGATGATTCTTATGTAATTTATGAACCATATACTGGAGTAGCATTATCAGCATTATTAAATCTTATGGTGAGTGTAGAATATAAATAAGATATTCTTTTTCCATCAAATAATTATGCTATTTTACCAGTGATGTCTTTATTAAGAGGAGCTAATTGGACAAGTGAATAAGTTGATATAACTTTTGGAGAACTTAAGTCAGGTTTGAAATTAAGATGGACATTAGCTATTATATTTTATGTTGTAGCCTTTGTATTCTTAATCTCATCCATGACTGTATTTTATTATAAATATTGGATACCAAAAAAGTTAAGAGTTTAAGAAGATGAATCCTTTTAGAATTTAAGTTCAATAGAAAATTAAGAAGGATAAATAAATCGTTGATTTAAAATTATTAATTTGAATATACACTTAATCAATTATCATCATCATTATCGGAACTGGAACTACTAGACGAACTACTAGAACTACTAGATGAACTACCAGTAACTTCATCGGAACTTAATGGATTGGCTTGACTTAACACTCTAAATTGGTTCTTGTCGATTTCATCTAATTTAAGTGCTCTTTCATACAAATCAGACCTTTTTTCTTTAAATACTTGTATTAAACGCTTACTAAACTTGGGTCTCTCATCTCTCACCGATCTTTTATGTTAATATAGTATTCTATACCTCCATGTTTTATCAAAATTATTTATTGACATAAAGTTTTGAGTTAAAGCAATAGTATTATCTAAATTTAAAACTGCATGCCACCATCCACCAGGTACAAATATCGTATCTCCAGGACCTTATATACCCATAATAATTTTTAAATTATCTGCTCCTTCTTACTCTATTAATTTAGGTAATGCATATAGAAAATAATCAATTGATTCATCTAAATCTACTGGATCTATTATTCTTTTTGCAGCTAATCCTTTTGCTTTTACTACACATTTTGGAATATCAGGTGGAAAAAGAACCCAAAGTTTATGACCTTGTAATGAAGTATTCCATGCACTTGTCATCAAAGGATCTATATGAACAGTAGTACCTGATCTTTAAGGTCTATAATATACTATTAACATTAACATAAACTACCCTACTAAAAACCATCTATATGGTGGACGATGTTTCTCTCCCACCAATGCCAAAAGATCTTCCTTAAAATATTTATGTTATTTAAATCTATTAATTAGATCAGCACCTCCATCTTTCATATCTTCTAATGAACTATTTCTTATTCATTATTTTATACCTCTCAAATAAATATAAAGGAGAATCATCTTTATTATATACAAGATATTCAAGGAAATCTTTAAATGCCATTCTCAATTTCTTCCCTTTATCATCTTCTCCTACCTTAAACGATGTTTCCTTATATAATTGATACAATTTTTCAAATGTCCAATACTTATCAATATTCCAATCATCCACTGTATTTCCTATTATACACGGAATATCAGGAATCTCAAATTAATTCACAAATTACTCACTTGTGAGTGATCTTCCATCTACTCTTTTTATTGTAAAATACCTATAAAATCATATTATATTTTACTTCTCATATTATTTTCTTAAATCTTTCATCTTTTTTTCATAATGATTTCTCTTTGTCCATTCTTTCAATCTTAAATGTCCTCTATCCTTTTGTTTAATTTCTTCCACTTATTCTTATACTTTTGTACTCATTTCCTTCTCATAAAATCTTTAAGATTATAATTTCAACTTTTTCGCTATCTCCATACTTTATTTTTAATTATAATTTCTACAATCATTCTTTATTAAACTTATTTTTTTTTTTCAATCATTGATTAAAATTTATAACACAAATATTCATTTATTCAAAATTGAATTTATTATTTTCTTCACCCCATTTTCATTTTTTTCTTATATTAGTTAAACAAATTAATCAAAATTTGATTTTAAAATCTTTTTCTTCATTCTTCTTAATACTTCAATTATTATTTCAAATTAATATTCTTAATAATCTTTCCATAACATATTATCCCATAATTAAATAACTATATCAATATCTAAATCACTAGTGAATAAAGTTATAAACCATCTAACAAAAAACATTGATATATTAACTCCAATTCCATTCATATACTATTCCAATTATGGTTCTTACTTTTATATCATTTCATCAAATCTTTTCATAGTTTCAGCTATTGCTTTTTAATTATCATATTATGAGAAATATTATTATTATCTCTCCATTAATCTTTCAAAACAAAAAAAACAATCTGCTTCTTTTTATATTACTCTCAATATAGGAGCTAAGAGATAATTCATTCCTGACTAAAAAATAATTTTTAACATTTATTACAATATATCCAATATTTGGATGCAATCTACAATAAATATACAAAATTCTCTTCATTACATCTAAATATGTTGTAGTAGATTCCTCTTTTGTATCAAATTACATACCAAAATTATTTACATAAAAAAATTATTCTATATGTTGATAATAAGGGTTATTTAAAAATTTTAAATTTGTTAAAATCCGACTATTAATTGTTAAAATAATTTACTCAGAATCTATTTAAATCAATTTTTAAAAATGCTCATTTTATTGATAAACTTCAAAGCTCATATATTTTGAAACGATTTTTACTTTTTCTTCTTCATATTCTTAATTACTTAATGTTTAATTCTCTTACGAAAACTTTTTTAATTATTCTACAATTAGTTTTTCATTAGACATTGTGAAATCTTTTATTAGTTAATTGTATTTTTATTCCATTTCATCAAAATGTTGCTTATAATTGCTTTTGTCAGAAGGTAAATACCCTAAAGCTTTCATCCATTTATTTGCTCTCTCATAATTGATATTAATCATTTATAAATAATAATTTTTATAAAAATTTCTTATCGTATTACTTTTGATAATAAGGAGAAGTAATTGCAATCAACTTTACAAGTAAAACTGGTTTTCTTTTGATTATAATATATTTCATGAAATTAAAAAAATACTTATTTTATATATATAGAATAAGAAGAACAAATTGGTTCAAAAAATCTTTGTTTAATTAAGAAAAAGTAATTCTTGTTATGATGAATTTTGAAATTAATATAATTGAATGTAGTTATTTACAAATAATTTTATTAGAGAAGTATGACAAACAATAATAATTAGTCATAATATCTTTTTTGAATCATAAAATACAAATTACAACATTTATATATGTAGTGAAGATGAATAATAATAATCAGTTGAGTATAATTTAGTCATTTCAAATGTCTTCTACAATTTCACCAAATTTACACTTATGTTCAGGGGAACAAGTTTCTATTTATATATAAATAAGTCATACTTGATAACATCTCTAGGTTAATTACCATATGTTTCTTCTCAAGGCTTTTGAATGCAATCATACCTAAATTGGTTTGATCATCTGAATCAAGTTTATGAGTGTAATCATCAAATGATGCTTTCTTTATACACTTTTTAGATGCAGCACAACCCATTTATTATATTGCTTATATAAATTTATATGAAAATAAGATTTTTTTGTTTTGATTAAATATCTTCATGAAAAGAGAAATACGTCATTGTAATTGTTTATTATAAGCTTTAATTGATTAGATAATTGATAATAATTTGCATAAACTCAAAATCATTTCGATGAAAAGTCTGCAGATTACCTAAAATAATAAAATATATATATACATAATTTTGATTTTTTCATTCCTAAATATTGCTGATATTTTTTTGGAAACTTTTAAAGTATCAGGACGATCTTCTTGCTTTTCGGATAGACACTATGAAATTAATTGAATTAGATCAGGTTTATAGTTTAAATTATTCTCTAAAAGTTTTTAAGAGATATAATCCTAGCTAAAATATTTCTTTTTTTCAGTCTCATCTAAAAAGCCAAATTAAAATAAAGGAATTCCTCTATTTAATATTAGTAAAGAAACTAATCCAAATGAATAAAGATCAGATTTCATTGTGAATTCTTCCATGCTTTCTGGAGGAAGATATGAATATATATCACATTATTAAGTTCCTAGACAACCTTAATCATCAAATTTAGCTTTTTCACAATCTCCAATATAAAAGTTTGCTTTTTCTAAATCTTCATTATCTAAATATATAGTTTATGGAGAGATGTTTCTGTGCATAAAACCTTTTGAGTGAAATTCGGAAATTCCTTGAATATATATAATTTATAGTTTACCATTCATAATTTGTTTTATAGCATTATAAGCTATCCTTTGATATTTTATATTATCGATTTTTTATTTATTAAGTAGTTATGAAGCCATTGAAATGTTCATTGTTAATCGTTACTCAAAAAAAAACACTTAATCAAAGATTTTTAAATAAGATAAACATTTAACAATATTTGAGCAATCAGACATTTCTTCTGAAATCTCAATTTATCTATTTTAATACTCTAATAATAATTATTTAGGGAATCTAAATTGATCAAAGCATTTGTATTATACAGATTTTGCTTTAATTCCATAAACAATTTCAAAAACTTTTGGTGTTTCAAATTCAATTGTATAAACATCCTCTAATCCATATTTTATTTATGGAACTTAAAAGAAATTAAGTAATACAAAGTGATTTTATTAATTTATTTGATATCCTTAATCTTAGGATAATAAAGATTTAATAATTTTTTCAAAATTATCTAATTATATGATTTATTGGTATTATTGAAAATATCTAGATGCGAAATTTTTAAATATTTCAAGATTTGTAATATTCATCGAAAAGTGATTATCATCTAGATCTACAAGCTATAAAAAAGTACACTCTTGTATCAAATATAATTATTATATTGAGTAAAGATTCCACGTAATGTTTTTTAAACTTAATTCATTTAAGGCTAAGTTATAGATAATTTATTACTTAGAGCCAATTATAGTATTATGTTACGAATAACTTTTGGATTTTATTTATGTAAAATTTATTCAGTCAAACGATATTGTGACCAATCCTTTGTTATAATCAAAATTTCCTCATTATTAATTAATATTTCCTTTGGTGAGAGTATATTAAATAATTTCAAGTTAAGCATAGATTTGGCATGTTTTTTATTCTAAAAGAATTTGTAATTGGTTATTCTTATTAAATAATATGGTTCAGACTTTTCATTTTTGAATCTGTCTTCTACTTTATGAAATTAAATTTATGAATTCTTTATAAAATTCATTTAAAGAGTCTTATATGATGATCTGTAATCGTCAGAATCCATTTAGATGTAATAGAGTATTATTTAGATTAAATAAATAATTAAGATTTTATAATAATCATCCTAAATTTCTAATAACTTTAGTTCTAAAATTTTATTAAGACTTTGTTCCTGGAGTTCTTGTGATAGAAGTAAAAGTTGTAGCATATGTCTTTGCAAATTAATTATCATCTTCATTTTCTTCTGGAATTTCAATACCCTAACTATTCAATTCCCTTTTCTTCTCTCTATATTCCTTATTCATACTATCTAATTATGATTTCAATTCTTATTTCTTCTCTCTCAATTCTTTGCATTATTTTATTAAATGCTTATTTTAATCTTGAATAGTATCATAAGCAACTTCTCTTTGACCAAGTTGATATTTTACAGATGCCTCAACTTCAGAAAGACTTTATTATAAATATTGTTTTTGACTTGACAATGCTTTATAAATAGCATTTTGTTAGCTTTGATCAATTTGTTATTATAAAGGATCCTTTTACATATCCTTTAAAGTTTCTTAAAAGACAGGATTTTTTATAGTAATTGCTTTTGTATTTTCCTTTTCGACCATATGATACAATTCTTCCAATTTTTCTGGCCAATCTCCTGTGTCACTATTAATTAAAGTTTAAATAGAGGATTTGAAATTATCCATATTTCGTTTGGATAATGATAAAACAGTTAAGGCAGATTTGAGTTAATTTTTAAATATGTTTAAATCTGTAATTAATTTCCTTTCTTCTTCAATTCGAGATTACTTTAATCCTGATTCTTCTATTAATTCATTATAAAGATTCTTAACATGTTTCTAAAATAATTAATTAACATTCTTTACTTCCATATTTTTTAGATGATCCATCAAAGGTTCTCTCTCATCTTTTAATGTATTGACTCTATAATCATAAACTTTTTAAAAATTTTATAAATGAACATTCTTCATTCTAAAGTCTTTTATTTATTATTCTCTTTAATTTATAAGCTTCTCTTTCTCTCTTAAATCCGCCAACATCATTTTATGCTTTTCTTCATACCCTTTTGATTCTTATTCTAAACTTTATAAAGATTCCTAAGTTTCTATATAATTTATTTAATTTCTATACCTTTTTTTAAATTATGTAAAATTTCTTTTCTATTTTGATATCTAACAATTTCTTTTTTAAATCTAGAAATACTAGATCTCAAAATTTCTGTTTATGTATTATACTCTTCTAATTTGGCTTTTAAAGATTATTGAGATTCTTTATAAAAAGTTTCATAATCTTTCTCACTTTATTATAAAACTTCTTTGAATTTCCTCTAATCTAATTTCATATTAGACATGGCTTAACTAAATCTAGTGAATAAGTCTTAATATTTTTAACAATATTCATCATCAACTTAAGAAATGGATTATTAATATTCTGAATTAACTTATCGTCTTTCTTCATCTTATTATTTAATTATGTTTTATAACTTTTCATTTAATTTATCTCTTATATCATAAATTGATAATAATTTCTTTGAATTTTATTCATTCATCTCCTCAATCATCTTTTTAGAAGTTGCAATTAAATTCTTTTTATCTTCTTTAATCTTATTATTTTTAGCATCTGATTATTAAATTGTTTGAGATAATGAATCTTAAACTTTTTGAATATCTTTTGAATGTTCTTCACGTATTTTCTTAAGTTTATAATCATTATTATTCAATTAAACTTCTTTAGCATCATCAATATCACTCTTGAAATTTTATAATCTATATTCTAATTCTTTCAACTACTCTTATCTTATTTCTTAAGCAGTAGTTGAACATAAACATAAACTATTAAGAGCAAAAGTATTAGTAATCTTATTTTCAATATCACCTCTGGCAATTAAATCTAATTATGTAATCTAAATGAATTAAAAATGATTACTTCTTCACCATTAATAAATTATTTGATTTTACTAAAGAAAATGCTTCCATCAATTGATGAACTTATTAAATAACTATTATCAGGAGATATTTTAATAGCAGTAACAGCTAATTAATGAACAGGAATTTCAATAGATTCCATCATTTTAGGATTAAAATGATAAAATGGATATGAGTAAACTCTAATTGATCCTTGAGTAGTTCCAAAGAATATAGCATTATATCTATGACTAATACATATGGCACTAAATTATGTAGGAGATGTATCCACTTCTAATGCTAAGTTCTATCCTTTTTCATGATAAACCTTTAATTTTTAATCAGAAACTCCAATAACAAGATCATATTCAAAATCATAACACAAACTTTGATATTTATTCTATTTCTGAGCATGTTCCAATATTCTTTCTCCAGATAATAAATTCCAAACATATAAAATACCAAATTGACATTAAGAAATCAATAGATTATCCTATTATATTAAACAATTTGATTACTCTATCTATAAATAATAGATCCTTAAGATTTGTTTAATGATTAGGTAATGCACTTATCATTTTATAAGTTAATGGATTATACAATTAAATTTAATTTCCATTAGCTGCAGCCAATATATGTCCACCTTCACTATAAGTAAGAGCATTACAAACTTTAGTAGTCTCATTATGAACTAATTTAAGATCATCATCCAATATAAAGTAGAATCGAAGACTATTAGATTATTATATTAATTTAATTACCCATCCTTAAATCCAATTGCACATTAATAACTTAATGGATGAATAGCTACTGATAATGGAGTCTCATGAAATTAATGTGAGAACATCTCTTTAAAATCATTTGAATAATCCCAAAATTTAATATTCTTATCATCACATACTGATGCTATTATTGATCTCATAGGAGTAGTAGCAATATTAAATATTGTACCTTTATGAACACCCTTCTCAAATAATGGTTCAAATGGATCTTTTTAAACAGATTTCAAAGCTTCTACAATTGCCAAATTAAATGTAAACAATTCTAACTTTCCTTAATAATTCTCCAATATTTACTCACATGAAACAATATTATTTAATACTTATTGTTAACCTAATGCTACTTAATATGCAGAACGATTAAAATAAATCACTGTTAATGCTGCATACATCTCATCAGTAGCCAAATGAATTTAATGAATACCATATATATGTTCATCTTTTATAAAATAAGTACCAACCAAATTTAAAACATATTGCTCTTATTCTGTCCCATTTTATTCTATTTCATATACTTACAATGCAGGTTTACCTATTAAACCAATAATGAATCCTTTATTTGTTTTTGCAATCGTAGATATTCTAACATTTACTAATTTTTCTTATTCACTTGGCTTATTTTTATCCTTATTAATTTATTCTATGATAATATAATACATTGATTACATAATAAATGATTTGATTCTTTTTATTGAGTTTATAATTCAAATTTTCCTACTCTTCTCTCTCCTTTAATCATAATAAGATTATTTTTGCTAGTTGCTACAATCGCATATTTCCTTTCAGAATTAAAACAAACCCCAACTATATTTTCATCTTATTATAATTCTAAAATATTTATGAAATTATTCTATATTTCTAAGCCACTTATATCAGCTTAATATTTATAGGATGTAAGAAATTATGGTCCAATAAGAAAGAATTCTAAATCATTTATCTATTCTAACATATTTATTTTTTATTTGATAAGTGTATAAGAAAGTGAAACTTCCTTACTTACTGCAAACAAACTCATTCCATAACCATCCTCCTATGTTGACAAAGATATTAGATGCTAATTATTATTAGAAATTGTACCTTTCCATCGTTAATAAATAGAATCTCATGAATATTACTATTTGGTAATAAATGAGAGTGTACACACTAATAGAATCTCTTCTTTTTTCGGTTGTAAACCTTTACTGTCGGAAGAATCTTGCTTGTAGATTTAAAAGCTATTGAAATAAACAATTTCTATCCATGAGAAACATGAAAATTCAATGCCTAGACCACTTCATCTTCAGCACTCTTCATTATATATGTTTATCGCTTTCGTATAATATCATAGAGCACTATATGTTTACCACTTATAAACATAAGAGTGTCATCATTTACAAACATACAGTTCTTTCTTATTGGATTCTATAAACATCCAAATGAAGCTTCTAATGTTATTGATACACCATTAATTATCTAATGTGATGATTTTGATAACATTTATTGCTTTATCACTTTTTTTCCATTTAAAAACCACTAATCCTCCATATAAATATTAGCTTAGTTATTTTTATAATTAATTATTCAATATATTCTTCTTTTCATTTCTTTACAAGATTACAGAAGATAATATGATTACAATAATTATGTAATGAAAATTTAAATAATACAATTTCATTTCCCTCTTTTCTTAGTCTGCATTGTTTACTGTTCAATATTTGTTACTAATTTTTCTACCATCACTAATTCTTACTCCATACTCTTTACTTAATCAATCAGAAAATTGTTTCTAACTTCCAATTAAGCTATTTTTTATTGACTCTTAGACATCAAATCCTCTTCCACTTTCTTTTAATTCTCTTATAAAGAAATTCTCAAATAATGTACTTCACTCACTTATTAATTTAAATCTAATATTGCCTCATGATAATATACAGTTTTGCCTATTAAAAAGTCTAATTTATGTTTTAAAATCTAATTCTGTTCATTCAATTCTTTTATTTAATTTTCATATTTTTATTTTATTTCCTACAACAATTCTTCATTTTATCTAATCTTTTTAGAATAATATAAAAAATCTTATTTTTATTATTCTTAATTCTATTGCAGCTAAACTTACATTACTTTACAAATATCATTTTAACAAGGAGTATTTTATGTTCCTTCCTATTTTTAACCAACCATTGTAATCAATTATTCTACTATTAATTACAACAATTAATCTTAATCAACCTCTACATTTCCTAATATATGTTTTTAAGTCAAAATCCTATCACTTAAAAATTCATAAGATTATTTTAATTTTTATAATTCTTATGTTTTTCTTTAAACTTTCTTTTCGAACATCTACTTGTCTTAATTTAATTTAAGTAGTAATTCTTTCAATTCCTAATTTTATTTTAACACTTCATCAAGTGATTAATTTTGCATTATTTTTTATAAAAATAATTTATATATTATCATAGAATTCATCATAATTATCGTTCTAAATGCTTTATAATTAATAAAATTATTATCAAAGAATTAATATAATTTCTGTTAATTCAGAGTTTTATTTATACTGTATGTTATTCCAATTAAATCTTAATTTTATAGAATATTTTCAAACATAAAAAAACGAATAATGGATATCAGAGAAATTGAGGATTCAAATAAACTCAATCATGCAATTAAATAACATAAATCTACAGCAAGTCAAGCTTATTTCAATTTTATTAAATCAAATTTAGGAATAGGTATATATAGTTTTAATGATTCTTTAAGGAGTCATTGTACTTCCTTTTGTTACCTATTAAGTAGGCTTACTATGGTCAGTTGTTTTATTCATCCCTATAGCTTTCAGTTGTTTAAAGTAAATTGATTTTCTTAAAATTATTATAGATCCAGCAATTTTATGATTGAAATCGCAGATGATATGAATATTGACAATATTCTTTATGCTGATATAATAAGATAAACTTTGGGATATCTTTGGGCATAAGTTTTAGATATTGCCATAATATTACAATTGATTGGAATTTGCATTGCATATTTGATATTTCTTACAGAATCTTTGGCTTAGTCTTTACTTCAAATAAATATTGAAATGACTAAATTATAATGTCTGTTGATTACATTAGTTATAGTGATTCCCTTATCATTTGTAAGAAAAATTCATTTTTTCCATTCAACCAGTAAATATGGATTTTATTGTGCTTTGGCTTCTTTCTGCATCATATTATATGATTGCTAAGATAGAATCTCAATAGGAAATTTTCATATGTCTAATTTAATCAATTTTAAAAGTATTTATTAAAAATTAATTAATTAGACACATTCAATTATGTTGGAGTAGCTATCCTATGTTGTGAAGGAATTTTTACAGTTTTACCAATTAGAGATAGTATGAAAAATAAATTTGAATTTAAATCTGTTGCTGCATAGAGTTTGTTGACAGCATTTGGGATTTCAATATTTTTATCATTAATTAGTTCATCTACTTATTAGGCAGATACATAGTCGATTGTATTATTTAGTATAGAAGTATTTCTTCAACTTATAATTAGAACTCTATTTTAGAAGTGTTATCTTTGATATTATACTCTATTAGTTTGTTATTAACCTTTCCACTTCAAATTTTTCCTGCTGTTCAAATTGTTGAATAAATGTTTTAAAAAAATATGGTAGAAATAATTAATTTCAATGATATAGAAGAAAATTCAAATGAAGAATCTCCTATCTCTAAAAATGTTGAATCTAGTAAGATAGAAGAAATTATTGCACAGGAAAAAGATGATTAAGTTTTTGAAGATAGATTTCTATAAATGATTATTAGAAGTCTGTTAATGATCATAATTTATTTTATTGCCTATTAAGTACCTCATTTATCACATTTTTTGAATTTAATTGGAAGCATTTTTGGATCCTTATTACAAGTACTCTTATAATTTAATAAATTAGTTTTGTTTTCCTGTACTAGTTCACATTATTTATTTCAAAAACACTAAAACACCTAAGCCTTTTATACAATATGCAATAATTTTAATTGTTTCAATACTAGCAATAGTTTTAGGAACAGCATAATCCTTAAAGCAACTACTTTGAAAAATGGAATAGAAATTGTAAATATATTATTTTTTTTTATAATTAAAATTAATGGATTCTAATTTATATGTGAAATTAACTCCTTAAGGTACATAAAAACATAAAGAGCTGGAATAATAATGTCTAAAGAAATTTATATTTTGGGTAGCTGTTGCAAATATTTCAGGTGTACTTGGAGGTTAACTTATGATGTATATACCAATGTCAAGCAAATCAAAATAATTGAGGTAATTTGATAAAATACTATAATTTTAGATTTAGAAATGGTATTTTTTTAACCACTGCTTTATTGTTAAGTTATCATGGTTATAAATTATCCAAAAGAGATTTAAGAATTGGATAAAAGGAGATTATAAAAAACAAAGAATATGTATTATAATCATCTTGAGATATTGTTTATAAGGTTATTCAAGAGAATTATTATCAATTATGAAGTTGGTTTTTATATAATTGGATTAAGTATTGCAAAATACATCAAAATTCAAAGATGCTACTAAAAACATCTTTTTTAGAAAGATCTTATTAATCTTGAATGTTGAAAGAATTATTCTCTATTCCTAATCTAGAGGAAATTCCAATTTCTAAAAAATCTATTTCTTTTTCATCAAAGAGTATATTAAATATAAAATGTTTGCAAATTTTTCAAAATAAATTTTTTGAATAGATTATTATCTTAGCTATTTATTAGATATAAGTTTAAATAGTAATTCTACTTCAGTCATTTTTTTTAAATTTTATAGAAATTCTTTAGACCTGATTTTCTCTTTTATTTGTTTTTGATTTTGGGTATTTTGTGTATTTTAATTTTGATTTAGTTGATCCATAACTCAGTTTTCAAAAAATGTTTAGTTCATAATTTAAATTGAAATGAAAAAAATTACTTAAAAAATCGTAATAATTTAAAAAAATATCATTTTTTTCTTTTTTTTAGTTTTTTACATGAATTGCAAAAATAAGTTAATCTTTTATTTTTAGCAAGTCTATCACATAATTGTTAACTTAATCCTTCACATTCCATATGATACCATGTATCACAGATATCGCATTATACATATCTTTTTTCATGGTTATCAGGATTTCCACAGATGCAATAAGTTCTTTACCATTATTCATAAGATGGATTAAATTATTTAGTATGTCTATTAAATGATGCTCTCATAAAATAAACCATTTAATTAGCAGAAGTTGGTATTTCATCATGATTAACGAAAATGATTTTTCCTTAAACATCTAGAAATTAATAAAATAATATTATACCACTCCAACAAATCCATTCTATATCTTCACATAAAAAGAGTTCTCTAGATTCTAACCAATCTGCAATTTTAGTAGTTACAAATTAGGAAACATATTATGTAGTTAAGAGAACTTAAATTTTAAGCAATGGTAATTGAAATTAGTTTTTAAGTTACAAACACATTATATCTTTGACAATTCCAAATTAATTTTGATTTTTTTTGTTTAAATATTTGATTGGTTCTCCTTTGTAAATTGTGATGTCTAAAGAGTGTAAGTAAATAGAGGAATAGAATTGGCAAAATCCATTTTAGTTAAAAAGTTAGACTAATTAATCATACTTTGGATATAGTAATTATATGTACATTGTCATAGGTAAATAAATTTTCGATATTGAGATCATTCATAATTTATAATAATAAGAATAGATTTATTTAAAACTGGTGAAATTCATAAGGACCAATTTTTAGAGAGCTATAAATTTTAAATTAATTAATTAGAGAACTAGTATATAGGATTGAATGATGAGAAACTATTTAAGTGGGGTGTTAGCTCATTTGGTAGAGCGCTTGATTCGCATTCAAGAGGCGGAGAGATCGAAGCCCTCACACTCCAAATTTTTTTATATATTTATTTAATTTATAAATTATATGATTGCTACAGAATAATTCGATTGTCTTCCAATAGAAGAAGTATCTTCTATGTTGGGCTCAATTTAAGTGAAAGTATATTTCATTTTTATATTTAGGAATATCCAATCTTTGATGTTTAGAAAGGTGTGTTGACTAAAAAGAAAGTTAAATATCATAATTATGATGACGAAGAAATTGAAATTAAGTTTGAATGTGAATAATCTTAATATTGTACAGCCAATGAAAAGATTGTTAAGATTCCTCCAAAAGGTATTAATAATAATCTATATAAAGGACTTGATTTCTTAAGAATTAGAATTTTAGTTCCAAGCAATTGTTAAGAACATTAGATTACACTCACTGTTGATGCTCATGATAATCATACTGGATTGATAAAGTAAAAGATTGTTTTTAAATTAAATGTTGTGAATCCATGAGGATAATAATATATATATATAATATATATAATAAAATAAGAATGTCCATTAAAAGTAAAATAGTTACTCAAGTTGAAGATGGACAAGCAGAACATCTAGCTAAATTACTTTATCCTCCATATTAAACATATTTTCATTAAGCTAAAGTAGCTCATTCAAAATAAACTCTATTATCTTCATTATAATAGGTGGGATTGAATGTTTAAGAGTTTTAAGACAAACCTGTTTAATTGATCATGTAAGAATGTGAGTAAAAATTAAAGAAAACTTATACTGTTAAAGTTGTAGGAATCAAAGATGGAGAATTAGCAGTTATTTCGAAAAGATTTGCTTTACCAAAGAAGAAATCTATGAAGTAGATTTCTAATAAAGGTATAAATTATATAACATTTTAGAGGATCCTATATTTCAATTATCTTAATAACCATACTAAATTCATAGTTAATTTCCAAATAAATAATTAAAAGCTGTCAAAAAAATAAAAGATCCTTAAGATGAAGAATTCAAAAAGAGATTATTAAACTGGTAAGCAGAATAATTTGAAAAAATGAAAGGAAAACCATAAATAGAAGAAACATCAGATGAAGAATAGAATTAAGAATCTTAATCTTAACCTTAATCATCCTAAATTAAAAATAAAAAAAGTTTACCTAGGATTAAATTATAAAAAATAAGACGATCAGAAAGTCCTAAAAATGAAAATTCAGAAAAAGTAGGAGATACTTAGGAAGTATATGCAGTATTTCATAATTAAAAATAATCTCAAAAAATGTCATACAGTAGATTATTAAATCATATGAATGATAAATAGAAAAAGAATGAAAAAACAAATCATAGTCCTCCTTTAACTAATTAATTAGTTGTTGTTAATATCAATAAAAAACCACCAGAACCTCCTAAATTAGGTGGTGTTATAATGGAATTAGATGAGGAACATGAAAATTATCAATCAGATAAGAAATAACATGATGAATAACAATAATAATAATAAACTTAACAAAGTTCTTCGTTATAAGTTACTTAATTTGTTTTGAATGATACAGATGCAATGTAAAAGAGACTTAAGAAAATATAAGAAAAATTACATCATAGTGAACCAGAAGGATTATTTTGATTACAATTTAAATAATAAAACTCTAATATACAATTAATAAAAAAATAAGTATATCATTTAAAATAATCTTCTCCTTCTCCTATAACATCTTTTAATTTTTTTATATTCTATTCAATTCTTTACATATGTCTAACTTCAACTATTAATTTTGTAGCCTTTGTTTTTGAAATTCTTAATGCTTTTTGTAATACTTCATTAAATTCTCTATCAGAACCTTTAAATTTTTCTCCAAATGCTTAAGCTACTTATAAGATTTCAACATTCTTAATTTAATTTTAAATGCTTTCTTCCTCTTCTTAGTAGAATTCATTAGATTAATTTCTAGAATAGTATTATTAAGCTTTTAATTCATCATTATAAGTAGTAGTATAAGGAGCAATGATAATAGTGACTTCACCTTTTAAATGGGAAGGTCGAATGATTTTTGGATCAGTTAACATTTCATAAACTTCTCTACATTTTCCTCTTATTTTTTTTTCGAATTTCTTTGTTAATTCAAATCCTAACCAGATTTATTAAGTTTCTCCATAGATCTTTTCAATAGTTAATAATGTTTAATGAACTCTAGAGGGAGACTCAAATAATACTAAAGTACAAGGAGATTTTAAATAAAATCTTAAATTTTAATCTCTATCATGTTATTCTTTAGAGAGAAATCCAAGAAATGAGAAATTATCAGTAGGAAATCCACAAGTACTTAAAGCAACAGAAATAGCACTTGGTCCTGGTATTACTTAAATTTTGACATTTCTTTCAATACATTTATTAACTAATTAATAACCAGGATCTGAAATAGCTGGTGTTCCTGCATCACAAACTAATGTTATATTTAAACCCATTTTCAGCATTGCAATAAGTCTATCAATTCTTTTATCTTCATTAAATTTATGACAACTAATTAAAACACCTCTTCCTTTTCTTTTTTTTGCAACAGCTATTTTATTTCTTAGATAAACCATAAATGGAGCAGTTAATCCATATACTTCAAATTCAGTTGGATTCATTTCTTCTTCATATTCTTATTTTCCCATAAAATTTAATGGATCTTTTTAATGTAAATATTCTTTTTATTTTTTAACTTCTTAAGATACACGTTCTTTCATTTCTTCTATTTTTTTCTATTTATAAAAACTAATATCTGCAGCAGTAATTTCTTATTAATTTAATTCTGGTAATTTTCTAAAATTGGTAGATATTATATAAATACAATTATAATTATTTGGTTGAATCAAATATAACATCTTAAAGTGAGAAATCATCATCATCTAAATCATAATCTTTAGGATTATCTGGTATAGATAATTATTCATTAGTCAATTTTTTATTCTTTATCATTTTAATAAGAAATCCTGTAATTCGAGTATCTTCACAAGCAATAACATCAGCTTCAAAAAGTGCTTTGTCTTATCTTGGAGTCCAATCTTATAAATTTCCAATAGGAGTAGGACAAATAGTTAAGACTCCTTTAGAAAGTGAAGGTAATCCAATATCAATAATACCATCCTAAGTTGATAATAAGAGATTACAATTTGTGATGAGAATTATCTTACAAAACGAGTGACAAATCTGATCATAATTAGTTTAAATTAATAAATATAGAATAATGGGAAATAAATAATAATAAGCCAAGTAAAGAGATAGCAATTTGAGTATGGTAAGTTATGGTAGATCTGTATCCACTGCACCAACTAATGAATCAGGTATGCTTAGATTTACTACTGATGGAAGTATGAGTTCTTCTTCCATTTTTGGAGGAATAGAAACATATTTCAATCGACTACCAAATCCAGTAGTTGATGGAATTTGTAAATTTCTCACTATTAATGATCTTACTAATCTATATTGCACTAGTAAATTTGTTTATGAACGATTTTACACTTCACTTCCATACTCCATTTAATGTGGCACTCTATTGTACAAGTTGTATGAGGATAAAAGAGCAATTGTTAAAAATGCTATTCAAACTAAACATGCATATTGGCCTTAAGTTTTAGAAGTTTTTATACAAAATAAGTATTATTATGTGTTTATGATCTATATTAGAAAACAAATGAAGAATCTGCAATCCAATCTCAATGAATCACTCTAACAAGCTTATCAATAACATATCATTTATCCACCTTTATTAATGGATGAAATCACTAAAGAAGGCTTAAATTCTGATTTCTAGAAACAAATCATGCAAAAATTATAGAGTTCTTAACAATATCAATCTATTACTGAAATACAAATACTGAATTAAACTAGAACTTTTTTTAAAAAGTCATAAAACTCTAATTCATTAATGATTAACAAGTTATTAGAAATCAGAACTTTAAGAGAATTTTAAGTTGATTTAAAGTATTACTATTTTATTTTATTTTTAGATTACCATAATTATTTAACATTATTATTTTAATATGTTCTACTATTAAATCACTTTTGTAAATTGTTGCTCTAACACTTGAATGTGCATCAGCCACTAATGATTCTATTGGATAATTAGATTTTTATCTCTATAATTTCTAAATGTATTTGATATGGATGCAATAAATAGATTAACATGTTACTCCTTATTTACATCTTTTTGACATTACTCTTAAAGAATAAATTCCTTCTTATCATTTCCCACCCTTTACAATCTAATGGATCATGATGAAAATGTGGAATCAATTTATTTATTCAAAATCTAAACATGCTTTGAGATCTATTTTCTTATAATAATTATTTGAAGTTAGAATTGATCCTTCCCTTAAATATCAATAATATCTATTAAAAGATTATATCAAATCATTAATCGATTTATCAACAACCTAATCTAATGTCAGAATGGCAGGTCATTCTAAATTTAATTACATTAAGGACTTAGAAAATTTATTCATCATTGTAATAGAATAAACATCCAATCTTTATGAAGAATACAATATCAATTTTTCCAAAGACATCTCCGTACTAGGATACGTATTTTAAAAACATATCTTAGAAAATAAATTAATTCCTTTTCTATTAGAAGAAAAATATGCTAAAATTTAAACTCATATTGAACAAATTAAATAAAGTTCTGAATTCTAAAGAAGAATCAAAAAATACAATGATGATAATTAATTCATTACTTAGCAAACTGATTATTCGTTTCAACTACTCAATATCAATAAAGTTTTCTATAAAATCAAATAAATTATCAACTGTGAGCCTTTGCTCTAATAAACAATTAGATTAACAATTAATTATCAAAAAAACATTTATGATAAACTATCATCTTATATCAAAGATTATCATACAGAGCTTTATGAAGAAATCTCTAAATTAGCTGATTTAGATGTAGTTTCAACTGAAAGTGTCTAAATTAGAGATGCTATGATATTATATAGAACATAATCTGAAACTTATGAGGATCATCTAATTTCCTACGAAGAACTCATTGATATTGAAACATTTAAACAAATTATTAAATAAAAATCAGCTTGTAATTCTAAAAAGAATTCATTATTGTTAAAGAAGACAAAGTCTGAACCACCAAAATTACATTAACAGCCAGATATAAATAATTTCTTACCAATTACAATTGTTAATGGATTAAATCTTGCCTAAAGTTTAACAGAATAATACATTAGCTAATAATGATTTTATAATTAATTCAATTTTGTGTAGTATTTTAATAAATAATTCAAATTAATTTTATTTTTATTTTATAATAAATTTTAATAATTTATAATTAAATTATAATAAGAATAAGAGCGAAAAATGACACAAAAAATAATTTTAATAAAATTTAAAATAAATTTTTGTTAATTAAAAACACTTAAAATTATTTGTTCTTATTTACCACTAATATTCAAGCATTTTTATGATAATCTCGCAATAACTTCTCTCTGTATATATTCCATTAGTATCATATATCTCTCAGAAATAGAAGGCTCTCATCATAACCAAACTTGTCATCTTTTAAAATTAGAACATATGTCCTTTAAATTATAATTAAGAGAGCTTTTTATTAATATTTTATGAAAATTACGATACTTATATAAATTATTACCAAAATTATAAAGAATTTCATTTAAACACAAAAATAAGTTGATAGTGAGTATGATAAACAATTAATTAACAAAACTTATAAATCATGAATCTTACTCAAATCCTTCATTAAGGTTCTTAATCATATTTTTGTTCGGAGGGTTCTAGAGTTACAAATAAAGAATTAGCTTATTAATCATTTTTTTGATCCTAAATAATTTCTAATGGATTGATAATAATATCATTTCCACTTTTTTTTTCAATGACTTTTATGAAATTATTTTGACTATCATTTTCTAACAATTTGATAGATTACTTAGTTTATAATAATTTCTATTAATTTTCATGATTTTATTTGTTATCATCTTACTTCTCTTTTGAACTTTTTTGACTTTCTAATATGAATTCATTCTTCTCATCAAGCTTTTCAAATGTTTCTTTATATTAATCCTATTTTTTAGTTTAAAAGATAGCAGTCTCTTAAATTGTTTTTTTATCCAATTCGTTTTTGTTATGTTCTTACTCTAATTATATTTAAGATATTCCAGACTAATTGTTTAAATTTTAATTAACATTCTAAACTGTTTCTACAGAAACTTTCATAATATTTGATTCATCTTATTCTTTTTTTTCATTTTATACATCANCTGAACCACCAAAATTACATTAACAGCCAGATATAAATAATTTCTTACCAATTACAATTGTTAATGGATTAAATCTTGCCTAAAGTTTAACAGAATAATACATTAGCTAATAATGATTTTATAATTAATTCAATTTTGTGTAGTATTTTAATAAATAATTCAAATTAATTTTATTTTTATTTTATAATAAATTTTAATAATTTATAATTAAATTATAATAAGAATAAGAGCGAAAAATGACACAAAAAATAATTTTAATAAAATTTAAAATAAATTTTTGTTAATTAAAAACACTTAAAATTATTTGTTCTTATTTACCACTAATATTCAAGCATTTTTATGATAATCTCGCAATAACTTCTCTCTGTATATATTCCATTAGTATCATATATCTCTCAGAAATAGAAGGCTCTCATCATAACCAAACTTGTCATCTTTTAAAATTAGAACATATGTCCTTTAAATTATAATTAAGAGAGCTTTTTATTAATATTTTATGAAAATTACGATACTTATATAAATTATTACCAAAATTATAAAGAATTTCATTTAAACACAAAAATAAGTTGATAGTGAGTATGATAAACAATTAATTAACAAAACTTATAAATCATGAATCTTACTCAAATCCTTCATTAAGGTTCTTAATCATATTTTTGTTCGGAGGGTTCTAGAGTTACAAATAAAGAATTAGCTTATTAATCATTTTTTTGATCCTAAATAATTTCTAATGGATTGATAATAATATCATTTCCACTTTTTTTTTCAATGACTTTTATGAAATTATTTTGACTATCATTTTCTAACAATTTGATAGATTACTTAGTTTATAATAATTTCTATTAATTTTCATGATTTTATTTGTTATCATCTTACTTCTCTTTTGAACTTTTTTGACTTTCTAATATGAATTCATTCTTCTCATCAAGCTTTTCAAATGTTTCTTTATATTAATCCTATTTTTTAGTTTAAAAGATAGCAGTCTCTTAAATTGTTTTTTTATCCAATTCGTTTTTGTTATGTTCTTACTCTAATTATATTTAAGATATTCCAGACTAATTGTTTAAATTTTAATTAACATTCTAAACTGTTTCTACAGAAACTTTCATAATATTTGATTCATCTTATTCTTTTTTTTCATTTTATACATCAACATCAATAATTTTAATTTATATGGGAATATTATCCTACTTTCTATTGCCCTAAGAATTATTTTATAATCTTGATCTCTGTTTAAAATCAAATTTTGTGCTATTCTACTAGTTTCTTTATGAAAGTGAATCTTTGATTCCAACACTTCTTGATTATAAATGAATAGGAGATTGTTAATTATTTATTTTTTCATTTCCTTTTTATATAGGTTTTTTAAGTACTTATTAAATTTCTTTTTAATATTTATTTTGAGGTTATTATTATTACTACTTAAGAGTTGGCAATTTAACTCTTTAAATTATTTTATTTTATTATTAAGATTTGAATTACTAATTTATATTATAATGATGCAGATCAAGATTCTGAAATTATGATTTTGCTATTATATCATGTTAAGGTTAATAAGGTTCAAAATCATTATTTTCATATTCAACTTGATTTCTTTAAGTATTTTTTTCTGAGGTTCTTTAATTTATGATTACCGTATTGTTCTTTGGAGTTTTACTATATTTTACAGATTATTCTCTTCCTCTATCAGTAGATATTTCAACTTTTTAAATTTATGATAATTTAGTAAAGTTTTTTTATGTCTTAATATTTTCTACTTATCTTTTATGAGTTATAGAGTTTGCTCTTAATTATTTTGTTAAGAGTTTTGTAGCTTGATTAATTTTTTCTAATTCATTTTGTTATTAACTAATAGGTTGATCAATTAATTCTTTAGGAAAGTATGTAATAACTAACTGTTAAACATTCTGAACAGTAGTAATAAGGGAATCAAGAAATGTTACTAAATGTTCTTTTGAAAGTGATCTAGATATTTCAGATATTTATGTATTATTTGGGGCATTAACAAACGATTTATCTAAAGGTGATGTTGATTTTAATAATCGAGATTTAAGATTATCTTTGGAAGGATTCTACTCAAAATGCAATTCAAATAATTACAGAGTTCTAATTAAAGGATTTGGATAATGAATGAGGTAGATTACGTTAAATTAATCTATCCTATTTTAATCTTCTCATCATTTGATGCATATTTAAATTATAAAAGTATTATTCAAGATGAACATCCTTCTCAGGTTTATAATTAAGCACTTTACCTTATTTAGCAGCAGCAATACCATCAAGTTAAAATGGGGGCTTGATTTTAGATTTTTATAGTTGCATATAAATATAATATTATAAATGAATTATGCAAACCCATTTTCATTAACATCTTATACTAGTATTTTAAGTCCAAAAGAATAAAGAAGCAGACTAACTAGTTTCCTATCTAATAACCAATCCATTAAATCAAATAAATCTATGTCTCCCAAGATGAATTTTATTCCACAATCAAAATTCCTGAAGACAGATTAATTATCTCCTAAATCTTAATTTTTTACTAAAAATGACAATTAAAAGCTTCCAAAAAAAACTACTGATAGAATTAAGTTTGTTTCTGAACATACATCTACACCTTATTTATACATTCAAAAAAAAAAAAATGAAATTCGCCTTCCAATTTTACCTAAATTGTCGCCTGAACCTAAAATTGAAAGTACTAGAATTCCAGATATTAATATAATGACTGAACCAACCATTACAATAGAAGAATAAGGAGAAGAATTTAAAAGTATAACCAAGTAAAGAAAACAATAACAATTACTCTTAAATAAATCAAATAATTTATTATAAGTCTCTTAATTATCATAAAATTAAGATGATTAGTTATCAAATAGCAAACTTTCTATAAGATCCAGATTTAAGAAAGCTGTACAAAGTTCATTTCATTCCCCACCAAGGAAAGTATCATTTTATATATTTAGTCCTTATTTAATGTGATTATATCCCATGAATTCAATGTTTTACATGAAGAAGAAGGATTTGAACTTCAAAAAAGATTTGAACCTGGAAATTAAATTCTTGCATCAAAGTTTCTTATGAAAATTAAACAAAATGTTACAAAAAAATAAAAATTTATAAAAGACAACATTCATCTTAAGAAGGGATTTGGACTTATTAATATAGAATAATTTAATGTTTCTACAAAAGCATTTTAAAGAAAAATAAATCTAATTCATTCTACATCTTCAAGAAGTCTTATGCATTAAGAATAATTTTCATTATTACCTAAATCTTCGAGAAAATCTATTAATAGCATTAATTCATAGACATAGAATAACTTTTTGTTTGTCACTTCTGATAAAAAATTAGATAAATTAAATTACAATTCTAAATAGTAAAATTCTAAAGAAAAGGGGAAGGAATTAGATTAAATAAAAGTTTTTGAAAAAACTAAATTTAATATTATTATAACATATGAAAATGTTGAAAAACTAGTTTTATAATTTAATAGACCTTAATATTTGAATTAATAAAAAGATACTACTGAAGAAATAACCCCTCTTTTACCACCATAATCATCTAGATAAATAGTGCCATTATCCTTTATTCCTTCAAACAATTTATAATCAAGTAGGAAACTTGATTACAATCAATCTTCAAGAAATTTAATGGCAAAAAGATTTTCTCTATTATCAGTTCCGAGTATATTTTCAGAAGAGGCAGGAAATAATGCTGATCTAAAATATGACTTTAGTAAAGTAAATTATATTTATAATCAATTAAGCCAAATCTATATGTTAGAGTTTACTATTAAAATAAATTATATAAATTGATGCAAAAAACTAATTATACTAAATCAAATTTATAAGAAATGGAAGAAAACTTTCGACCTAAAATAGCCTTAACTAGTAGCACAATTTTAACAAATATTTACACAGTTATGTCTACTTCTGAATAAGGTATTAGATAAAGAAAGATCACAAATGAAAATCTAAGCGATAAATACTAATTTTTAGGGATTCAATTTCCAAAATATTGTATAGAAAAAGAAAAGATGATTTATAATTATGAAGATGAAAATACAAATCGATCAGGAACTTTTACAAGCGAAGAATCTGATGATGATGTTTCATTAGACAATTTTTTGGAGAGTCCTGCCAAAAACAGTAATTTATCTTATAAAAAAAAGTTTAGAACCAGTAACACAATAGAATATATGTTTAAAGAGCCAACAAACTTTAAATTATCAAGATTAATATAATTAATAGACGTAGACTTAATTCATTAAGGATGAACCTCCAGATGAAAAATGTAAATAATTGTCATAATTATAGAATTATCAACTGGAGCATTGATTTTGATTAAAAAAATAAGAATGGCTTATTAAATACCTCTCTCTCTCTAACCAATAATAAGTGTTTTAGAATAAAAAACCAAGAATCATATATTAACTTGCCATGTGATAATGTGTGAAGATTAAGAAATGGGAGTTTTAACTGATAAACACTAAAAGGTTTTTGAAGAATTGATCTAATATTAAAGAAATTCAACATTAAATAAAGTTATTAGTTAGGCTATTGATTTTAGATACCCAAGTATTTTAATAGGAAGATATAATTGCTAAACAAGAATGATAGATGTTGAACATTAAGATCCTATTCCAGCAACAACAATATTAGAAAAATAAGAAAGTAGATATGATAAACCAGAAACATAACCTTAATAATAAATTTAGATAAGAAACTTAGCAAGAACCTAAAAGTTAGATTAGAAAGATTCAACAAATAAGAGATAAACTATGAATGCTGGAAAAAAATAAAATTAAAATTAATAAGGATTAACTAAATAAGATTCATTATAAGTTACATAACCTTAATAATGGAATAGAAGGGCTATGTAATCAGGAGAGTTAACAAATCCGCTTACAATAACAAATTAATAAAATTCAAATTTTTTTACATAAACTTCAACAGTCATGATTACTAAACCTACAATAGCATCATAACAATCTGTTTTTAGAGTAGCGAGTTCTAAACATATAGACATAAATAGTTCATAATAGGATATAAGCTCATCTTTTCATTCTTCTTAAAATAGTGAATCTCGACGTTCTAGTAAAGTAGAATAAATTCAACATCAACACTCATCTTAAACTTAATATACTTAACTTCCTCAATAATTAGTTTCACAATTAAAAATGTAAAGTTAAAATGTGGACAGTTTTGAAAGTGCTTAAATAGAAAATGATAAATTTTATTTATTACAAGAGAGCAAGGTATTAGTAATTAGATGATTTAGAATGCATTAAGTATGTATATGTATGCTTTAAGAATGAGAACTCATATTAAAGAATCTTAACGTAGATAAAAATTAGATACGAAAAAATAAATTTAATTAGCTATTTATGATCACAATTTTACAGAAGTATTACATTGTAATGTGCCTAGTTTATAGATAATATTTAATTGATACCTGAAATGCAAATAGATGTTCCATTATCAAATGGAAACACTTTTCTGATTTTAGCAGCTTAATGTGGTTGTAAAGAAATTGTCCATGAGTTAGTTAAAAGAGGAGCAGATATTAACATTTAAAATGTATTGTTTTACTAAAGAAGGATGATGGTAATACAGCCGTTCATTTAGCTCTAGCCTATGGACATTACAAAATTGCAGATATGTTAATACAGGCTGGCGGAAACACTCTTATTTTCAATAAATAGGGATTAAATGCATGGAGTGTCTTGTGATACTAAATATTATATTTATCTATCTTATAATTAATTAATAAATGGATTAAGAATAAAAGAAAAATAAACTTATGAATATTTATAAGTAAGTATTGCTATAATTAATTATTAGAGAATCCTAGAAGATAGATAATAAATTGAAAGTTTAAAATCTTTATTCTCTTAAAAGTATTCTAAATGAATTATCAAAATAATAAAAGAAAACTCCAAGTACATCTTTGCATACAACGGCAAGTAAAAGAAACTAAGAGTCAAAATTAAAAATAACTAATTTAGCATCCTCTCCTAAAACTAGTTATCGTTCTACTTTGCAATTAACCAAAAGAAATCAATGGATAGATTTAATAAACTAACAATATTAACAATATATTCAGTCTGATTAAATTGCCATCACTGAATATCGGTATAATTACAATTCAACTTAGAACAATCTCATAAATGAATACAATTTTAATATCTGACTGGAAATAACCCTATTATTCTAATGAAACTCAGCACAAATCTAATAATCTTGTATTTCAGCATTAACAAATCACCGATTAAGGAAATTGGAAAGAAATGTTATCCAAGAAATTATAGAAGAGAATATCTTAATGATGTTTTAGTTAAAACAATTTTGAATAAAATCACTAATCTAACAATTCTTTAAAATATTAATGTCTTAATGCTTAACTTGCTGTTATTCTTTCCTCTGGTATATACTTCAATAATTTACTATATAATTCATCAAATCAATAGAATTACCTAAGCAAATCAATAAATAAATCTTTATCGTCCAAATGATCAAATTTTTTATTTAAATTGATAGGTTCATAATTAGGAAATTCTTTAAATAGTTTTCCATTAAAAGGAACTACTTTTTAATAGTATTTGATATCCGATTTGGAAAATGATCCTAAAATTCTTAAAATTTGAAAGAATTGATCCCCTTCTGATTTTCCAATAAAAATAGGTTCAAGTAAAGCCAATTCAGCCATGATGCAACCTATAGCCCAAATATCAATTGAAACATCATATTCTGTTACTCCTAAAAGTAATTCTGGAGCTCTATAAAACCTAGATACAATATAAGGTGTATTGATAGTGGCTGGATAAAGTTGTTTGGCACTACCAAAATCACAAAGTTTGATTTTTCCATCTTTCACTAAAATATTTTCGCTTTTTAATTATATTCTAAATTTACGGTTTCAAATCTCTATGAGCTATACGTTTTCTGTGGATTTAATCAACACCTTTAAGCATTTAATAAAGATAGTCCTTCATGACTTTTGAATCTAAATAAGTTTTTAATTTTCTATGATCTCCAATTATATCCTCTAAATTTTGATCCATAAATTCTAGTATAATATTTTAGATCATTTTATTATCTTCACTTCTACTGTAGAAAACATCCTAAGTAAATTATTATTATACCAGCATTTTAACCACATAACTGCATTATTTTAATTACGTTAAGATTTCACATTCTCTGCTCTAAAATTTACCTACTTTTGGCATTCTTTTTAAAGCTACTTTTTAGCGTCTTTATTAATCAAAGGCTTCAAATACATATCCTTTGAAATATTTTTAAAGGGTTACCAAATGCTCCTGAACCTATAATTCTTACTATCTCGTAATTTGGTATGCTTTATAGTTTCTCCATTTATGTAAATATTGAATTGAACTTAAAGTTAAGTTATATAATTATATTGATAATACGCATTATTATTTATTACTATGCTTAATTCATTATTTTGAATTTATAATAATTAATAACTATGAATACAAATCTCACTTAGGATGATGATTCAATTGAATTTTAAAAAGCTGTCACCTCTCCATACAAATGTCCCTAACATTTGCTTATTATAAATGACAGTTAATTCTTATCATCCTTAAGAGATTAAGAAGAACCTGAAGAGACTTTTCTTATTGTTTCTGAAATTCAATAAGACATTCACATTGTGATTAGTTCAAAATTTATAAAAGTAAATATTAAAATAATGATTAGAGGATCAGATATACTATATAAAATCCATATAACACAGAATAGATTATAAGTTCCTTAAGAAGAGCTTAATAATTCAACGATGATAATTTATAATAAGTACATAAACATTGAATAATTAGGTTCATTAATACGTCATTGAAAATGAAGTTACTTTAAAAATCTATACTTCCTATGCAAACCAATATAATTATTTATAGGAACGAATTGAAACTGAATCCAGAATATTATCAAATGAAATTAAGTTAAGATCATATCTTTACAGTATTTTAGAAGGACTCAAATATATTCATGAAAATAATTGTGTTCATATGTGCATCACCCTCAAAAATATTGAATGCCATAAGAATGAGTATAGATAAGTAAAGCAATTTATACAATCTAGTTAAAAATAAATCGATTTGAGACTTTATAAGAAATCAAAACTAAATTAAATCCTGATCTTCGGAAATATTTGATGAAAACACTTCCTCATATACCTCCAGAATTAGGGGATTCTAATTATATAATTTAAACCTCTTTTGATATTTTTTGTTTAGGAGTAGTTATATTTCAAATGTGTACTTGTCAATTACCAGAAGATAATTCAAGAACTAATCGATTAATCCTTAAAAAGTTTATATCAAAAGAGTTAACTAATATGATTTTATTAATGTTGGATTTCTAGGTTGAAAATAGACCAACAACTACTACTTTAATTGATAATTAATGGTTCAACATTTGATATTAAATGTTATTCACTAGTATCTAAATATAAATATAAATATAAATAAAAATAAATTAAATGTCAAGATAAGCTCCATCGTCAGCCTAAAAGAATGATAAAAAGGCTCATCCTCCACCATATCCTTAAAAGGGACCAAAACCTTTTAATGCAGAAGATTATGCAAAACCTCCACATCTTACAAAGGAAGAAGTATTAGAAGTTAAATAAGCTTTTGACATTTTCGATAATGATGGGTCTGGATCTATCGATCCATAAGAATTGAGGGAAGCTTTTGAGGCTTCAGGCATTAAAACATACCACAATAAATTTATTTATTAAGTCTTGGGTGAATTAGATACTGACAATAGTGGAGGAATCGACTTTGAAGAATTCTTACATCTTGCAACTGCCAAGGTTAGCGATAAAGATAGTAGAGAACAAATCTAAAAAGTCTTTAATCTTTATGACTGGAATAAGGAAGGTAAATAAATACTTTACAAGAGGTCGAATCACATGGGATGAATTAAAAAGAGTAGCATAAGATTTGGGAGAAGAAATGACAGATGAAGAAATCTAACATATGTTTAAGAAGGCAGATTTAGATGATGATGGTTTTGTAACATTTGATGATTTCTATAATCTAATGACTTAAAAAGAATATGGAAAGTAATGATAAATATATATTTATTTACATCAATAAGAATCAAAATTATTTTTAGTATACCAAAAAACCAAGAATTTACTTCATTGTTTTATAAAAATAAATTAAATATGTAAAAATTTATTTGTTCATGTCCTGGTAAAGTATTATTAGCAGGTGGTTATGCTATTTTAAATCCAGATAATCATGGGGTATCAATAGCAATCAATGCTAGATTTAGAACAGAAAGAAACAAATTATAGGAAAAATCCTAAATAATCTTTAAAAGTGAATAATTTTCCTAAGAAATCAAATATTCTCTTACTCAAATAAGTGAGAGTGAAAATATCTACTTTGATGCAATTTAATAAGTTTTATTTAAGAACCAAATTGTTAAAGATTCTTGGTACATTGAAACAAAACCAGATTAAGCATTTTATACATAAAACTAAATAAATAAAATCACAAAATTAGGCTTGGGAAGTTCTGCTTGCTTAATTGTCTCTTGTTTAGGATAATTTATTAATGATAATTATTATCTGTACGAATTAGCTTAGTAAGCTAATATGATTGCTTAATAAAACAAAGGATCAGGTTTTGATATCTCAACTGCAATTTATGGTAGTTAACTGTTTAGTAAGAAAGAATTTAAACCTTTAGATGGGCTTGATAAAAACTATTAAATATTGTTGATTGATTTAAAATAGGGACAAAGTACTATCAAGGGAATTAATACAATACAAAAATTTTTATCTGAAAATTAAAAATATAAAAAGCATTTCTTAGAAAAGAGCGAAAAATGTGTTCTAGAATTATTTGATCTACTCAAATAATAGTAATTTTCTCGAGAAAAGTTCCTAAATATAAATTAGGAATATCGTTATTTATTAAGAGAATTAGGTTTGTTGGCTAATTATGAAATTGAACCTGAAATTTCAACTGAGATAATCAATTTTTCCCTTACACAGCCATCGACATTATGGGGAATCTGTCCAGGAGCAGGAGGTTATGATGCTATTGCAATCCTATGTAAAAATGTGACAGAAAATGAAATCAATAAAATAAATGAGTTTGCTGTTTCAAAAGGATTTGAAAATTCAGTGCATTTATTTTCAATTGATAAAGGCATTTAAAGGGATATCATTATTATTTGATTAATATTTTTATAATATATAAACATAGACTGTATATAATCTTAAATGTTTTATAAATTTCATTATCCCCTTTTATTAATTTTTTTTTCGGTTTGAATTATTTAATTTTTAAAGAAATAAACAATCTTTGTAAAAAAAATTGATCTGCATCTATTATTTAAGTTGCTTTCTAAGACTGCTCCTTACATTCATTATATAATTAATATGAATAATTAAAATATTAAATGAAATANTTTATTTGTTCATGTCCTGGTAAAGTATTATTAGCAGGTGGTTATGCTATTTTAAATCCAGATAATCATGGGGTATCAATAGCAATCAATGCTAGATTTAGAACAGAAAGAAACAAATTATAGGAAAAATCCTAAATAATCTTTAAAAGTGAATAATTTTCCTAAGAAATCAAATATTCTCTTACTCAAATAAGTGAGAGTGAAAATATCTACTTTGATGCAATTTAATAAGTTTTATTTAAGAACCAAATTGTTAAAGATTCTTGGTACATTGAAACAAAACCAGATTAAGCATTTTATACATAAAACTAAATAAATAAAATCACAAAATTAGGCTTGGGAAGTTCTGCTTGCTTAATTGTCTCTTGTTTAGGATAATTTATTAATGATAATTATTATCTGTACGAATTAGCTTAGTAAGCTAATATGATTGCTTAATAAAACAAAGGATCAGGTTTTGATATCTCAACTGCAATTTATGGTAGTTAACTGTTTAGTAAGAAAGAATTTAAACCTTTAGATGGGCTTGATAAAAACTATTAAATATTGTTGATTGATTTAAAATAGGGACAAAGTACTATCAAGGGAATTAATACAATACAAAAATTTTTATCTGAAAATTAAAAATATAAAAAGCATTTCTTAGAAAAGAGCGAAAAATGTGTTCTAGAATTATTTGATCTACTCAAATAATAGTAATTTTCTCGAGAAAAGTTCCTAAATATAAATTAGGAATATCGTTATTTATTAAGAGAATTAGGTTTGTTGGCTAATTATGAAATTGAACCTGAAATTTCAACTGAGATAATCAATTTTTCCCTTACACAGCCATCGACATTATGGGGAATCTGTCCAGGAGCAGGAGGTTATGATGCTATTGCAATCCTATGTAAAAATGTGACAGAAAATGAAATCAATAAAATAAATGAGTTTGCTGTTTCAAAAGGATTTGAAAATTCAGTGCATTTATTTTCAATTGATAAAGGCATTTAAAGGGATATCATTATTATTTGATTAATATTTTTATAATATATAAACATAGACTGTATATAATCTTAAATGTTTTATAAATTTCATTATCCCCTTTTATTAATTTTTTTTTCGGTTTGAATTATTTAATTTTTAAAGAAATAAACAATCTTTGTAAAAAAAATTGATCTGCATCTATTATTTAAGTTGCTTTCTAAGACTGCTCCTTACATTCATTATATAATTAATATGAATAATTAAAATATTAAATGAAATATTTATTGCCCAGCAAAATATAATTTAATTTTTGAGGATTTTTTAAAAGTCTTTTTAAGACAACAGAGTTATTAAACTTAGCAGCAGATAGTTTAATAACATAGAAAATTATATTACGGAAAAAAAATATAATAAATAAACATACATTAAAAGTTTAGAATATTTCAATGAAAAAAACTCTTATAAATATAAGCAACTACCACTCCAATTAAAAATAAAAGCCATTTTTAGGAATTTCCTTCTGCTTTCTATAATAGGATTCATATTACTTTGTGTTCTAATTCACCAATTTTATACAGATTCATTTTTTCTCTAGCTTCTTTACTATGTCCAAGTTATTTAAATGCTTCTGTAGCATTTTAATTTTTATACAACTCCAAAATTTCTTTCCCTCCAGGATGATTATCAACAAACTAAAATATTACCTTTTCATACTTCAGTGCAATCATATAAATTATTTTCGATAACAACATATAGTTTTTCTTCATTCGATCTAATAAACTCCCAAGTGACCTTTTATTTTCGATCTTGAAAAGAGTCAATGACAAATTCTTTCATCATCTCTTACGCCTTCTAACTATGCCTAACCAAAACTTCAAACTGTCTTGTGGCATCATATCCATTATATTTTTCTAAAATCTTAAAGCCTCCAGGATGTCGAGTTTTGAATTCTGTTAAATCATATACTAATTTCTTTATTACAACAATCACTTTTCCTTATTTAGCTTATTTATCAATATAATTTTAATCCATTATTTAATAAATAATAAGTTTAGATCTATTTTTACCTCAAATAAATAGAAAATTAAGCGTAAGTATAAATTATTTATTTTTAAAGAAACATCATTAGAAATTCTATCAACATTAATCTTTAATTTTAAGTGTTATTTGATCTTAAAGCAAACTCATAAGATTAGATTTAGTTAGATATTCCTTTAAAAAAATAATTTGATTTTACATTTAACAAATTAAATTTTATATTAATGGACAATTACATAAAGCTAAAAGAAAGATTGTAAATTAAGTTCATATATAGTTAAGATTGTTTAAAAAACCTGTTAGTGATAATGCTGAAAATAGATATTGGAATAGCTTTAATTAAGTATTAGAAAAATAACATAATTAATCAATAAAAGCTATCAATGCCTCTAATAATATTAAATAGAAAATAGCCATAGCACATGGCAATACTGTAGAAATTTTTAGCACAAACAAAAATTAAATAACATAAACTCTTAGTAGATTCAAAACTTAAGTGCTTTCACTTTAGTTAAGATTTGATTCTCAATTATTAGCGACATCGCATGAAGATGGATTAGTAAATATTATGAACCTTAAGACGAAAACATCATTAAGATAATTTAGGAACTTTAAGAAACCAGTTCATACAATAAGTTTTAACAATACAGATTAATTGTACGCAGCTGGAGATGATGGAGTATATATTATTTTAAATATAAGACTATTAAACTTTTTGACATTCCAAATGATACTGTCATTAGAAGCATACCTAATGCTCATAATGATTTTATTAGATGTATAGTGGGATATGAAGAAGAATAATTATTATCTTCATCTTATGATAAAACAATAAAATTATTTGATTTGAGAAGCAGTACGAATGATCCAATTAGATCTTACTTTACAAATCATCCAGTCGAAACTTTATTAATATTACCAAATAAATTAAATTTTATCTCAGCATAAGACTAATTTACTACTTTATGGGATTTCAGAAAAGATAATTTTATTTAAGAATTACACACAAACTAGTAGACAGTTACCTCTTTATCTTTAGCTTAATATCATGATTGTATAAGATTAATTACAGGATCTTTGGATCAATAGGTTAAATTTATTAGACCAGATATTCTAACTGTAACACATTAGCTTAAATGGAAAAGTCCTGTAATGGCTTTGGATGCTTCATTAGATGGTTTTAATTTAGCTATTGGAGGAAATGATGGCCAATTATAAATCAATTAATTAAAACCTTCAAAAAATGATGAAGATATAGAAGAAGAGGAGGATTATATACCAGAATATCTAAAGTGTAATCCGCATTTATAAAGAAGAATAAAAAATTACAAATTTTATAATAGAGGAATTTATTCTCAATTGATTGATTATGATTTTAAAGTTCCTACAATGTAAAATTAGAGATTTTAAGGATATGATAAGTTGTTTGTTACTTTCAAGTATAAAGAAGCAATTCTAAAGGTTAGTAATAATAATTTAGTTTTAGGCATTTAAAGAAAAGAAAACATCAATGATTCTTACTCTTGTGGAGGAATTATAAGAAAGAGGGGCTTTGGAAGTTTCACTAAAAAATTTAGACGATGACGAATTAGAAATAATATTATAGTTTATTTTATCAAAGATGTCCAATCCGAAGTATTCAACTTCAATGCTACATGTTTTAGAAGTCATAATAGGTAAATTTAAATGGATATTTTAGACTTATATACTATTGGAGATATTTATGAATATGTTCAAGAAGAGTTGGAAATCCAAAGAGAATTGGCAATATTAAAAGGAATGATTGTGATATGATATGTTATAATATTTTATTTAGTCTTTTAAAATTTAAATGAAATGAGAATTCTTAATAAAAAGAAAATGGTAAGATCATATATTTTCAATTAAAAATGTTATTATTTTTTAAATTCTCTTATATAAAGTATTTTAAATATTTTGAGCAGTTTATTATGTAAAAAAGGGGATAATCAAACCAAAATTTACTTTAAAATTATCCTAGATCTTTGTTTGATATAAATTCTTAGTAAAATGAGAAAAGCCTAAAATTATTTTAAAGCTATAACCATTTAAAAATAAATAATTCAAACCTTACTTTATTTCACAAAATAAGACAAACTGAATTGCAAGCAAAATACAATTTCCACTATTTACCTTTATTGTCTATGCTATTGATGTATAATTTAATAAATTTATTATTATGAAGACAATATTAGTTAAGGGTTTCATAAATATTAATATGTTTTACAAAAACATTAAGAAAACATTTGGTTAGATAAATTGATAAATTTGAGAGTTTAGAAGAAAATAAAACAGCAGAAAAACCTTTTAAATTCTATTGGGAGTCTGATTAATTATAATTATATTTGTGTAATATGGATGCATCAAATTCATGTAATACTAATAACTCTAGACTGATATAATAACTTTGCATGCTAAAGAAAAATTATTTATTAATTATCATAATTTAATACTTAAAATGGTGCTCATTTACAGGATTCAAAAATCATTCCATTTCTCAAAATGGATACAAATGATAGTCGATTAATGTTTCGTCTTTACTCTA